TGCGCACATCGTCAGCCTGAACAATCTTGGAGATCTCAGACGTACCCAGTAGTAGTAGAAAGCTTGATTGGTCTGGTCAACTTGTTGACAAAGTTGAGTCATGAACCGGGTCTCCGCAGAAAATGCTCGAACCGAGATGACACCATCCAGAAGCTCAGCGAAGCCGGAGCTATGGTTCAAGTCAGCAAGCGATCACATGTCTTGAGCTCCGAAGCCTACAAGATCGGAGATTTGAGCTGCAGAATGGGTCAGCGTCCGACATAGCACAACTCTTCGCTCTGGGACTTACAGTCGCTTCCAATCGCCTCAAGCTTCGACCGACTCTAAGGTATAGGAGGGAATACTGATAGTACAAGTAGCTGATGATAGCCGCTGGGACGAGGAACCAGGGAACAATGAAAGCCACAACACCCTAGCCGCCGAATTAGCCCATGCCGTCAATCATCCGCAGATACCACTCACAATAGCTCCAATCAAGCTGGCAAGGTATAGCATAACCGTCCTCAGAGCGCCGTTCAGATAAGAGTCGACGACTTCTACGTCTCTAGAGAAGCGATTGATGATGCGGCCGACAGGGGTGACGTTGAAGAAACGGACAGTCGCTAGAAGGAGCGTCAGCACGACATCCAGCACTGATTGTCAGTAGCGATCTCACCTCGCATGACCCGGTCCAAAAGACGATCGTGGAGAGTGCTATCATCTACGTCAGCTCAGGCTCAGGCGTTCATTGATGGCGAGAGCTACTTACACCGCAGCCCTGTAAGAGCTCCAAGCTCCAATACCACTGGAAGCCACACCCAGTAGAGCTGCGCCGAGCACAATGGCGGTATAGACAACGAGGTAGAAAGTGGGATGTGTTTCGGCAGGCGGATAATGGGGCTTGAGTCCCATCGCGCCGACTTCAGCAACCATAGTTGTGTTTCGGATAAGCTCGTTGGCGGGAACATGGTGCAAAACGTGTTGGTGAAGGTCGGTGTTGAAGAAGGTACCAGCATAGTCATGGACGGCGGGCTTGTACATTGTCCAAATAGTTTGCAAAGACACCGACGTGTAGGCTGCAGTCTCGTCAGAAAGTGTTTTCTTCGAAAATTGTCACGACGCACCTTCGCCCCAAACCTTGAGCCAATATCGTTCCAGGACGGTGAACATTTGGCCTAGTACTGAATCGATCTTAGTCAGCAATGACAAGTCAAGTCATCATGAAGACTAACAGAGAACGACGATAGTCCAAGCCCACGTAGTGTAGGTCGCAGCAACGATATAGAGCTTGTAGGTCTCCCACTTGACATTACCGATCGCCCTTTCCTCATCTGCTTCGTCGTCAGCAACCGCGTACATCAGTGTGACGATATCTCACCTTGCACAAGCTTCTTCCCCGGACCCTTCCTCTTTTCCTTCTTGACTTCCTGCTTTTGCTCTGCATCTTCGCCCTCAACAATCTCCTGCTCGTCCACAGCCTTCGCCTTGCCCTTGCCCTTGCTCTCCTCGGCGTGAAGCTCGGCGTCGCTAATGGCCACAAGACCCTGCAGAGAACCGCTTTCTCGGAGCTCTTTGGGTGAACCTTGTGAGTCGACGCGGCCGTCGAGGATCCTGACTAGGTAATCGGTAGAGGAAAGTAGGAGCTCGACATGGTGCGAAACCAAAATCTAGAGCAATTTCAGCTTTGCCTCCTTGAGTGTCAAGATGAGTACTTACTACTGTACGGCCTTGAAGGATAGGTCCATTCAGACACTTGTCCGTGAGGTGCTTGGCAGTGTGCGAGTCGACAGCGGCAAGAGGGTCATCCAAGAGAACATGCTTGGTGTAAGAGTACACAGCACGAGCAAGAGCTACTCGAGCCTTCTGACCACCACTCAGAGAGACACCCTTCGCTCCGATCTCTGTCATATCGCCATCCTCAAGGATATCCAGATCGGGGTTGCTGAGGTAGAATCAGGGCGCGGTCCTGGTTTTGTCTAGATGTACTTACAGAGCACAAGCGTCCAAAACCATTTCGTATCTTTCCTCGTCGAAAGGTTCACCAAAGAGAATATTGTCCTTGATAGACATCTGTTGCAACCACGGTGTCTGAGCGGCGTACGCAATAGAGTTCTTCAGACCCGTCTCGGCATCCACCTGGGTGGTATACTTGGGGAGATACGACTTTCCATCGAGCAGTTCCATCTCACCAAGCAAAGCCGTCAAGAGCGCAGATTTACCACACCCAGTAGGTCCAGTGACAACACTGAGTTTGCCGAGGGGAAAGTCGATGTTGAGGTCGGACAAGGTGAAGAAGGAGTCTTCGACAACGGTGCTCTCGTCTGTGAGGATACTTCGGTCGAGCGGATCGGCAGCAGGAAGAGGCGTGGACTCGGAAGGTTCGCTTTGCTTGCCAGTGTTCCATCGGAAGGTGGCATTTTCGAATCCGATGCGAGTGACCTGGGTCTCCCTGGCATCACCAGAGCGTTTGAGGGACGAAACCCAATCTGGCACTTCATCCTCTTCCAAAAAGTCTTCAATGCGCTTAACTGACACCAACGATTGCAATAGCACGACCACCTGAAAAGACGTCAGCCTTGTCACATGTTGTGGTAACGGATTACTTACATAAGTAGGAATAATATTCAAGGGCAGTCGAAGCATAGTGAAAAGTGAGATGGCGGTGAAAGCCACAGAGACAGTCAATTCTCGCTTCTCGATGACGATGTAGCAGAAGAACGAGACGAGCGTCACCAGGATGGGCGCAAGAGACCACAGCAGAGAAAACCAGATACCGTTTACAAGAGCTGAGTCGTGTAAGCCACGTATCTCTCTACTCGAGGTGGATACTCACATCGAATCATCTGCTTCATTTCGTTCGCCCGCGCAGTCGACGCCCTGTTCTTCCATTGCTCAATCCAGGCGAAGAATTTGATAAATTGGATAGCGCCAATAAGCTCGTTCATGACGCCGATACGCTTGTCTCTTGCTTTCAGGAGGTCTTGAGTGATCTGTGTGGCAATTAGAAGAGTGTCTAAGCGCTACAATCCAGACGCACCTTGACGCTTCGCTTGGAGACGAAAGAGTTGAGAGGGACAGCGACAATCAGAACAACGATACCGGCAAACGCGGACCACCCAAGAAGGCTACCAAGTCAGCGGATGCTGCCGACGATAACACTCACCTGTAGAGGAAGAACGAAGCCACAACGATCTCGAAGGGTGCGCTGTAAATGAAATAGGCACTGCTGAAAGTGTTGCTGATCCGCGTCGTGTCGCCTGTCTGCTGTCAACAATGCCCTTTCCGTTTGTGTTTGTACTCACCAGACATGAGGTTGACAACCTTACCACTATCCGCATTGCTCATCTTGCTTTCTTTACCATCCTTCTTGTCGTCCTTTTCATCATCATTCTTGGTCACAACACCTGAAGCATCCTTGCGGCGGAGCGCTTTGTCGTAGATAGCGGCAGTCAATTCGGCCTTGAGACGGACAGCTCCTCGGCGGCCATTCCACAGATGCAGCAGATCAGTCAACGCCTGCAAGATTGTCAGCTTATGTTGGTAGTAGTATAAACGGGCCTACTTTTAAGACAGATGCGAGAAGTGCGAAAAGGGCGTAGACGTAAGCTCTGGACATTGCCTCCTTTGACTTGGAGCCCAGTCCTTCCCTGTTATTTCGTCAGCCCAAACCTTTCGTATACATAGAGACTTACAAGATCCTCTTCAGGAAGTATGGGCCCGCATAATTGAGGATGACCGACACCAGCGTCAAACTCGCATCCATCACCAGATCCAACCTGTTTGCCAACATCATCTTCCAGATCAATCTGCTCGCCTTGACCTGTCTGAATTTCTCAAAGACAATGAAAGTCTGTTGGGTCATGGAAAGCGGAGGGAGATCGGCGACCTCGAGTTCATGTGTGTTGCCATATTGGATGAAGGAGTCGACCCAGCTGAAGGTGATCCATGAGAAGAGGGAGACATTGTCATCTGGAGCGACAATCGGCTATAAAGGCGGAATAAGCATGACGCTCGGACTAGCTTGCTGTGCCGATCCAAGCACATGGCCATAAAGAGCACCTCACCAGTCGAGAAAGGACCTCTGGAGAAGCGAGTTTGAGGCTTGCAAGGATCGCGAGGACGAGAGAGGTCGAGGCAATGTTGGCAAGCTCAAGTCCAAGGACAGACCATGGTGCCCAGAATGGCAAAGATCCCGAGACAGCCTGAATATACGAAGCCTGCGTAACAGACCAGACAGAGGTGACCCAGAGGACGCTGGTAGCAATGACCACTGCCCATGGCGGGGTGGTGAGGGGTCTGAACGTGAATTGGAAAAGAATGGCGAGCTATAGGCAAATCAGCCTGAAAATCTAGCTGTTGAGATGCGCTACCCACCCATACGATGATCATACCAGCCGAGGCAAGAGTATCATGCACAGTGCCGCCTTGTCCGTCGACCACGGTGAGGATCTTCCACCCAGTAATCCCTGACCAAGCCACAGCTTCCACAAGCGCCACTACGGTCAGCACGCTTGCCTTCCATCCCTTGGGCTGCCGGACAGCTTCATCGAACTTCTGGTCAGTTGTAGCAGGTTCAGCAGGGACCAGGGAGCGTAGAGTGACAAAGTCTGAGAAGTAGGGGGACAGAACGCCGCGCAGCAAGGAGAAAGGCGGGACAGCAAAGATGAGGGGAAGCAAGAGTACTACGAGAGAGGGGACGGTGCGAAGGGAAGAAATGAGGGAGGGCGGCGGAGGGTCCTGGAGTGTGTTGAGCAGGAGCCAAGTGCGGAGGGGAGCGCTTACGAGGATGGGGACGTCCATGGCCGCAGCAGAAAGCGGAGGGAAGATGGAGATGAGAAAGTGACTGTACTTTGTAATTTCCTCTGTGGATGCACATCTCACACACGCCCAGACCGCCGGCCGTCCTCAGACGCGTCAAGCACCGCCCGCCTAACCGGAGAGTGGAGGTCACCGCCCCGCGCCTACCGTTGCAGCAAAATGTTGCTCCCTTCGCTCTTCCGCGAGGTCAGAATACTCTCCACGCTATCAATCGTCCATCAAATCCCCTGGACTACATCTGTTCCGCCCTCCCATCTCCAACCTCAACCCCGGATTCCCCTTATAATGTCTCAGGAAGCAAACAGAGAATTGGCGAGGCTATGGCGTGTCTCTCGAACTGTCCACGAGATGGTCAAAGACAGAGTATGTTTCCTCCATGTGCTGTCCCTTGCATCTGCTGACTGTATGCATCACAGGGATACCTTCTTGCCGACTATGAAATCAACGTTCCGTTCGAAGACTTCAAGGAGAGAAATGGTGCTACTGGTTCGGTCGAGTGCGTCCACCCGACAAGTGAAATATATCACGACTGACGATCCATTCTAGTCGCTCAAACATGAGTTTTGATGCCATCCACGAAAACGACCCCTCAGATAAGATCTTTGTCTACTTTTGCGCCGACAAAAACGTCAGCAAAGCGTCCATGAAGACGTAAGCCTGACTCATCAATAGACTGAACGCAGCTGACGGGAGCTCAGCTTCATTGGATCTATGGATAAGATGGGCGCTAGGCGGGGTATCATCATCTGGAGCGAAAAGATGTCGCCAGCAGCCAAGAAGGTGTGTAGCTACCTTACAACAGCGAATGAGACTAACACCGCGTAGACATTACAAGAGATGCAGACTGAATACCATCTCGAAGATTTCCCCGAATCCGACCTCCTTGTCAACATCACCAAACACTTCCTCGTCCCCAAGCATGTGATCATGAAGCCAGAAGAGAAGAGCGCTCTCATCAAGCGATAGTGAGTGTGCCGCGGGGATGGCATGAGCAAAGCTGACATGGGCATAGTCGATTGAAGGAGACCCAATTACCGCGGATCATGATCACAGATCCAGTCGCGAGGTACTACGGGTTGAAGCGAGGACAGGTCATGAAGATTGAGCGAGCGAGTGAGACTGCTGGGCGGTGAGTATTTTCCCTTGTCAATTGAATACACGCTGACCTTTGACAAGATACGTGACCTACCGTATCTGCATGTAGAATCTTACTATTGGGCTTTTCTTGTTCTTTCTCTAGCATATGTATAACGATAGACTGCAACACACAATATATATCCATATACTTTGCAGTGTAGCCAGATCGCAATACGCCCAGAAAGTTTCAGAAACCGTCCATCTATATATCGCCCATCCTCTATGATCAGATCAGGCCTTCTTCGCCTCTTCTTTTCTAAGGTCAATTCCCTCAGCCCCATCAGCCCCTGTATCCGCAATTTCTGCAACGAGCGTCTCAAGCGCCTCTGCGGCCTTTGTTGTTGTTGGTGTAGGAACGCGTCTGACCGCCTTGTCGTCTCTTTGCTTTCTCATCCACGCGCCCTGCCTCAAGTCAGTGCCCAGACAATTCTCGCAGCAATCATCCCACTCACATCCTTTGGCCTCTTCTTCCTCGCCCAAGCTTCCTCCAAAGCTCTCTGCTCCGCCATCTTCCTCTCTAATCGTTGCCGGTCGTTTACAGGGTCAAATACGGGCCCGCCGAATTTATATTCGGGTACTTCTGCTCCTGACGAGGGTGCTGCTGCTGCGACGATATCCAATGCGTCGGATGGGGCAGGTTCGACATACCCTATGCCCGCGAGTGCTGAAAAGAAGACAATCGTACAGCTGCTCTCGGTCAGCTTGGCGCTTTCCCCGCTAGAGAGATCGGCTCACGAAAAGAAGACGATAAGGAACGGCAGATTCCCTCTCTTGACAGCCCTCATGAATCTCGCCCCGATTGCCCTCCCGATCCTCTGCGGCGTCAAGCCACTCCACCCAGACGCTTCCCCGCGTCCTCCTCGGTTCATACCAGACGAGGACCGTTCCATATGTATCCCATGCTCGCCGTCCCTGCCGTCTTCATCCCCGAAACGTGAGCGCGTCGGGGAAGGGGATGGCGTCCGTCGTAAGCCGGGGGAAAGGGGCCCGGTGGAAGTTGAGGTGCCGTTCTCCGCGGCAGCATAGAGAGATGGATTGGGGCTGAGGGGCGGGGGGAGATGGGTCGGGGCCATGGCTGGGGGCGAAGGGTGTGGATGTATTGACAGGATTTGACTGCCCCCGGAGATTTAGGGGTAATAGAACGGCAGCCTTTTAAAACTTGATGACTGGAGCCGAGATGAGGAGCGAGGGAGGTTGCCTCTCAGAGGGTGTCGGGGGATATAGATACAGGTGGATGGATGAAAAGAGAAGGATGGAATATGGCTCGCAGGTTCGTGGCGAGATTCGAGTTCAAGCTCAGGGTGTCAAAACCCAAAAGATCGTTCGCGAATTCGCGGAGGAACGCGACTTGCCGATTAGCGCTGCGCATTTCTCCTCTTTCAGATCTTTTCGCTTCCCCTTGTTCCATCGCCCTCTTGCATCAACAATCAACGTCGCAACGACACCTCGGTCTGGGTTGCCATCATGTTGATCCGACACACGTTTTGGCAGCAAACGCAGCAGTTTGCTCGATACAGCAGAGACAATAGACAATACAAGGGGTGCGGCGCGGTGAGTCACTCATCAACCTCAGTCACTGGCGATAGACTGTACGCCACTCTACGCTTCCTAGAGAGCTTCAAAAGGAGTGGCCAGTGATTTTGTATACTCGCAGCAGTTGTCCAGTGACATGCCATGCAGAAAGGGGACTTTTGACTTGATTTACATACCTCGAATCACTCGATGGTAGCTACCCGGGTAGTACCCTTTCAATCTCAGATCTGGCCCGATAGCAAAGAGTTCACCTCGGAGATGGCGCATCGGGCGCCACATATAAATCAACCTCTCGACCCCAAGCCAATGCTCTATTTGTATTTGTGTACCCATAAAACACATATCAAGCACTCCCACTGCATCGATCGTCATTCATCTACAAAAGCTACACGTAACAGCTATAGCAACACCTTCGATCCCCCTGTATCTAGTCTACACGTTGCGTATACTTCAAGCTAGCAGCTAGATCCGTCTTCCTCAGTTGTCTCCGTCTTGTGCATCCATGACATCGGCATTGAGATCCGCGATGATCTCCTCACCGCTAGTGACCATGTCAGCCTTTCGTGCCTTCCCTTTGCCAACATCCAGCACAAGAAAAAAGAAGGGCAGCTCACATCGTCTTGGGTACGCAGCGAAGTACACACGTCTGATCATCACATCCACAGAGCTTACTCCAATCTACCTGATGGGTGCTGTTCTCACCTGTAAAGTCCATCACATTCCAACCCCCAATGCTCTTATCGGGCTCAAACCTTGACTTCCGTTTGGTAGTAAGCTGCGATGGCTCGACTGCGTAAACTCTGAACAAGTATGTCAAGTCAGCTTATCCGATAATGTCTCTGGATCGGATCGCTCGACGACGCGAGTTTGTAAGAAGTTGCCCCCGAGACTCACCCTGCATAATAATCCTCCGCCGTCTCCGTAGCCCTTGTCCAGTAATGAACATCCGTATCTACCTCGTCCTGTTGACCATCGTCTCCCTCAATGGTGATATCGAGGATCTCCCAGGCGTGTTCGGTGTTGTATTGTGAGTTGTGCACATCTGTGCCGGGTAGAAGGGCGTCAGTGCGGTCGGTAGTTGAGGTGGTGACCGATATCAAGACGAGCTCTGGTTGGTCTGCCATTACATATGCTGGTTATCAAATATGTTGTGTCAGGGGGAAGGTGAAGGCGCCTAGGTACTTATAAACCGCCCAACAGCGGACTTCTTTTCACAATCAACTACAATTCTAAGAAGAAGCTATCCCGGAGTTGCAAATTTCATGTGAAAGAGATCAATGGAATATACCATAAGGTACGACATCTGCTGGAACGGGCTCGGAAAATGACGAGACATTCAGCAAGCATCCTTTTACGACAATGATCCCCTTTGGGCGCCATACTTGCTCCGTCAAAGGCTCAATAGAATCCCTTGCAGTGGGATATCTACAAGTATACTTCTTATGAAAAGAGATCGCTGGATACGTTGTATCCATGAAGGGAAAATGTCACTCGTCGCACGAATGAAAGGAAAGGTTGTGAAGTCAATTCAGTGACGCGATACAACAACAAGCTGACGCGAGACCCCACGACCTTCTGGATCATACTAGACGACACTTTACATGCTTGATTAGCACTGCCTCAACTCCCAAGCTTTGCTATCGCTGTCTCAGCGGGCTTTAGGAAAGAAAACACTGCACACATCCTACATGCTGTTACCTCATACATTGGCAGCTATCGGAGGAACACAAGCTCAAATGAAAGAGATGAAGATAGTCAAGCGATGCTCAGCAATTCATCTTTCACCCTGCTCATATATCCTGCATCTCCTCGTCGCTGCTCCTGCTCGATATTCAGCGCTATTCGCTGATATTGTTGGTCTTTATACTTAAAAGCCTTCGTGTTCCTCGTGCATCTTCTCTTTGATCTCTTCATTGAGGTCCATGATAATCTGCTCACCGCTGATAATGATAGGGCGTGTCAGCCCATTATATCTTCACTTCCTACGACTAGGCCTCTTTCTATAGACCGAACGCTGGTCTCCTCCTACTCCTTGCCACCAACATCTAACGCCATGAAAAAGGAACGTTACTCACTTAGATATCGGAACACACCTCATCAAACACGTTCCATCTTCACACCCACAGAGCCTACTCCACTCTGTATCCTGTTGCCGCATAATAGTACCGTCCGCACCATAGTCCCACGACATCCAGCCCCCGGTACTCTTATTATCCGGCTGGAATCTCGACTTTCGCTTGATCGTTATCTGCGATGGCTCTACACAGTAGACACTAGATACGAATGTCAGTCCTCAATCAGATTTCTCCGCCAGCATATCAACCTCTCAGAAGGGTAGGACAAGACTTACTCTGCATAATAAGCCTCTGCCTCCTGCTCACACTCCTTACTGACCCAGTAATGTTCATCCACCTTCACCTCAACCGCTTCCCCATTGTCCCCTTTAATCGTGACATCCATAATCTCCCAAGGCCTTTCATCATCTGTATACTCAGAGTTGTGGACGTCTGTGCCCGGGAAAAGGGCGGAGGTACGGTCGGTGGCGGAGGGGGTGACAGAGATGAGAACGGATTGTGGTTGTTGGTGGTCTGTCATGGTTTGAGATGGTGCTTCGTGATGGCTTGAGGGGATGTTGTCCTGGATGGCTAGCGTCAGGGGAGTGGGGATGGAGGAGACCAAGGTGGTCGGCCATATATAACCAGCCTGACAATATAATGGAACAGCCGCTGGGTTGGATATAATAGCTATTTTCATAGACACTCCATCTGTCCACTGGGTATCAAAGGTAATAGCAAAAAGAATGTGCAAGACAAGAAGCATTGATGCGTATGAAAGGACTCAGTGACACGTACTCGTTCTGAAAAAAATCAAAAATACATCTGCAGTGGCCGATGCTTCTCTTCCGGACATCAAGAGGCGATCCAGCCTGCGTCCTTTTACGGCTCACGTGCATCCCGATGTATGCTGCACATGCAGCACATGATAGCCCTTAGTCACTCAAAAACATACGAAGTCGACGCCACGATCAGTGGCGATACCAGCCAACGTTGCAGCATGCTGCACGCTGACGCGAGACACTCTTTTCTCACGAGTATGCTTCTTGCGCGGCTGACCTCGCACGTATAATCTCAAGAAAGGCAAGGCATTTTATTCATGCCTCTTATTAGTCATCACACCCACCCACAAGAGAAAAAAGGAAAAAAAGAAAATTATAAAGATCTCATCATACTATATACACAGAATCACCTATTGTAAGTGTCCTTTTTGGAAGTCTGATCAGACGGATCTAAGATTTATATAGAGGTAGTTGAGTGAATGAACGGTTTGAATGAATGTGTGGGGAGCAAAGAAGGTTATGTAGACACCGGTACGGAAGCGTATCGTAGAGCGTGGGGAGGGGGCAAAAGGAAAAGGGCGGAGGAAGAAGGCGGTTAGACGGCGATGCACTCGGTGGCGTTGGCAGAAGGCTTGAAGCCGTACTTGCAAGAGAATACTATTGAATTTATCAGCACATGTACACCACATCAGGTGGGGGTGGCTCACCTTCGCAAGTGCCGACAGAGCATCCGACAGACAAGGCGTGCGCAATGTTGGTGCAGTCTTGTCCACCATTCTCGAGACAACCACCGCAGGCTTCGAGCTCGACGATAGGGTCGATGCTATACAGACGTCAGCTCGCAGCACAATGAACAAGGCAAGAACGTACCACTCGTAAGACCACTCGCCGCCAGTGTTGCCGTTGACGGTACAAGCATGAAGACCGTTGGGGCAATAAGTCCTGTCAAGAGCAGTCTGAGGGAAGAGGGCAGTCTGCTCTCGGGCCTTGAACGCTCGCTTGTTCTGACGTTCTACTCTTCCATCAGCTAGAGATCTCACAAAGATGACCAAAGACTTACTACCGTTGGAAGCAGCCTGGGAAGGAGAGGAACCACCACAGCACTGGGTGTTGCTGTTCCAGTCGCTGCAGTCGGGCTCGGGCGCACGGGGGTGGAGGGGCTTGCACTTGCTCTCCGTCTTGTGCCAGAACCAGTCCGTGGGGCAAGAGACGCCAGAGGGGCAGGTGCTATTGGGGGGCGACGTCTTCCACGAGTTGTCACAGCAAGAGCTGGATCGCTCGTGCCACCATTGGGAGGAGGAGCAGGAGCCCGAGTTCTTGACACACTTTTTGGTCTGCTCGTTGAAGGTGTAGCCTTCGCTGCGGGGATTGTTAGCGAGAGAGATATTGCACAGGAAAGGCACGTACCCGCAATCACAAGCCGAGCTTTCTTGTTGAGGGATACAGCTGCGTAGCGGTGTCAGTGCGTGTTGACGACGACGGCGAGTGCACGTACCACTTGGCAGTCTTGTGCATACCCCAGTCAAAGGGACAGGTCAAGTTGGCGTCAGGACTGGAGCCTCGTCAGCGATGATCAACACTCAGAAAAGACCAACACTCACGTGGTACGGGTTTCGGACGAACAACAGAGGGCGGCACCCAAGAGTTCAGTGATGAAGTCACCCTTGCCGGTGCAGGAGCTCTTGATGCTGGCGGAGGCGCTGGCCTTGATGCTGGCGGAGGCGCCGAGGTTGATGCGGGTTCCGAGGGAGAGGGAGATACCGTTGGCAGAGACGGAGCCGGCGAGGGCGAGGAGGGCGAGGGCGTTGGCGGCGAGCATGGTGCAGGGCAGGGGGTGGAGAGAGGGGAGAAGGGAGGGTGAGGGTGGGTGAATTAAAAGAGATGGATAAGAGAGAAAAGAGGAGGGAGGGGGCTTTTATGGGGGACAGCGTGACTGGGTGCAAAGGAGGGGCACGGACCATCAGGGCAGATGAATCACTCAACGGGATCGAGCCGGAACCATCTGACACAAGCATTCTCTTTTGTCCTCGGCAGGCATGCAGGCATACGTCGGAGAGGGGGCAGGGAGGAGGGCATCGAGGGAAGACAGCATCGGATATCCCAGGGCAAGCAGCACCCTCGATGTGTTGTCTCGATTGTTGCACAATACAAACGCCGCAAGACACTGTGCGTGTTTCATCCCGCACTGTCCACCTCCCGCGTACAACAACCCGCACAACAGCCCGTTCTCCCCCAAGCCCACATGGCTGCATCACCGACTGTACATAGCCCCTGTCAGAAGGCCTATCTTGAGCAATGATGTATAGATTGCAGGGCGATTGTAAGGACAGGTGGCTGGGGCAGCTCCTTGGAAGGACAGTCATGACTCAGGTGCAGCCTCCGCACAGTGCAGGGCGATGACACCGCATCGCAGCAGAGATACGAAGTTCAGATCTGAGTGCACTCCGGGTGGGAGATGTCTATTGTCCTCTGCCCCGAAGAATCAGGCGAGGTGGAGGCACAATAGAGATATACAAGGGGACTAACCCGCTGCGTCCTGCAGATCACACCCTGGGCCTGTTCCCTATCATGAGACAAGGCCTCGGTCTTGCACTTGCCTATACATCTCACGGACGAGCGCAACCCGGTGCTAGCGTCTAGCGTCTAAGGTTGCCGTGCATCTGCATGCAGTAGCAGCAGGGCAGAAGAGGAGGAAGAGGGCGCTATGCACTTTATGGGCGACGGGCCGACGTCACAAAACGAGGCACTGCCGGTATTTGAGGAGAGGCACAGAGGCACACCCGTCCCCGCGCTTCAGCTCATTTATCGCCTGGGGAATGCTCCGAAGTGGCCATCTTGTGCATCTTCTGAGATAAGGACTGGATCACACCTACTCTTTACTGGTACTGCAAACAATGCCGGTCACAGAAATAACCACTCCCAAGATGTACACCTTAGCGACGACACAAGCCACCCACACAATCGAGCACAGACCTCCACGCCACGAGGCCCAAAGCAAGGCACAGAGACCGACACGGCACGGCACACGGCACGGCAATGCACGGCCACCGTGACTATCTTGTCCGAAACAATGGAAACCCCTCCTCCGACATCTGTCTCTCCGAAGTGCCCTACTCGAGTATGCGTATCATTGTCCGGTATCACCGCAGTAATATAATGTACGGTACGAGTATCATGTACGGTATCATCGTGAGCATCATCCTTGTAACGATCTGTCGAGCAATAAGTCTTCAAAGCAAGGCATGAAATACATTTCATTTTCGTTCTTTACCTCCCAAAAAGGTATCAAGCTCATAGACACACAGTCATTAATAGTATTGTCCGTAACAGTTACGAAAGAAACCCAAGCATAGCAAGAGAAGAGTATTAAGAGAATTGTCCTTTTTTCGTTCGTTCGTAATGAGAGCTAGAGAATACAGGGGGTTGTTGTTGAGGTGAGAGAATACAGTGGGGTAAAGTAGATCGAGAATAGAGGGAAACGAATAAGGCGGGTGTGGAGAGAGGAGAGTAGAGGGTAGGAGGAGGGCAAGGAGTTTAGATGGCGATACACTCGGTGTTGTCCTCGTTGGCCTGGAAGCCGTACTTGCATGAGAAGACTGTGTCATTGTCAGCTTTGGTTCTCAAAAGAGGCGCAAGAGAAGACTCACCCTGGCACTTGCCGATAGCACAGCCGACAGAGAGAGCGTTGGGGATGTTGGTGCAGTCCTGACCACCGTTCTCAATGCAACCACCACAGGCCTCGAGCTCGACAGCGGGGTCAATGCTATACCCAAGTCAGCTTGAGGTCACTTGAAGAAGAGGATGTGACGTACCACTCGAAAGACCAAGCACTACCAGTCTGACCCTCGACGGTACACGCGTGGAAGCCGTTGGGGCAGTAGGTTCGGTCAAGAGCGGACTGGGGGAAGAGAGCGGTCTGCTTCTGGGCCCTGTGAGATCGCTTGACGTTGTTGGCTACCCATTTCGTCAGCTTTCGCTTTGCCATGCAGTCGAAGAAGGAGACTCACTCCTTCGGACAGCCTGAGAGGGAGAAGCACCACCGCAGCACTGGGTGTTGGTGTTCCAGTCATCACAGTCGGGCTCGGGGGCACGGGGGCCAGTGGGCAAACACTTGTTGAGAGTCTTGTGCCAGAACCAGTCGGTAGGGCAGGTGACACCGGTGGGGCAGTCTCCACTAGGGGGGTTCTGGCCCCAAGAGTCGTCACAGCAAGTGTCGGATCGCTCGTGCCACCACTGGGTGTCGGAGCAAGAGCCGGTGTTGGCGTCACAGACCTTGGTGACTTCGTTGTAGGTGTAGCCTTCACTGAGAGGGTGTTAGTGTATGTAGAAAGGAGCGTGAGAGGAGACGTACCCGCAGTCACAAGGAGAGACTTCGGTCTCAGGGATACAGCTGAGGCAGGTGTTAGTGACGGCCGCACAAAAGGACAAGTTGACTTACCACTTGGCGGTCTTGTGCATGCTCCAGTCGAAGGGACAGGTCAAGTTGGCGTCAGGACTAAAGCCTCGTCAGCAATGCCCAACACTCAGAAAAGACCAAGACCCACGTAGTACGGGTCTCGTCAGAGCAACAGAGGGCGAGGCCCAAGAGCTCGGTGATAAAGTCACCCTTGGCGGAACAAGAGCTGGTCAAGTCGACAGAGGCGCTGGCCGAGACGTCGATGGAAGCACCGACGTTGACGGTGGCACCAATGGCAAGAGAAAGACCGTTGGCGGAAGCGTAGCCGGCGAAGGCCAAGAGGGCGAGAGTGTTACCGGCAAACATCGCGATAGTGTATGTGGGTTGGGTGGTAAAAGGTAAGGTGAAGGAAGAAGGTTGGTTCAAACGAGTGTGGGTTAAACGAGTGTGGTTGGGAGTGAACTGGAAGCTGAAAGTATTGCTGGATGGGAGAGATAGAATCGATGTGGGCAGTGGGCCTTTTATAGACAAAATCCGTGTTGATGACATGGGGTTGCTGCCGAGGCCTGCAATCCAACATACAGCCCAAGAGCCTCCCGCACGGACCCCCGAGAGAGAGAAGTAAACAGCGGGAGATGACGGGCCACCACGGGCATGAGGAATTACTCACCGATTCGACCCTCGCAAGAGCGATTGACACTATCGTATGAGACAGGAACTACCAACTGATGGGGTGTATGTCGTTCTGTCACGGCTGCTAGTCGCTGGAATCTCCGTTGAATAAACAATTATAAGACCTAGCGTGTGGGGATTTCTCCCGCCCAGGGCATACATAGAATTTCCTCCTATATTTGTGCGGTGTCTTGATCGTCGCAAGAGATCAAACATCCTGCGCGTCAGTCACCTCCGGGCACCCGTCGCGTTACGCGCCTTACTTCGGAGACCCGACCTACAAATTTCTGCTGCTACGGTTTCTCTTTCCCTGCCTAGGCATGCATTTTGCTGCATACCGAGCATACACGGGAGACGCCTCAACGCGTATGTATTCTTTTTTTCCCTGCCCGGGTACGCTACTCGCAGGTCTCGCAAAGAGAGGCGTATGTACATGAAGGCCATAAATTTGTGAAAAAGGACAGCGGGAGCGCTTCCTGATCCATGTCGAGCGTCGCACAGTCGTACATACTGAGCGTCAAACGTTTTTGCGCTACATGGCACCTATAGCTTCGGTTCTTGGCTCTACGCAGAACACTTGATCACACGTGCATCTCCATAGCCTTACGTAGCTCCATGCATACGACTCGTGCTGCTCTTTTGCCTTCTCAAAGCTCTCGAAGCCAGCCATTTGGCGCCTCACGGGCTAGCGTTCCTGAAGAAACGCGTCGTGGCCCGTTTCACACGTCACTTTTTTCTTGCTAATTGCTCCAAATCACCTTCCCGGCACTACGGGTCTCCGGCTCACCAACGCTCTAATACTTTTACACCTCATAACACGGGAGAGAGCTCGATAAACGAGCTGCAAACATGTCTGCGTACTGGCGGACGCAGATTGCCCACAGCCCACAGCGAGCAGCAAGCAGGGCTGCCCGGGCCGCCCAGGGCCCAGCCAACCTGACGACCGACGCGACAATGCCCATATTCATTTCCGATCCCGCACTGTAGCTAGCGTGTTGACTTGTCGAGGTGTCAAGACTCGGTGTCTCTTGGCTGTTTGTTTACCGTTGCACTCTGACCTTCTTTATGGAATCGCTTCTTCGGCCGGGGGCTTGTGCGCAATGTAAATTTATATATATATACCGTACATGATTAATTATCCATGTCGCTCATACACAAGCGGGGTCCCAATAAAACAAGATGAGAAGGGAAGATGAGAAGAGAAGATAGAACTCGGAGAACACCAACAAACAAAAGATCTTGTACTACTCTATTGCCTACTCAGATTCTGCATCTGCACCAACTCGTACTATGGGGCAAGGTCAGCTTAGCATTATGCTAGTGGACATTAGACTCACGTATCCACCTCTGAGAGCCAAGAGCTCCTGATGTGTCCCCCGCTCCTCCACCTTCCCCTCCGAAAAGTAGTAGATCTGATCTGAATGCTGAATACTCGACAGTCTATGCGCAATGGCAATCGTCGTCCTTCCCTTTGCAGCTTTGTCCAGCGCTTCCTGTACCACTTTCTCTGACTGACTATCCAGGGCAGAGGTGGCTTCGTCGAGGAGGAGCACTTTGGGGTTGCGTATGAGGGCACGGGCGATAGCAATACGTTGCTTTTGTCCACCGGAAAGTTGAGAGCCCTTGCCGCCGACTTCAGTGTCGAAACCGTCAGGGAGCGACATGATAAAGTCATACTGTGATCGTGTCAACCTGAGGTTTCGCAGGTCCCGTTCTGAAAGGTGACTTACGATGTTGGCATCTCGGCAGGCAGCGTCGATCTCTTCTTGAGTGACTTGTTCCATAGGCTTGTTGGCACCTAGCAGAATGTTGAAACGAACAGTACCAGCGTACAAGGTCTATAGCATAATCAGCACAAGCCGGAAGCCGTGAAGGACATGTTACTTGCCGGCTCTTGCGAAACGAGTGCGATATGACTTCGGTAACTGGAAACGTTGATGTCCTTGATATCTACTCCGTCCAAAGTGACTCGTCCGACCAGGGGGTCGTAGAAGCGTTCCAACATCTGAATGGTAGTAGATTTACCGCAGCCAGATGGCCCAACAAGCGCAATGCTACAATGGTCAGGTTGGTCTTCAAGGAAGACAAGCAGCTCACTAGCTCCCAGCGGGCACATCGATACTCAGATCCCTCAACACTCTCACTCCGGGCCTTGTCGGGTACCTGAAGTGCACACCTTCAATCCTGACATGACCGTCCACCTCTCCCTCTCCGAGTGACTGGCCATTGGTCGAGTCAGAATCGATAGAAGGTCGGTCATCGATGGTGCGGAAGATGGAGGCAGCAGACGAGTTGGCTTTGGAGGCGTCGGGGACAAAGGAAAAGACGTTGCCGGCTTGTATGGCCGCAAAGACCTGTTTGCAGAGTCAGAAAAGCTCCATCCAGAGAGAGGGACTTACGATAGAGTTCAGGACAGTGTAGAATGTGGAAGTGTTGTATCTCCCGGAGATGATCCAGAGGGCGCCGATGTAAAAGACCAAAGCGATAATCAAGAAGGTCATACCTTGACTTGCCGCATAGAACGCTTGACTGTAGATGGACGTCTTGCTGAGACGGCATCAGCATCGACGCAATATTCCAACTCTTGACTCACAAGTTGACCTTCATGGGCTCCACCAAAGCATTCGAGTAAATCCTCCCCACATCATCTTCCCTCGTAAGGCTCGCCACAGTCCTTACTGCGCCGGCAGCCTCGCTAGCGAGATGAGCACTGGCAGCGTGTAGCTTCTTCATGCGTTGATCCTTGAGAACGACAACCTTGAGTCGAAGCCAACCGCCAGATACGAGCAGCGGGACACAGGCGATACCAATCAGAGCGAGGACTGCAAAATTGTCAGCCAGGGCCGGCTAGAGGACAGGGTACTTACGAGGGCCGTAGCAGAGTCCGATGATGCAACCGCCAATCAAGGTCGTACAAGATTGCACTATCGTACCAAGTGTGGGACCAAAGAGACCCTGGACCTTTTGAGGTTGGTCGGCAAGGTTGGACGTCACAGCGCCAGTCTGTCCAGACGTCAGCTCGAAGCCAGCAGCCAGTGAGTCAGGCATACAGAGTTCTCCTCTTCATCGAACCATCTGATATCATGTCTCAGAACGGCATGGAACAGCTTCTGCCTCAAGGTCGCGTTCAAATCCCATCCAGTACGCGAGAATCCGGAAGCTTGCAGGAACATGACCAGTGCGGAACAGATGGCGGAGATGAAGAAATACAAACTGTCAAGTGTCAATGATGTTTATTGGGTTTGTAGATGACCCACGCTTTCCGATCAAGAGCATGTCGCAGCTCTCCAAAGTTTGTAATCTCGAAATCGGCCAAAGTTCTACCGAACAGGATAGCCAACGAAGGATAAACCATCCCCGAGCATACAGCACCCAAAAAGCCTACGCTCATTAGTCATCAGAACGTTCGAACAAGTCGCGATACACACCATAAAAGTAAGTCCTCTTCTCAGCCTTGTTGATCTTGAGCAACCTCGCATAGAGCTTGTAGCTCGAAGGCAGCTTGTCATCTTCTTCAGCCTCTGCCTTGCGCCTTGCCTGTTCCCCATCCATGGCGATACTCGCCAAAGACCTGCCAGTCGCAGCCCGCTTGAGAGGGATCTCGTCCTCAAAGACGTCTTCAATCTCGGCTTGTACGGGCTCTGCTCCAGGGGTGAGAGCTTCGACGGCTGCTTCTTGAGCGAGTTTCTGGTTGTTGACGAGTTGGGCGTACTACAAATTTGTGAGCTAGGGTACACCGAAGTATGACGAATGGACTCACAACACTGCCTTCGGTAGCCAACAGTTCGTTGTGAGAACCTTCCTCGAGGACCTCTCCGGCACCCATCACATAGATCCTATCGGCATCTCGAATTGTACTACACCGAGTCAGCCAGAGTAACACTGTCAGAATAGGCAACTCACGATAAGCGATGAGCGATGGTAATGGTCGTCCTCCCCCGAGAAGCCCTGTCTAGGGCATCCTGCACAATCCCCTCACTCTGCGTATCCAACGCCGAAGTAGCCTCGTCCAACAACAAGATCCTCGGGTCGGATACAATCGCCCTAGCGATCGCCACCCTCTGCTTCTGCCCGCCCGATAACAACATTCCTCTCTCCCCTACAGACGTCTCGTACCCCTCCGGAAGCCGCATGATAAAGTCGTGCGCATTCGCATCGATACAAGCTTTCTTGACGAGCTCAAACTTTTCTTCGGGGGAGGCGTGTTCCCATTTGGAGCCGATGAGACCGTGTTCGACGTTGCCGCGGACGGTGGTGCCAAACAGGGTGGGTTCCTGGGAGACGAGACCGATCTGTTGGCGGAGCCATTTGAGGTTGAGCCTTTTGATGTCGATGCCGTCGAGCTTGACGGTACCAGCGATGGGGTCGTAGAATCGTTCGATGAGGGAGATGACTGTACTTTTGCCGCTTCCTGACGCACCGACCAGCGCTACACAGAGCTATCAGCCTACCTTCTCCTAAGCAAGACAGATACAAGCGACCCACCAAAAGTCTTTCCAGCCTCAAACGTAGTTGTAAAACCTTTGAGGATGGGCACGCCCGGCCTAGACGGATAATGGAATTTGACCCCCTCAAAACCAATCTCTCCCCTGACAGAGTCGGGTGTCAGGCCGTCAGGGCTAGCCGAGTCGATAGGCGGCACACGGTCGACGGTAGAGTACAGTTTAGCGGCAGCACCGCGAGCTTTGGTGACTGCTGCCATCTCGGGAGCCTGGGGGGATGTCAGGCTGGACTGCAAAGCTGAGCGGAGGGGACTCACGAGCATGGCCATACTGAATGAACCGATGAGGATGGACATGAAGACGGTGATGACTGTTCCAGAGTCGGCTCGGCCTTGCGTGACAAGCACACCACCATAGAAGAAGGCCAGCGCGTAAGCCGCGTAGATGGCAAAAACTACCCAAAATGTCAGCTGTGTATATACGTATACGAGAAGAATGATACGTACACATGATGCCCAAGCCGATACCTTCGTAGTTGGACCCTTTCTTGCCCATCTTCCGGCTCAATTCAATCTGATGGTTGAACTTGTCGCCCAAGACCTTTTCTTTACCAAAAGCATGGACAGTCCTGATACTCCCAATGACCTCTTCCGCGATATTGCCTGCCTTTGCGATATACTCCAGACTCCCAGTGCCATACTTGGACATGCCCTTCATCATGATTCCGCCGACCATCATGATGACCGGAAAAATGGAGAAGAGCGCTCCGGCGAGACGCGGGGACTTGACAAAGGCGAGGACGAAACCGGTGACGAATTGAGCGAGGTATTGAAAGACGAGACCGATCTTTTCAGAAGTGCCTTCTTGGACGAGGTGGCAGTCTGTCTGGATGCGAGTGGCCACTTCACCGGCGCCGAGGTCGTCAAAGTAGGCAATCTGCAAAGATCAGCGGGGAAAGAAAAGAGGAGTAAGAGGATGTACTTCTTGTCGGAGGACAGCGGCGAGATACTTTTCGCGCAACCGTTTAGAGCTGAGCTCTCCAGTAACGTTCCAGATGAACATGTACGCCCAAGTAGCCAAAAACATGCCTACACCGATGGCCAAAAGATAAAGTGCATCGTGCCCGGCATTCAGCTTCAAATCGGCCTTGGCAGCTTCGAGAGCCGCAGCAGCATCGACCGAAACACCGTTATCCTCGATACCTTGTACGATGACGGCAAAGTTCGTGAACGATGTGGTGAGTCGACCAAAGATGAGGGTCATGAGGGGTTGTGCGGCACCGGCGCAGATAGCGAGAAAGAGTCCGAAGACCATGCCGACTCGCTCGAACGAGGTAGAGAACCGGAAGAGGGCGACAAACGAGACGGGAGGAAGAACATTGGTTTCGTCGTCGTCCTTCTTCTTGTCCGTCTTCTTGTCCTTCTTTTTCGACTTGAGAAGGGCAAACTTGGACTTTTTGGTAGGGGCAGAGGCGTTTGTGGATGACTTCTCCAAAGCTGGTTGACGAAGCGTATCGGACGAGTTGGTAGACGTCCGTAAGGGTTTCTCGCTGTATTCTGAGAGAGCAGGTTTGGCCTGGGTCGGCCCGGACGGCTGTTCTTGAGGGATGCCGATGGGAAGAACAGGAGGAGCGATGGAAGGGCCTACAGCCGATGGGTAGGGGATGCCAGTATTGAGAGCCTGGGCATTGTGTCCCACAACCTCCTTCTCCGTATCGACCAAGGCCTCTGTCCTGCGCTGGGAATCGTGCGCGGCTGGGGGATTGTCGATGGACATGGCTCACACCAAAGGCCGAGCAAGCGGGGTGGACTTGGAGTCTCTTTGCTGGATGTCAGTTGAGGGATTGAAATGGGAAGAGCGATGAGATGTGGAGCGATGGTGTTGTGGCCGTGGAATTGACTTTTTGGCCGAGCGCGGCGCGGCGATCATCAACAACAGTTCCTGAAGGTCTCGATGACTCACCTTCTCGAAGAATACTCGCCTGTGGAAGGAAGATACAGCAGGAGGGAATTGTGGAAAAGACAGGCGCTGTTATATCTTTCTCTGCGGCGAGGATCGTAAGACGGGCAGCCCTGCACGGCCATCCCCGGCGGCCGGCAGCCATTTCAGGGATCAACAGCCGACGCCGTAAAGACGAGCAAGCGTCAACTCGATGTGTTCTACACTCATACATGCTTGGCACTCCTTTTCCGTAGCTGGGAAGCCGCGGCAAGTGCGTAAGCGTCCTCAATCGACACGGGCGCGACCATGTAGCGAAAGGGTGGCTCGAAAGAGTGGCTCGAAAGAGTGGCATCGGATGCCGACTGGCCACCTCAGCGCGAGTTAGCCGCCCGCCTTTCCATAGCGGCGGCCGGTTGCTTTCCTATGATCTACTCTATATCAAATGCCCAATGTCCAGATTCAAGTACAAACTCTCCCCCCCCCCCCTGATGCCGACTGCCAGTCGACAAATGCAAACCCTTCCTCTATCATTGTCCACTCAGATTTTGCATCTGCACCAGCTCACACTGCGACCCGTCAGCTTGGTTGTTCGTTCAAATGATGGCGGCAGGCTCACATGCGCACTCGTCCATGTTGTAGATACACGATGGGCGATAAACTTTGCTGCCGTAGATCTCCTGGAGCCATAGATGCATCAGGAATGCGTCTGGACCAGCCAAATCACTCACAAGTCTAAGAAAGGCACCACAGTTCTCGCTCGTACTCGCATCTTGGCGGCCAGCTTCGGCGCGGTGTAGCCGTAAAATTTCGAGTTCAAGTCGGCGCGATAACACTCGACGAAAATTGAGCCCAATCTCTCGCCCAGGGGATGGCCATGGAGAGCTTGCCCGAGTTTTCCAAGCAAGGCGGGTGACTAAGGGTATGTTTTGGGCCCGGCATCAAGAGACTGCCACCGATAGGCAGATCAGGTCCGCATGAGCAAAGGCGGGTCTCTGGCCTCTCAGCGCTGAAATCATCCTTGGCAAAGTCAATGATCCTTCCACTCCTCCCCAGGCCTCCCAACCTGCACCACCCTCCCCTAGAACCCCTCTCGGTCCCCGACGGATCAACACTGTGCTTCGAACTGGGGAGCTGGACCCATTTGTGGCTGTTGCGCAGGCCCAGACGGCCGCAGAGGTGGCAAAGTCAGAGAACGTGCCGCTGAGAAAGGAGTTGGAGGAAGCTAGAGCAGCGATGGCGCGAGACCAGGCCACCAGGGGAGGTCGCAAGGCAGTTCAGGATCTGGGTGGGGGTCTATATGACCCCGAGTATTGGGATGACAACCGTGCTGACAGAGTACGATGTGCCATCTTAGATATGGACACAGTGACCAGTGAGCTCTTCTCCTTCTCGGTATGTTGATTGATCGCTTATCACCCTTCCTGTAGGATGGTAGAGCTTCCAAGGCCGGTCTGGAACGACGTCAAGGATGCTCCCGAGACCTAAGCAGCCCTTAAGCGTGGTGCCAAGACGCTCGGGAGGGAATGATGGTAGACAAGCATCGTATAGATGATAGATGGCGGTGGTGCATGCAATGGGTTTCGTTGACACAATCGTATCATTCGTTGACCGCACTCTCGAGCATGATCGGCCAGGTGTTGATATATTCTTATCAAAAGGACATGTACTTCAAACCCAACCCTTGTACCTTTCGCTCTCATACCCTGTCGCACATGTCCAGCAAACAGTGCCACAGTCGAGCTCTTACAGCGTCTTCATACTTTCATGCTATCACGCTAATCGAAAGTCTTTTGCGTTTTGGGGGCACGTTTTTACATCTTGCTTCCTTCTTCTCTTCTCCTAGAAACAACCAAAAGAAAAAATATGGAACGAGAGAGAGAGAGGTAGTCCCAGGAGTCCCGGAAATGAACTGATACGTTATAAGAAATAAGAACCATGGAAAGAGGGGGAGACACGGGGAGGGCTTAGGCCTTGCCGGCAACCTTGGCCTTGACCTCTTCCACGATCTCGGGGTCGGCAACAGAAGAAAGGTCTCCAAGCTGGTCCGCCTCGCCCGCCACAATCTTCCGCAACACCCTTCGCATGATCTTGCCTGATCGCGTCTTGGGAAGATCCGACACAAGGAACTGCGACTTTTATCAGCTTGTGAACTGACAAAAGGGTGAGGAAGGAACGTACAATCTTCTTGGGCGCGGCAAACGGCCCGATGACCTTCCTAACCTGGATCGCCAACTCCCTGCTCAAGTCCGCCTCCTTGGTGGTGTTCAAGTCAAACTCGGGCTTCATCGTCACAAACGCATACACTGCCTGACCTGTGAGGTCGTCCGCGCAGCCCACGACGGCAGTCTCGGCGACACCCTTGTGGAGGATGAGGGCGGATTCGACTTCGGCTGTGGAGAGACGGTGGCCAGAGACGTTGATGACATCTGTACGTACAACGTCAGCAGTGATACACGAAATGAGGAGGAGGGGCGTACCGTCAACACGTCCCTTGATCCAGAGGTAGCCGTCGTAATCCCGAGCAGCACCATCACCAAAGAAGAAATACCCAGGGTAAGGCTTCATATAAGTCTCCAAGTACCTCTTGTGGTCCCTGTACACGCTCCTCGCCAGACTCGGCCAGGGCTTCTTGGCAACCAACACACCCTCCACATCGTTACCCTCCAACACGGCACCAGAGGTAGGGTCGATAATGTCGAGATCCATACCGAAGAAGGGGAAGGTGGCAGATCCGGGCTTGGTAGAGATGGCTCCGGGAAGGGGGGCGACGGCGAACGAACCGGTCTCAGTCATCCAGTATGTATCAACGATAGCACATTGCTGCTTTCCGGGGAAGTCGTTGTACCAGTGCCAAGCCTCGGGGTTGATCGGCTCACCGACAGAACCCAAGACCCTGAGAGAAGAGAGATCATGGTTCTTGACGTGCTCCTCTCCCATACGCCTCAACAGCCGGATAGCAGTGGGCGCAGTGTAGAGCTGGGTAGCCTTCCACTTGTCGACAAAGTCCCAGTATCGGGCGGCTGTGGGGTACACGGGCGTACTCTCAAAGATGGCGGTGGTGATACCGTTCGAGAGGGGGCCGTAGATGATGTAAGAGTGGCCGGTGATCCATCCGATATCGGCCATACAGGCGAAACGGTCGTCGGGGTGAATGTCAAAGACGTATTTCAAGGAAAGGTGGGCGCCGAGAAGGTAACCAGCGGTAGAGTGGACGACACCCTTTGGCTTGCCTGTAGATCCGGAAGTCTAATAGTCGTGTTAGTTAAGCCAACGAGATTGTATAGGGAGGCTCACGTAGAGGATGAAGAGGGGGTCTTCAGAGGCCATTCGCTCGCAGGGAGCATAAGCGGGTACCTTGGCGCACTCTTCGTCCCACCACTTGTCTCGGCCCTCAGTCATGGGCACCTTGTTGCCAGTCCTTCGGAGGACGACAACGTGTTCGACAAGAGGACACTGTTGCAGGGCGGCATCCACAACTACACATGATCAGTCATGTGCACAGATAGACGCGAGACAGCACTTACTGGCCTTGGTAGCGATGCTCTTACCACCACGTCGACCCTCGTCGGTCGTGATCAAGACTTTACACTCGCAGTCGTTGACCCTGTCACGCAGAGACTCGGCGGAGAAACCGGCAAAGACGGCAGAGTGGATGGCACCGATACGGGCACAGGCGAGGAAGGCGGCAGCAGATTGCCAGGTCATGGGGAGACTACGTGTTTGGTCCCTGATCAGTCCCGCGCACGGAAGAAAGTCGCCCCATCGAAAATTCGGCGGATGGAAAAAAAGACAAGACACGCACTAGATGGATACGGCATCGCCCTTCTTGACACCATAGCTCTTGAGGACGTTGGCGAGTCGGCAAGTCTCCTGCATGAGCTCCCTGTAAGTGATTTCGCGCGACTCGCTGGGCTCGTCGGCCTCGTAGATGATGGCGGCCTTGTCGGGGTTGGCGTAAAAGTGACGGTCGACACAGTTGTAGGCAGCATTCAGCGTACCCTCGGGGCTGCCCTCGTCGTCAGCCAAAGAGTCTGGCGGAACACGACGCGGCAAGACTCACAACCACTGCACGTCGCCCTCCTCAAAGCCGCCTGCCCGGACAGTCTTGAAGTCTTCATACCAGTCGAGGGTCGTCCTCGCCTTCTCGGCCCACCACTCGTCGCTGTTGGGGCCGACAGTCTTGGCCCACTCCTTGAGGTAGGCCTCGTAGTTGGGGCCGATGTGCGGCTTGGGGCGGTTGTCCTCGCCGCGCAGACGGGGCGGGGGGGCAAAAAGGTCTTCGCTCTCTGGGACAGAGTCGGGGAGGGGGTGTACGTGGTGCACGCCGGGAGCGACTTCGGTCTTGCCCATGGTGTTATATGTTTAGTGATGCGGAGGTGAAATGGGCTGGACGCGACTTAGGGAAATTGTGCTAAAGCGTTGGGGATGCGGTTAGCGAAGTGGTAGTGGCATGGGCCGTTTGTAATGCTCACGGGTGAGGAATCCAAGGATTGGCTGGCTATGTACGGGGTGTATATGCACAGAGGAGAAGCACAAGGAGATGCTCCCGCCTTATAAGCCAGTGAGATCCTCCACAATACACCGGCCCACGCACCCGCCCGGCAACACCCATTCCCGACCCCCCACCGCCGCTGCTTAATCCAATACCCGGCCACCTCCCATCGCGCCGTAATCTCGGTCGAATAGCAGCTGCCTGATACTAACCCCGCGCACGAGACGACATATCAGTCAGCAGTGCCACCAGTGCTTGGTATCCCAGCCTTGGCCTGCCTTGCCGAATAAAGCCGTGCGTCGATTGTTTGGTCCCATAATGCCCTCTTCCAACACAGCTCTCCGAATTCGAGTGGAATTATCGTCCCATTCTGCCTCATTCCCTTCAGTCTCCGCGACCCCGTCGAGCCCGAAAAAGTCAATGTCGTCGAAACCGTCTTTGAGCCTAGAGATGAATTCGTGCGTGCTGCAACCTGCTGCTTTCAGGCGTGTTGATGTCACCTAGGCGTGTATTTCGGGTCACCTGTTGACTCTTCACGCTGTCTACTTCCCCGTCTGTACAAGACGTAAATCTATCACTTCCATGTACATATCTTTGATAAAGAAGGGTTGAAAGGCCGGGTGCTTACTATACTGGCGTCGTCTGGCCTCCTCTTCATCGCAGTCAGCCATGGGAACGGTCTTACCTTGAGCATCTTTCGTCCTCGCCGCTCTGCCCGCAGCTGCAGCAGATTAATTGTCAGCATTCAATATCAGACGAGGAAGAGACTTGCCCGGAGATCGCATACTCGCAGCAGCACTCCTGCTCTTCCTTTTCCTGGCAGACTTGGACTGCGCTGCTTGTTGCGTCTGTCGACTGTCGACCTGTGAAGCCCGAGAGAGAATATCGGAGATCTGCTGGGTACTACTGTAGAGCGACTTTTTCGGGTGGCAGTATCGATATAATGCTGTCTCAACGCCAGGTGCCGGCGCGCTAGAGTAGTGCGCGTGTTCTGACTGTATAGCGGTGCCACCACGACGTCAGTTGAAAAACCCTCTCACACCTCAGACACCTGACCTCGGGGGCGCCACGTACCTGTGGATCATACACAACCGCACTCGCCGACTCCCCAGCCATCGAAAACGTGAAAGTGGCGATCTATATCTTGCTCGGGCACAAGCCATCGCCTTAGGCGCTGTTGGATGCAGACTTGTTTGTCTTCTGTGTGTTGGTTGTACTCACTCATCATCATGCACTCTCGACGCTTCGTGATTTCCACTAGGATGGGGAAGAGAAATCAAAGCTGTCTGATGATCGCATTCTTATTGAACACCCCACCCCCACTCGACTTTTGCTGACGTTGATACGGCGCCTGAGAACCCCCATCCCCACAGGCCCACCAAATCACACTCCACCACCCCGGATTGAAAGCTTCAACTTGATATGCCATACCAACAGACAGGACTTGTTTGTGTTGAGAAGATTGCAGTAGCATGTTGAATCGGCCCCACATACTTTTGTCATGGTCGAAGCGCCTCGGTGATATGGAGCGTACCATCGTGATTGTTTTCGCATTGTATCGCCCCCATATCTCTAGCTTCTGTGCCACAGACCACTGTATGTTGGAAACAAAACTTGTGATGACCAATTGACCAAAAAATATTAGCATAAGCAATTCTAAGAATACGAGCTGCAAGTCCCGAACAAAAAAAGCTATAAACACACAGATCACCCTCTCTCCTTTTACACTTCTCCCATGTGCCCATTCCCCCCAATTCCTCAGCTCTCCAAAAAAGGCGCCTTTTTGACTTAATACATCCCATACTCATCCTGTCCCCAATCATCTTCTGTAATACTCACCCACGCTAGGTATAAGGACCCTATGGATAAGGTTTGCAGTAGCGAGGCGAGGAAGGCCGAGTTGATTTTGCCGTTTGAGGCCTGGCCCCATGGGTCAGCTTGGCTTCCACCTGTACAGAGGAGAAGAGAAAGGGAAGGGGGGGGAGGGGGAAGAGGACGTACGTTACAGAGAGGTTGGGAAGCGAGGAAGAATATGATTTGGGCGCCGGCGAAGAGGAGGAATGAGAGCGTGTACAAGACTGTGCTCTTTGGTCAGTTTTCCTGCCGGTGCAAAAGCAGAGCAAGGGGCTTACAAGCAGGTTTGACTTCATCCAGGACGATGACGACGATATACAGCATGATGACTAGATACAGTACTACCGCCCTAGTCTTCCATCAGCTCAAGTCTCTCAATGTAAGGTGATGGGACTTGCGCGGCTGGAACGATCAAAGTCAAGATAAATAGGGCGATCGACTTGACCTCGGCCACTTTGGCGAGAGGAATGTTGAAAGGGCTCGTCCAGTGAAAAGCAGTGTCGAGAGAGATGTAGAGGGTGGGTACGAAGAAGAGGATGCTGAACACTGTGAGAGGTACGATAGCCGCTGCTGTCCCATCCCTACCTTCCATCAGCCCCCTCCCCACCCATCACAACACAAAAAGTCACTCACTCTACCACCTGCGTCGCAATTAACGCATTCCCCAACAACAACCACGCCGTCACCACCCCCACCGCCACATGGATCGCACTCAAAATCGCCAACGCTTTCCCGCCTTGTTCCAGCACGGAGGACATGGTGACGGCTTGGAGGGCGGCGTAGAGGCCGTAGGAGAGGAGGAGGAGGCGGAGCTCGGTACGGCCGACGGCGGCGTACCGGCGCGTGGCGCGGAAGGCGAGGGACCAGGCTGTAAAGAGGGCGAGGGCGGAGAGGACTATCAGGGCTGAGGAGATGTCAGCCTGGGGCTGGGGAAAGGAGGGGAGGGGAGGGGCGTACCGATATCGCCGTTGGACCCTCGGTGCCCGACGCGCGCAATCTCGCAATTCGAGCCGATGCCTGTGCCCGCATCGGATACTGCTGCCTGCACAACAGGATCTTCATCTGAATTCTGGCCAGTCTGGCTCTCGTCGTTAGGTCAATCTTGCGCAATACAGTAGAAGAGGCGCACAATGTTGTACTGGTCAAAGAAATCTGAAGAGTTGGGGAAGAGGGTTGTGAGAGGCGGTACCGAGTCGTGGAGGTATTGGTAGAAGAAGAGATTGCATTGTGGAAGGACTGTGTGGGAGCCTGCTGGGGGTCAGTACAGCAGTCTCATAGATGACTTGAGGACGTACAGATCCACCGAAAAGATCCAAACGGGTCCGGCATCTTGAATCAAAAGATACTGGTTATAACCCTTGAAGGCGAAGAGATGGGTGGATGTATTAATGCGCTCGCAAGAGGACAGACGAGCGAACACTTCAGTCTTCAAGATATCCCTGGGAGGGTCGAGAGGGGCGAGTGCGGTCGCTGGGGTATAGAGAGCAGTCCGTTGCTGTGTCGTCAAGTGTCGTGAATACAGCTCTCAGAGCTGTGTGCCAAGCTGCTTCTAGCACGTCCAGGCAGCCGAGGATTGGAGGGGTCGGATGTCGAGGAGGGGCGGGGGCAGCTGCGAGTAGGGGCGTCAGAGGATACAGCGCTGGGGGAGGGGATTATGGTGGAAGGGCAACTCAGGATGGGTGTTGTTGAGGATGGGCCGCATGGGGTGGTGGCAATTTCCTGATTCAGTAGAGTACACACTGTCTGTGCGCAAGGAACAGGTAGTGGCAATGGTCCTGGAAGGGTGCGTGCGTGAGGGGCTGGGTTGGATGAAGCGATGGGATGAGGAGATGGGTGCATTGGATATTGAGAAAGGGATGCCGTGGAAGGCAAGTGGTCAGTTGATCATGAGATGAAGGGCTTCTCATAAAGGAGAAGACACTAGAGTCGCGTCCCGCGCGTCCCGAGGAGGGAGATGAATGGCTATGCACAGTCAGCTGAAGGCCGAAGGACCGTCCGCTATAGCTCAACGGTGGGAAGCTTGCATAGCTGCATAGCTGCATAGCTGCATAGCTGCATAGTTGCATGGCCTGCGAGTAAGAGATGGCCGAAAGGCCACAACCATCAGTCAACGCGCAAGGCAAGCTGACGCTATCCCCGTTGTCCTCTGTACACACCAAAGCAAGTTGGGCCACGGCGTTAGGCTGATCTGTGTATGATCTTGCGCAGCAGAGTATCCTTGCGCATGGGTACCTTTGAGAAACAATAGAATCTGCGATCTCTTGTATGTACCCTTCGCGGCGTTGGGGCTAGTTTCATGGACAATAAGAAATGGAGACAAACGGTGAATACAAAAACGCGTGGAAGAGACATGCAGGGCGGGTGACGTTTACCCTGAACTCTCTCGCTGCTGCTCCGCAGGAAAGGGCAGCGCGTTGATCAGGGTTTGGCGTTATTTTCCCTGAACGAGGCCCGACGCGTGTGATATGTCGCCCGCCCATAAACACGAAAGCGCGTTCATAGCCCAGCCCAGCTATATACCATGCATCACCGCCGATTAGGATTGCAGGGATACCACAAGCAGATTGAGAGGCGACTGTGGATCTCCAAATCAAGAACCGATGCCCAGAAAAAGCATGCATCATAGCTCCCTGCCCAGCCTGGACCAGCGGACAAACAACGAGAAGCGTGGAGCCTAGATGGCGTTGGACCAAAAGGCGCGATCTCATTCTTGTTCTTTCTTCATCTCTTTATATTCTTTCAATCCGTACATCCACCGACACCCACCACCTCTCCCTCCGCCCCCCTCCCCCTTCTTCCTCCCGACTCCTACATCTGCGCCAACACTCCGTCCTTCCGCTGCACCGCGTGCACGAGCCTCTGCCTTTGCCATCAAACCCCCGACCCCCTTGTAACTGATATAAACAGGTCAGTTTTACATTGTTCTCATTCTTTCTCTCTCCACCCCTTTCTCTAGTCCCGTACCCGTCCCCCTCCCCCGTTCCTCCCCTCCCTCCTACCCCTCACTGTCCGCGGCATTGTCCTCTTCCATCCATATCACCATAGCATTTTTTCTCTTTTCACGACTAGACATCACGCACGAATCAATCATCCGGTCATTTACTCACGATACATCACGCATAGTCTACGACCCACATTCATTCTCCCCACACCGTCTTTATAGACACCCACAAAATCTCTTACATCTCTACCCCTCGAGGCTGGTACTCGAACTCACCCATCATGTCCTACTCCACCGCCCTCTTCGCCCTCCTGACCGTCCTTCCATCCGCCTTTGCCGCAGTCACCTCTGGCACCACCTACTCCATCTCCCCCGCCCAACATGCTGGCATGTGTATCGCGCCCAAGTCCACCAAGGAGGGCGCCAAGCTCGTCTTGAAGGACTGTGACGAGGACGACACCACATGGCTGTGGACTGGATCTGCCCTCCAGAACACCGCCACCAACATGTGTGTCGACATTCCCGATGCGGGCAAGTGGTCTGGAAACCACGCACAGGTCTGGGGGTGCTACTCTTGGAACACCAACCAGCAGTACACCATCGAGGGTGCCATGATCCACTGGGACGACTTTTGTCTCGACTTGGTCGACGGCGGGTCTACTGAGGGCACTGAAATTCAGATCTGGAGCTGCTACTCTTACAATGACAACCAGCAATGGTCTTTTACCGAGGTAGAGGAGGTTGATGAGTCGTGTAGCGGTACGTTCGCACACTTTCGACGCGTCTTTGCCACTGACATTTCCCGCAGAATCGACCACGGTGTCTTCTACCGTCGTGTCCACCGCTACCGCCTCCGTCTCTGATGTTTCTGCCGAGGAATCTGTTACTTCTACCGCGTCTATTGCCAACAGCACCGAGTCTGTCTCTGCCAGCGAGGTTTACGGTAACGAGACTGCCTCTCTCACCCAATCTGCTAGCGAGACTGCTTCTGCCGGCGAGCTCTACCAGACCGCTTCTGCCACCGAGTCTTACGCCAACGAGACTGTTTCCGCCACCGAGTCTTACGCCGACGAGACTGTTTCTGCCACACAGTCTTACGGTAACGAGACCGCGTCTGCCACCCAGTCCTTTGTCAACGAGACCGCCTCCGTGACCGACTCTTACGCGTCTTACGCCACCGAGTCTGCCTCGTACTCCCTCAACTCTACCGCCACCCTCTCTTCTGACCTTGCCAACGCGACTTCTACCAACAGCTCTCTTGGTGACAACCTCTTGGCTCCTGGTGCTTCCGAGAGCGCTACTTCCAGCTCTGACGACTGGTGGGCTACTACCACTTCCGATGCTTGGGCGTCTGCCACCGCCTCTGTGTCTTTTGGATGGTCCTCCAACTCTTCAGAGCCTACTGCTAGCAACTCTTCGTCCGATGCCTGGGCTTCTGCCACTGCTTCTGCCACCAACCCTTGGGAGACTGCCTCCAACTCTTCGTCTGATGCTTGGGGCTCTGCCACCGCGTCCTCTTCCAACGCTTGGGAGACGGCTTCCAACTCTTCCTCCGACGCTTGGGAATCTGCCACTTCCTCTGCGACCAACCCTTGGGAGACTGCCTCTTCTACTGCCAGCGATTCTTGGAACGTGACTGCTACAGCCAGTGCTTCTGACGCTTGGAACTCGTCTTCTTCTACCGACTCTTGGGGGGCGTCTGCCACCGCCTCTGCCACGCAGTCGACCAACGGGTCTTCCAACGGCACTGCCACCGCTACCACTGCCACCTCTGCCATCTCTGCCACTGCCTCTGTCGGCAGCATGTCTTCTGGCAAGCTTCAGACCAGCGGCACCAAGATTGTCGACTCTGACGGCAACACTGTTGTCCTCAGGGGTACCAACATTGGTGGTTACTTGGTGCTTGAAGACTGGATGTGCGGTATCACCGACGACACTGGATCTTCCGACCGATTCTCTCTTTCTACCCTTGAGAACCGATTCGGTACCGACGAGGCTCGAACTCTTGTTGAGACTTGGGCCGACAACTGGCTCACCGACGCCGACTTTGACGAGCTCGTCGAGATTGGCTTCAACGTCATCCGTCTTCCCTGGTCTTTCCGAACTGTAGAGAATGCCGACGGCTCTTGGAGGGATGATGCGTTCACCAGGATGGACTGGGTTGTTGCCAACGCCAAGGCCCGTGGTATCTACACCATTCTCGACTTCCACATGTGGCCCGGACAGGAGGCTTCTTACTCTGCCATCTCTGAGAACACGGACGACGGTGCCAGCCAGCGTGCGGCTGTTGGGGAGATCTGGAAGAAGGTCGCCGAGCACTATATCGATGAGCCTGCCATCTTTGCTTACGATGTGATCAACGAGCCTACTGGTTCTTACGGTGACTACCTCCAGCAGGACCTTTACACCGCTGTTAGGTCTGTCGACTCTGACCGTATCATCATTGTGAGTCTCTTGAGCTTTGTGTGAGCAGCACTGACGATTCATAGCACGAGTCCATCTCTACCGACCCCTCCACTTACAGCTGGACCAACGTCATCTACTCTATCCACGAGTACAACATGATGGGTTCCGACCTCGACTCCAACAAGGAGCAGTGGACCAGCGGTGTGCAAACGTACATTGACACCTGGTCCGGCTACAACATCCCCACTATTCTGAGTGAATTCATGGCCGACGGGTAAGTTGTTTTGCAAATCCTAAAAGTACACGGCTGATTTTTGGCAGTGACACCCTCGACTACATCCTCAACCAGGCCAACGGCCAGGGTCTCTCTTGGCTCTCTTGGGCCCACTCTACCGTCAACATGGGTCGATGGGGTCTTTGGAACCACGGTGCCTTCAGCGTCAACGTCGGCACCGACGACTATGACACCATCCTCTCCACTTGGTCCAGCATGCCTTCTACCTCCCACACCAGCGTCTACGACCAATTCAAGACTGCTGCCACTGGGTCTACCAGCGTGAGTAGCAAGAGGAATGTCATTCCCTTTGCTCCCCGAGCGCAGACGACCAAGCGACTCCATGCTAGCCATGGAGGTAGGTCCAGGAGGGCTGGTATGGGCATGGCCCACGCTGCTAGGGGTGTTGTTTCCGTCTAAGGCTATTTGGGTGTACCTTTCTTGTTTGTTTGACATGATTTTCTTTTACTAGGGTTTTGAGAACGCCTCATTTTTGTGGATAAATTGTCGTATAGCATCTTTCTCTTTTCTTCAACCTACCTTCTCTTCCTTGTTTACATCTTTCAATTCCTCTCGTGCGTCTCCTGCGTCCTTGTACCGCGTACATCACAGCAGGAGGCCCGACGATCGAGGCTGGACCTGCTAGCAGGGAAAGAGAAACAACTCGGAAGAAGAGAGAAGCCTTTGCTCTGTTGTCGATCAACGAGAATGGTTCTGAAAATGGGTTTTTGAAAAACAATCATCTGTTTATACAAATCAAACACATGGGGTTTCATCTTGACTTATTAATCTTTTCGAGGGGTCATCTCCAACAGCTTTCCGTACTGGTTTTACGGCGAGAGCAGCTCGTATCATCTTTTTGCATAGGACGATTTTTTGTTGGGGTGAACTTTTCTCGCTGGACGGGGAAAGACTACTGTTTCTTGTAGGGACGTAGGATGATATTTCGTAGATCTGGATCTATGCAATTACAACCCTTATAACAACACGTCGAATGATATCGTGCTGCATGGGCTGAGTCTACTTGAGCCATTCGTGCAATTGGGATCGCCACCCCTCTCCGTTACCGTCTCGCCCGATGATGGCCCCACCCATTCCCTCTAGTGCGGTCAAGGTGGCGGCAGTGCCTTCTGGAGAGATGCCCCGCATGGCGGGAGTAAGGAGAGCGGTCGGAAAGCCGGAGAGGATGGAGCTGATGGCTGTTTGGTTGACACTAGCATGATCGTGTCAGCCGTGAGCTGCAGCAGTTCGAGAAGGACGTACCAATAATCGGTAGCCAGGCCGACTATTACCGTTCTCTCTATTTTCGAATCTCTGAGAAAGTCGGTCAAGGCGGATGGACCATTGGGTACTACCTTGGGGGGCTTGGCGTCAGGAGGTGCGGGGTATGATTGGGAGAGGACATCGCCTTCGAAGGCCGAGTATGCTTCAATCCTGGGGTCCGTACCCTTCACCTTAGGTCAGCAACAGAGCTCTCAAAGTTTCCACATCTCTCTTACCTTTCTCACCACCCTCACACCTCCTCTATTCTTGAAAGCTTTTCCCAAAAACGCATCTATCTCTGCTCCAGTTGTTCCTTGCACGCAATGGTCAGGCCAGAGGGTTTGGGTGTAAGTTGCGTTGCGGGAATCGTGTTTTGGCAGCACGAGCTCTGAGAATGGCTGATGCGGTGGGTGGGAGGAGGCGAAGGATATATGGGATGGTGGGTGATAGTCCTATACTCCTTCAGAGGCGAATCGAGGACTTGCGGGAGGGACTGACTTGGCTAGCTATAACGAGGCCCCACTCCCATTCGGGAGCCAACAGCTCTTCGATAACGGGCAGTACTGCTCGCCCATTTGGGACTGCGAGGGACCCACTCGGAGGCAGAAAGTCGTTCTGGACGTCGACGATGATGAGGGCTGTGTCAGACATGGCTATGGTATACAAGAGGAGAACGATGAGATGTATAGAAGCGCCTCCACCTCTCCCGGCGGACATGGCCGAAGGGCACTCGAGCCTCTAGTCTTCATAGCATTTCGGCATCTCAAAGTGTCAACTGTCTTTCTTTCTCCAACAACAGCATACACTACAGCGATGGCACGACCCCCAGCCCCCTCTACTATCCCCCACGACCCCACGAACACCCTCGCCCTCCTCCTCCCCCACCCAAACCTCTTCTCGCCCCCGGTCCTCTCCCTCTTGCGCGCCCACTATGAACAATTCGGGCGTATAGCCCACTGGGCCCCTGTGAGAGGGTTTGGCAGAGTCATAGTAGTATTTGAGAGCGAGGAAGAAGCCGAGGTGGCCAAGGCTGAAGGAGACTGGCTCAAGTTGGAGGTGCCTGTAGGTGGCGAAGGCAGTCAACATGGAGAGGGAGAGGAGTGAGCATGCTCGGTCTGCAACGTGTACCACTGTCTGACGAGGCTGTAGACTCGTGCTTAGATTGCTCTATCTGCCAAACACAGAGCTCCATCCAGACCCCGCCACCACCCACCTCGCCCCTCCACCATTACCCCACAACTTCCTCATCTCTCCTCCCGGCTCCCCGCCCGAAGGCTGGGAACCCATAGCAGAAGATGCCCCTAATCGAAACATCCTCCCTGAAGACCTCCAACGTGCCCTTGAAGCTCTACAGCTGAATAAAGGCAGGGGCGATGATGGGAAGGAGGTCATTTTGGATGAAGGTGGGGTGAGGGTGGAGGTGGAGGATACGAGTAGACATGATGAGGTGCAAGAGGGGTCGGATGATGATGTGGAGGAATATGTGGAAGGAGGAAATGTTGCTTGGAGCTTGCCGAGTCAGATAAATGGAGTGGGGACGCCGAGAGGAGGTGCAACGCCTGCGTATGGTATCAAGATTATACCTACTGCGATGCCTCCTCGGTAAGGTAGCGATGGGACTCTTGTATATTGCATTTGTATGATACTTGACAATGGGAGGATGGATAATGTATGCATTATGAACTGACATGTGATTGCCCAAGATGGCCAAGATTCTATGTTACAACTTGTAAAGATACAGTAATTTAGCTCCTTCCCGTTTTGAGCTCTACCCCAACATTCACACTCATCAAAACCACATACGCCACTATCAAACACCCCGCCCACCTCTTATCAACTACATACCCATTCACCGGTACCCACACCGCCGTCGCCAGCAGAATTACCACCAACCCCGTGGCAGACACCCATAGTGTTGGTGAAAAGTCGACAGAGACGGGCTTGTGCGAGGCAGAGGTGATGATGTGGTATGATCCGGATCCGCCGATACCGAGAAGGAGGTTGAGCATGGGGCCGCCAAAGCAGGCGCCGTAGGCCATGGTAGGGGCGAATTGGGCAACGGTGACGTTTGCGACGAGATCGGCTAGAGAGTTGCCCACGGCGAAGACTATAGACGGTCAGTTGGATCGTTGGGGGTAGCTGAGGGGACGTACTGGTAAGGCCAATAATGGCGTCACTCAACCCGAGGATCTCGCCTACCGTCTAGATACTCATCAGTACAAAGCCAACCTTCGATACAAGAAGACTCACGTCCAAAACATCAACCACCATATCCGCAATAGCAGCAATCCATACCATACTACACGTGAACCCACAGAAGCACCTCACCAACCTCCAAGGCTGGGCTGTCCCGTCCGAGGCGTATCGAATGACGGGGACGGAGGCGATCAGGCCTGCAAGAGTTGTACCCAGTGCGATCCACTTGAACGATGACAGACCGTCTTGCAGAATGTCAGCTTGTCGCAAAAAGCAAAAGAAGCTACGCACTGAAAGTGATAAAGCAGCAGAATAATGGTCCCAGGACGCATTGGACGGCTGTGAGGTACTTGTTGAACTCTAAAGCACCCTCACACTCTTCTCCCTTCCCATCACTGCCTTCCACGTCGCCATAAATCTCATCCAGGTGCTCGTCGCCCTCTCCCTCAGCATACTCTTCACTCCTGACGGGACTCAGACCCCCAGATTCCGCGTGGTACCCCATCTTGCGCATGGCAGAGTGATGAATCCTGCCGAGAGGCGAATGGAGCGGAGAGAAGCCGTGGTCAACCAGATGATGCAGTTCTTCCCCGACATGGGGGTCCAGAAGCCTATCGGCTTCATCATCCTCATCATCCCCTCCCTCCCCATCACTCTCCCCTTCTCCTTCCCCATCAGACCCAGAAGAATCATGCAACGGCAGCCCCTCCCCTTCATCCAACCGTATCTCCCCCTCCTCCATCTCATGGCCATCATCCACCACTGGCAGCGTCAACGTCAGCGCCAAAACTTGGGGGACGGTGATGATGGCGAGTGCCATGCCGAGGATGGATTTGTGGCGGAAAGATTGCATGGAGGGGAAGAGGATTTTCAGAGCTGCGCGGACGTGTTTTGAAGCGCGTTTTCGCTTGGAAGTCAGAGGTGGAGAAGCGGGTATGGGGGATGCGGTCTGGCCGGAAGGGTCGAGGACGGAGATGGAAGGAACTTTTCGCGCGGCAATGTTGTCGTCTGGTATCACCAGCTTGGGCAGACTGGGTTTGGTCGGAGATGTGGGAGGGAGCTGGAGGTGGGGCGAAGGCGTGGGCGGGTTACCTGGCTGGTCATGCCACGGATTCGACTCGGGGGTGTTGGAAATCCCGAGACCGACCGGTGCTGGCGATCCACCTTGGTACGAATGGCGAGTCGGCAGGGTCATCCTCCTATCCCTCTCTGGTGACTGATCCGTCATTTGACTCGAACTACGACGCACGCTGTTGGACCGTATCCGCCTGGAAGACCCCCCAGGCGTGCCGGGACCGCCACGGCCCAAGGTATGCGAGCTCGACCGTCGATGTCCGAGATTCCCAAAGTAATCTCCCCTCTCGCGGCCTGTCATTCTCGGCGTCACTGTACCTGTGGGACTCGTCGACCGCGAGCTCTGGCCAGAATAAATTGAGCCCCCTTCTTTGCGAAGAGAATTGACGACGTCTCGGAATTCGATAGCGCCCAGGAGTGACATGTTGGCGCGGGGCGTGGGGGTGTCGAGGGGGTCGAGGTGGCGTGCGGTGAGGTGGGAGCTGGAGTGCGAGCGGCGGCGGGAAGAAACGGTGGGAGACAAGGATGTGGAATCATGGTTGGTGATGGGCACAGGTGGTGGGCGTTCAAGCTCTGGATGAGGCGATAGAGAAGCTAGAATCTTTGCCGTATCGCCACTGCCTTCCCTCGACTGTGTCCCTCGTCTCTTACCGAGGAAAATCCACCGTCTCTTTCTCTTCTTCCACCAGTTCTCGCTCACCACCACCGCGACGTACAGCAGATACAGTCCGACCATACCGCCAGATTCAAAGAGGGTGAGCTGGCCGTCGTGGAGGGTGATGATGAGGACGAGGACGGCGGTGGTGAAGAAGGCGACGTCGCGGCGAAAGGCGTGGCGGGGGACTTGGAAGGGTCCGATGAAGGCTATAGAGCCGACGACTATGGATACGACTGGGACGTGTGAGCGAAGAGTTCCAAGAAAGGAAAAAGACTTACTGAAGCTAGCGGCACCGATGAGCTCGCCTACAGCCAGTCCAACAGTCCCATTGCTCATAGCTGAGAATGTACTGAACACATCTGGACTGCCGTTGCCAAAGGCCAGAAACGTCACACCTGCTGTACTCTCGTTCAGGCCGAGGTAGGCGGCAACAGTGGCGAGGTTTGGACAGAAAAAGTCGGAGGCAGAGATACCAATAAAGGAGAAAAGGAAGGCGAGTATGCAGAGGAGAAGGATGATGAAGAAGGGCCGCCATGCGGGGGGGAGGGCGTTGTACCACTCAATATAGGGAAAGTCGAGCGGGCCAGACTGAAGTCGTCAGCTTGTGGCGAGGGGGTGGATGCGGACTCACTGCATCGTGATCGTCAATGAACCGCTTGATGAGACCGCCACCCTTGGGGAACCTTCTATCGCTCAGCCGGCGGGTGACGGTGAGAAGGATGATATGGATTGAGACAGTGGCGGTGAGGAGAAACCATGCACGCTTGCGGTTCCGCGTAGTGAGGACGACCATGACGGGTATCCAGGCGGGACGGGGGGCAAGCACGAGAACAGACAAGGGCGTCTGTAGGATAAGCTCTGTGAGCCTCTGGAGTCGGCAGAGAAAAGTGAAAGTATAGCGAATTCAAGAATTGAATTGAAAGATAGAGGACATGACGCGGGAATGGTGGAGGCTTGTTCTCTTGCATCTCCATTCAAATCACCAGCCATGGCACCGGCAGCGAGGAAGAAGGTGAGTCCCCTCTGCCCATGGCCCCGCTGACCCCCTCAGGTCCTGCTCATGGGAAAGTCAGGTATGCATCACCCACTACTGACATGTCTTATCACCTACTGACCTGGACCTAGGGAGCGGCAAGACGTCCATGCGTTCCGTCATCTTGTAGGTGACGAGGCTAATGCTCAGTGCAATGCTGATACCTGGAAAGCTCAAACTACAGCGCAAAAGACACGAGACGATTAGGAGCTACGATCGATGTCGAGCAGTCGGCAGTCCGCTTCCTCGGTGGTCTCGTCCTGGTACGGCATCCAACAACAGCAAGCGCTATGCACTAACCCTATCCAGAACCTATGGGATTGCGGCGGCCAATCCGCCTTTGTCGACAACTACCTCTCCTCCCAGAAAGACACCATCTTTTCCAACGTCGCCGTCCTCATCTACGTATTCGACAATACCACCCCCGAATGGGAGTCCGACCTGACCTATTTCGAAGAGATCCTGCTCGCCCTGCGCGAAAACTCGCCAGATGCTGGGGTGTGGTGTTTGATCAACAAGATGGATTTGACGGATAAAGAGGATCCGAAGAGGCGGGGATATGAGCAGAGGAAGGAGGAGTTGGGGAGGGTGGATGCGAGGGTTGGGGAGGAGACGGGGGAGGGCGCGAGGGGGGTGAGGTGTTATCCAACGAGTATCTGGGATGAGACGTTGTACAAGGCGAGTCCCCTGCCTTCTGCTCAGTCTGTGCTAATAAGGATACAGGCATGGTCTTCCATCATCCACACCCTCATCCCCAACATCTCCCTCATAACCTCCCACCTGACTTATCTCCGCGACCTCTGTCTCTCCGTCGAAGCCGTTTTATTCGAAGCCGAAACCTTCCTCGTCATCGCAAAGAGCGGCAGTCCGCTCGACTGCGATCCGAGCGATTTAGACCAAGTCGAGATGAAGAACGGGGTCAAAGAGCTGGATGCGCAGAGGTTTGAAAAGATCTCTGAAATTATCAAGGGCTTCCGGAAAGTGTGTCAACGCAATCATGAGCAGTATCAAGGGTTCGAGTGTAAATTCGAAGACTGCACCGTCGTTCTCGAGCCGCTCACGCGTAATACCTTCATCCTGCTCATCTCTACCGACCCACGGATTGAACCCGGACTCATGCTGTACAATATCCACCAGGCGCAGGGGCATATGGCAGAGTTTGGAGGGAGGATGAGTTTGGGGAGGAAATGTGGGCTATGTGAGCGGGAAGGAGGAGGGGAGGGAGGGTATGTGGGTGATCAGGGAGAGGGGAGGGCTTGGGATGATGCGGAGAGGGAAGATAGGGGTGTGGTGTGGTGAGGAGTGGGAGCAATTGTATACCGTTGTGAATAATAGCCAAAATATACATTATATGATACAGTTCTACGTCTTACAAATGGCATAACAGCACCTGAAGCAAAACAGACAAAACGCACAAAGACAAAAGCAAGCAGACAACAATCAAACCAACACACTCTACTGGAACTCTGCCATCAACCTCTCAAACTCTTCCCCATCGATATTCCCCCCATCCCCTCCGTCCCCTCCCCCGAAATTGAAATCATTCATATCAATCCCTCCCATCCCACCATACCCCGAATCACCCCCCATACCTATACCCATGTCCATGCCTATACCGGTGTCCATAGACATGTCATTCAGATTGTCTCCGTCCATCCCGGTGCTTTGGCCGATACCAAAGTTTCCACCGAGGGACGACATGTCCATGTTGCCCATGCCCATATTGGATATGTCGAGCGACATGCCGAGGAGGGGGTCGTGTGAGATCTGGTTGGGGGGATTTGTGCTCGATGCGTTTTGCTGGCTTTGATTCTGGGACTGGGCCTGGGATTGGGCCTGCGAGGGCTGGCTTGGCACTTGCGCCTGAGGCTGCGTTTGCGCAGGAACAGGAGCCTGATACAAACTCTGCGAAGGCTGCTCCTCAGCTTTGAGGACATCCTCTTCAACAGGGATAGTCGATATAAGCCCGTCTGCCTCTGCAAACAGATCTTCCAACGACCCGCCCACGCCCCCGGCTTCAGCCTGACCTTCTTTCTCTGCCAACGCCGTAGATGGAGGAGGAGGGTCTTGGTGGGGGATGGGATGGGTTTGTGTTGGGATTTGGGAGGGAGGGGCGGTGGTTCGAGCGGGGATGGTGGGTGCGGGCTGGGGTTGGGCATCTTGCCCTCCACTGCCACCAGGTCCCGCGTCGCGCCCTTGGAACAACCCAGCCAAAGCCGAAAAGTCCTCTCCACTCCCTCCAAGATCAAAGCTCATGACGTTCTCCCCTGTTGCATTCCCCGAGGACGCTTCGGGCGCATCTTGGCCGCTGAGACCCAACGAAGCGAGGATGTCGTTGCTAGCAGCTTGCTGCTGTTGTTGATACGTTTCGTTGGATACTTTGGGAGAGGCTCGGGGTTGGTTATGTGATGTGGCTCGAGAGAGTTTCGGGGCAGGTGCTTGGATGGGGATGATATCGTCATCGGAAGTGAGGTCTATCACATCGTGCTTGACTGGGGGTTGTTGACTTTGCCTTGTGTCTGGCTGACCCACACCGCCGACACCGTCTAGGTGGATACCAAATGCTGAGGGATCTCCATTGATCAAGGAGGACAGCTCGTTGAACCCCATACTACCGTAATCGAGACTCCCAGCCCCGGCCCCGGCCTCCGCCTGCGCCTGGGGTTCGGTGATGGGCGCAGCTTCACGCAAAGCTTGGCCCTGAAAAGCATTCGTACTCGCAGCGCCGAGAGGTACGGGCGACGCTGTACTCGTGGGTCCTGCAGGCGAGTCGGAGATGAGGTGCGCAGGGAGGGGTAAAGGGGCGTGCAATTCACCTCCTGCGGGTTCCGCTTTGACTTGGACTTCTTGTACGACCTCCGTCTTGGTCTCTTGGGGTAGTTCTGGGGAAGACGACTTTTTGAGTATGGGGGCGGGGGCGGGGATGAGGGAAGCGAGGGTGACTGATTTAGGGAGAGGGATCGGAGGGATGGCTTGGAGGCATTTCGGTTTCTCGCCCATGGCCTTGGTTATCTGTCAGTCACGTTTCAGAACGGTGGGTGTTGGGGCGTACAGGGTCCCATTGTATTTGTCTTCTTAAACCTTCGTAGGATCTCCAGCATTGTTCCAGACGGCGAGTCATACGTATCGGTGCTTCGGCATTCTGCAGTCCTCTGCATCTCCTGGTCAGCATAGAACCATACCCAATGAGCCGACTTGCATTCTCCGCGAAAAGACAGTATACTGAAATACCAAAGCCGCCTGCATGACCAGTTGCTGCGCCATACTATATCAGCGCTGCCCCAGCCGGAATTGGAACGACTCACAGAATACCGCTTATCCAGCTCTACCAGCTTATCCCCCTCCCCCTCCTCCTCCTGATGCTCCGCCTTGTGCCTCTTGGGATCTCTCGTGTCCATATCTTGCGCTGCCCGCTTCATAGCGTTGTTGTGGAATGCAGGAATGTAAGAGGAGATGGGCGCAAGTAGGTGCGCGTCTTGCTCGCCTAACCCGGCCCGGCCTATCCCCAAACTGATTACGTATGCAGTTCTCGCTTCCGGCCGTCGTCGTCACTGAGAGCCCCTCTTGTCCTCTTGCATCTACAATCCAACAGCATCCCACAATGTTCGCCGTCCGAGCCGCCACCACCGCCCGAGTTACCGTCTCCAAGGCCCCTGCTGTGAGTATCCGTCTGTGAGAGGGAGGGGGAACAGGCGTGGGAGTCAGGGATGTGATTCGTTGGCGTGGGAGGATCGTCATTTCGCGTGCAGAGGGGTGTATAAGAATGAGTGCTGACGTTTGCCTTGTCTATTGCCACTCGTAAACCGACAACCATTACTCTCTCCCAATTGTAACAACGCAGTCCATGTTTGCCCGATACTACTCTCCCGACGTCAGGGGTGAGGGTGCCACCGCCAGCTCTGCCGGTTTCAAGTACGTTCCCTTCTATCTCTCCGCCTGGGTACATCCGCCACATGTATCCATCCTAGCCTTGTGGTTGTCGCTGGCTAGCTGCCTCCTCGCGAAAAGTCGCCGAGCTGACATTTTTCCGTTTTGCCGTGTAGGACCCGTGAGCAGGCCAAGGAGGCCCAATACGTCCAGCAGCACGAGGCTGAGAAGCTCAAGCTTGCTCAGGCCAAGCTCAAGGCTGCTCAGGCTGAGGTTGTAAGTTGCATTCTTCTTTGGGCGCCGATGGATGATATGGGCGAGGGTTCAGCCGTTCGGGCTTGTACTCGTGCCCAACCCCATGACAGCCGGCCCAAGTCGGCTTGCGCAATGCCCGTCAAATGCAGCGCTGACAAAACGCGTGTTTAGGACAAGCAGCAGAAGGTTGTCGACGGACAGGAGAAGAAGTAAATTTGAAGCCATGTAGCCGAAAAGCAAGAGTATGAATGAATTTTGTGCTTGCATCCATTGCATTGTCTCTCCCTGCCATCCACTAGCCATGTCAATAGATCTCTTGAGCTTTCCGAATGGCGTTGAGAGCGCCGAGAGGGGCGTTGAGAGCATGTCGGCGGCGGCGGCCATGTGCGGGGTTCTATGACGCAAATGGCAGTGTACCAAGTTGACTCTTCTCTTACAATTGCCACAATTACTCGAATCCTTATACCCTCTGCGTAAACAATGGAGTCCAATCCAAGAGCCAGGGTAAGCCCCATCCCCATCCCCTCGCCACTAGCTGACCACCTCACAGACCCCAGCGGGCCGTAAGTCCCTTGGCATTACCGCATACCTCAGACTTACCCCCCGCAGCTGCTCGTAAACCCAAGAAGAAACGTCCCCCCTCCCCCCTGCCTCCTTCGACTTCGCCCGTCCCAGGTCCGTCTTCTTTGCAAGAGTTCCGCCCGGTTCCGAGACCATACCTCGCCAGAGCACCGTCGCCTATATCGAATACCCCGCACAACAGGCTGGCGGAGATGGTGCTCCCGTCTAGCTTTACCAGGCCTCAAGAGGGGCCTTCTGCACAGATATTGAGCGGTGCAGCGGTAGGATCAGGCGGCCCAGGGAGGGAGAGGGGGCAGAAGAAGAAGAAAGCAAGCCGGTATGCTCAAGGATTGTTGGCCCCGCCGAGTATCGTACCCGGAGGCGTCCCAGCAGCGCCTAGAGTCCAACACCAGCATTCCCGAGACCGCCGGCGAGGTGACGATCGGCTCGGAAGGCATGCGGGCGGTACAACAAGCCAAACGAGACTGCAAGATCTTGCTGCTGGAAATCCTAGTCAAACGTCTCTGGGTCATTTGGCGACGATCTTGGGGTCGGACCCTGTTGCGGTGGAACAAGATCCCGCGCCGGCGAGGAGGAGGAGGAGGATAGTGAGAGGGGAGGAAGAAGAGGGGTTGAGGAGGAGGGTGACGGTGAGTAGTCGGGAGGAGGGGAGGGCGTTGGGTGTGGCGAGGGGAGCTAGTATGCGGCGGAGGAACGTATGGGATGGTAAGCCATCCTAGAGTACTCTCTTGGTAGTCCAGAAGCTGATGCATGTGAATAGAAATATCAGACCAAATGGCTCAAGAGTCGGGAGAACCGCCACCGCCGTTCCCCTTTCCGAATGCTGCCACCGCCCGTCTTCCACCAGCTTTTGCCCGTTCGCCTTTGAGCCAGGGAGATGCTGGATCACAAGCCGGTGGAGGGGAAGGAGGGAGAGCAAGGTCGCCACCGCCGACGTGGGAACAAGCAGTCGGCTTGGCACCTTCTCCTGCCCCTGCCCTTGCCCCTGGTACTGGGATTACCCCAGAAGACCAACCAGCTCCGCCCACGCTTGTGGTACCGCCCACTGCTTCACGGCGATCTCATAGAGGCAGCTCGACAGAACGGTCAGCGTCACCGGCTTCGACGAGATACGAAAGCGCCCCTTCATCCCCTTCCCTTGCCCCTTCTCCCGACGCCCGGACACCAAACCTCCTCATTCCCTCTTTGAGAGTCAACCCCTCCAGAGGCCCATCTCCCGTCCCCACAGGTAGATCTCAATCTGGTATAAGCCCCATCATTGAACAGGATGAAGCGGGAAGCGATGGGGGCGATGGGATGACGGAGCAGGAGAGGGAGGATAGGAGGATGTGGAATGCGGATTTGTTGGCGGGGTATACGCTTGAGGATAGGGTTAAGAGGGAGTGGGAGAGGAAGGTTGGTAGGGAGGGTGGGGTAGGGGAGAGGGAGGGGCAAGGTGGGGAGGAGGTCGAGGCTGAACAGCCTCAATCTCCTGTCGCTGAGGGTCCTGCGAAAGAGGAGCCACCTGTCGCTTCAGATGAGCAAGAGACTGTAGCGCCGGTGGAAGAGGATGCTGGTGAGGTCATCTCTCCAGCCGTCGAGCCTCCCAATCCTTCGCCCCCTCCACTTTCCCATACCCCTCCTCCATCTACACCCACAGACCTTCGACCCCGGACACCTCCTCCTGCCCCAGTACAGCCTGATTCAGCACCAGCCCCTATCCCTTCACCAAAGAAACCCAAAAAGTCTAAAAAGAAGGGCAAAGAAAGGGCCAACACAGCCCAAGAAAGAAAGAGGATGACGAGTACAGAGATGGGCGAGAAGAGTCCTGTAGCTGCTTCCAGCCCTCGCACACCTTGGTCTACTGAAGCGCCTGTCTACAAGAAAGAGGTGAGAGAGGGAGAAGAGGTGGAAGAAGCGCCTTCGAGGGTTTATGGACCGCCTAAGGGTACGCTGGTGCCGAGGGAGGAGGAGGTGACTGCTGTCAGACCGAAAGACGAAGGGAAGCCTTCTGAAAAGGCTGGGAGAAATGAGCCAGAGACGCTACGTCCGTTGTTTCAAAAGACGGCATGGGCTTCGTCTCCCGAGGTGAACCAGATCTCCACGCCGGCGCATGTCAGATCAAAGTCTAGTGGGAATGTGCTCGGGGGTGCCAAGGCTAGCGTGACGCAAGCTGAGGCTGCGGCGCGCAAGCCAGAGGATGAGCTTACGGTGGGGAGACGGAAGAGCGAGGGAAACCTCGCGGGATCGGGGAAAAAGGATGAGAACGCTCAAAAGGGTGTACTTCCTCCCAGCAGGGAAGCTGCACTGAGAAGACGGGATTTGGCGGTCCCGAAGCCTGCTCCAGCAATTGTGGCGCCTGTCCCTGCATCACCTCCCAAACCTCCTATAGCTAAGGTTGAGAAGCTCCGCTATGGCGTCTCTGGCCCTCTCATCAACCTTGACGATTCCGACCCCGCCCCGTCCTCCTCGGCCTCATCTATCAAAGCTCCCCAAAAGTATATGAGGGATGATGAGCGGGGAGACAAGGACAAGGCGGATGTTCAGAAGAAGAGGGAATCGAATCAGAGTTTGTGGAGGCTAGCGGCTTCGTCGGCGGATCTCTTGCAGTTGCTGGAATCCGGAGGCGATCAAGACGAGCCTTCTACATCCTCCAAACCAGGTCCAGAAGACACCTCTGAGGCTGTCTCCAGCACTGCCCCAGTAGCAAGCTTGAGCAAGATCCCACCACCCATCCCTCCCTCTCTAGCTTCAAGACGCAAGATCCCACCACCCATCCCTCCACGTCCTCATTACATCGTCAACCAGCCTCCTCCCCTCCCCCCGCGGAGATCTGATATCCCACCGCCTGTGCCTCCACTGCCAGCGCCAAAGAGACGCCCTCCGCCTCCGCCGCCGCCTAGACATCCTGTTGCTGTTGCTCAGCTCGGTCTTTGGGATGAAGAGTCCAGGGCCGAAAGGGATGTGGAGGCAGGATCGGAGGGCATCCCGCTGAAAGATACTGCTGCCCCTCCAGAGGAACCGCGCGTGTCTGCGGCCCCAGCCTCGGTATCTTCATCAAAAAGACCTCTCGGCCCTAGGCCCCCACCGCCGCCGAGGCCATTGAGGTTACGAAACCCCTGGGCGCGAGAGCAAGCTGCTCCTTCGCCCGTCTTGTCTGAGCCTGCACCTGCGCCTGAGCCTGAAAGACCTGATAAGCGTGAAGAGACGACAGAGCCTCTCGAGGGGCCGCGTTTACCACCCAAAGTCCGTAGGATCAACGCTGCGCCTGCGCCCGCACCTGTACTCCGGCTTACACCTCTCCCGACGCCTACACCTCTGTCTGGCCCCACGGCTGGGAATATGATCGCGCCAAGATTGACCCTCCGTCCCTCAGCAGGCCGGACGCAGAGCGACGTCCCCAGCCAATCTGCCCCCCATCCCACCCCCTCTCAAGCCCACTTGGGTCTCCACCAAGGACACTCGGAGGCGGAAGCGGAGGAAGCGGATGATACCCGCGTGAATCGGTCTGCTTCGGCGGTGGACCTGAGGGACGGTGATGGTGTGGAGCAAGCGGGTGTTGGCGTTGATGTAACCCACGGCGAGAATGGGAGCGAGGATGGCCTCAGGAGGTTGCCGAGTGTACAAGATGGCCCCGGGCCCGGGGTCCATAGTCGGCCCGGACCGAGCGTGATTCGAGAAGAAAGAGAAGGGTCGGCGGGGAGAGAGTATACGGATTTGGAGTTGTTTGTGGCTAGGTTGGATGGGAGTGGGCGAGAATATGAAGTACGTCTCGTCTTTCTTGTTCTTTCTTGTTTGGTGGGGAGTGGGCGCTGACAGAAGATGAAGGGTTTCTCACACTTGACGACCTTCCTCGGCCCTTCCAAGCCCGCCGCCGCCTCCCCTGCTGCTCTCGCCACCCTCTTGCCGGGAATCGTATCCGTCGATTCCCGTCGTACCACCCCCCAAGGCAAGGTGAAACTCAAACTCTCTCTCTTGGGCGTCAGAGTCGCCAAGTGCCCCATATGTCTGAGCCAGTTCAAGGGCGGCGATAAGGGGGTGCTTGTACCCGGCTGTGGACATGCGGGGCACGAGAGTTGTGTGAAAAGGTGGTTTAGGGAGGATGGGAGGTGTTTTGTGTGTAGGGAGGTGTTGAAGGAAGAGTAAATCGGGGTGGTATAATCTTGTAGCATTAGTTGATTCCAACGTTATAAGCAGCATACATGAAATTGGCAAATACATGGACAATTGTTGTTTCTGATTAGGCGGATAATGGACCAAGTCAGGGAGGAAAGCTTCAGAACACGAGATGGCATCGTAAAAGTAGAGAAAATCGTCAAAAATACCCATTCCTATCCAAGCGTCTATCACCACACCCTACTCATCTCGTCATGCTCTATTGGGCGAGAATGGATCGGACGAAAGAGTGATAGTTGATCTGGCCGTCCCTGCCCAGCGACATTAGCACCTTTCGCCACCCAACGCATACACAATACGACTACTTACTGGACGGGGAAACCCTTCAGCAGCTCGTCCACCTCCTCGTCGGTCATCTTCTCGCCGAGCTGGGTGAGCACGTATCGTAATTCACCAGCACCGATAAAGCCGTTTCCGGCCTTGTCAAACACCTGGAACCCCTTGATAAACTCGTCTGGCAGTTTCCCCATCAGCGTCTGACCCCATAACGCATATACTTATGAGTCAGACACACCGGCAGTTCCAGCAGGCTTCCATCCATCCGGCCTGTTCAGGATGGCCAAAAACTCGTCGTAGCTAAAGGTAGCGCCGACGCTCTTTTCGAGCTCGGCCACGTCTGCCTGGGTGGGGTTTTGGCCGAGGGATCGGAGGAGCTCGCCGAGAGATTCACGGGCGACTTGTCCGGTACCCTTCTTGTCGAAGAGGGCAAAGGCTTCGCGGTATTCTGCAGAGGGGTGGTGATGTTAGTGAGTAGTTGGAGGGGGGGGGCTGGGAGAGCGGGGGACTGACCGGCGTTGTTACCAGACTAAGGGGTGTAAGCACATAGCATGGGGCAGGGGGGAATGGCTTACCATTGTGAGATAGAGAATGCTGTTGAAGAAGTCAACAGATGCGATGAAAGACACGCACGGACACTCTCGCGACGCGTTTATTATCCTCTCCCATTTCCTGCATTTCTCCGGCTGGTTCTGGGCGGCCCAGATACGTGGCCCGTTTGACATACAGAGGGTTTTTGGGGAGCAGCCAAAACGCCCAGTGGATTCTGGGTGTCAGAAAAAAGGAATGAAATATTTCACCATCCATACTTATCCCCCCGATCTCACATCTTCTCCCTCTCAGCCGCTCTTTCTCAGAAAAGCATCCCGTCCCACTGTCCACCACCCCCCGGAATCAAAATCACACCAAAAGCTCACCGCAGCCCCACTCCTTTCTCCCGCCCAAAAATCGCCACTCCATCATGTCCAACGGTATCGAAGGCCAAATGAGTATGCACCTTTCTCCTCCCTCAGCCCCGTGCTCACCCTGCTCCAGAAACAATGAGCCTTTCTGGCGCTGCCAAGTCTTACATCCCTCCCCACCTCCGTAACCGCCCCGCTGCCCCAGTCGCCCCGCCTGCCGCCGCCGCCCCCGCCCCTGCTTACCGACCTTCCCCTACCGGTCTCCCCACCCCCGCCACCACTCCCCCTACCAGGAGCATTCCCCCTCCCTCCGCTGCTGCGCCCGGCGCCAGCGGCTGGGATGTGCCCGCTGCTCGTGTAAGGAGGACTTTTGACGGTGGCGCCCCCCCTGGTTTCGGTACCTGGAAAGATGGCAAGCACATTGTCGGAGCTAGAAACCCCAGAACAGAAAAGGAGCTGTACGGCGAAGCCGGAGATGGGTTGCACCAGGTGGGTCACACGATCAAAAACATTTACGCGCCGTGCTGACGCTTCTTTTCAGTCTACTGGTATCAACTTTGACCGATACGCTGATATCCCTGTCGAAATCTCTGGAGAAGGCGCCCCCGAGCCCGTCACCGAGTTTACCTCCCCTCCCATCGACCCTGTCCTTATCGAGAACATTCAGTTTTCTCGTTACACCACCCCCACCCCTGTCCAAAAGTACTCCATCCCCACCATCGCCCAAGGCCGTGACTTGATGGCGTGTGCCCAGACTGGTTCTGGTAAGACGGGTGGTTTCCTCTTCCCCATTCTTTCTGCCCTCTACACCTTCGGTCCTAGCGCTCCCCCTGCCGAGGCCGACTCTGGCTTCCGTGGCTACGGCGGCAGGGGCCGAAAGGCTTACCCCACTGCCCTCATCCTCGCCCCCACCCGAGAGCTTGTTTCTCAGATTCACGAGGAGGCCCGTAAATTCGCCTACCGATCTTGGGTGCGACCTGCCGTCGTCTATGGTGGTGCCGATATCCGTCAACAGATGAGCCAGATCGAGCGAGGCTGTGACCTCTTGTCTGCCACTCCCGGTCGTCTTGTCGACCTTATCGAGCGAGGCAAGATCTCTCTTACCAACGTCAAGTACCTTGTTCTCGATGAGGCCGACCGAATGCTTGACATGGGTTTCGAGCCCCAGATCAGGCAGATTGTTGAGCGAGAGGGCATGCCCGGTGTCGAGGACCGCCAGACTTTGATGTTTTCCGCGACCTTTCCCAGGGAGATCCAGCACCTCGCCAGGGCTTTCCTCAAGGACTACATCTACCTCACCGTCGGCCGAGTCGGTTCCACCTCTGAAAACATCACTCAGCGTGTCGAGTATGTCGATGACCAGGACAAGCGTTCCTTGCTCCTCGATTTGCTCCTTGCCGAGCAGACTGGCGGTTTGATCCTCGTCTTTGTCGAGACCAAGCGAATGGCCGACACTCTCTGCGACTTCCTCTGCCAGCGACGCCACAACGCCACCTCCATCCACGGTGACCGAACCCAGCGCGAGCGTGAGGCTGCCCTCCACGCCTTCAAGTCTGGCCGTGCCCCCATCCTCGTCGCCACCGCCGTCGCCGCCCGAGGTCTCGATATCCCCAACGTCACTCACGTCATCCTCTACGACCTCCCCACCGACGTCGCCGAGTACACCCACCGAATCGGTCGTACCGGCCGTGCCGGAAACGTCGGTACCTCTACCGCCTTCTTCAACCGAGGCAACTTGAGCATCGGGCGCGACTTGATTGAGCTCCTCAAGGAGGCCAACCAGGAGGTGCCTCAGTGGCTCGTTGAGATTTCTTCAGAGTCTCGAGGCTTTGGCGGGGGCAGCTATGGTGGACGAGGAAGGGGCGGACGACGAGGTGGTGGTGGTGGCGGCGGGTTCTCGTCCGGTGGGCGAGACTTCCGTCAGTCCACTGGTGGTGGCTTTGGCGGCGGCTCTCGAGGCGGTTACGGTGGTGGTGGCCCCAGCTTTGGAGGCGGTGGTTTCCCTTCTGCCGCTGGCGGCTCTAGCGCTAGCTGGTGGTAAACGCCACCACAACCTGCTCCCATCACAAATTGTAACAATACTCCTCTTCCGAAATACAAGCAACAAACACCCCGCGTTCTTTATCCCCTCCCACATTCACCCCCTACACTCTTCTTTCGTCTCTACCCATCAAAACCGTCCTCTGCATATCAAAATAAACCAATACTAGACATCACGGACGTTTTGAGTTTTTTTTTTTCTCTTATATTGCATTAGTCTGCATCCACCCATATATACAGAAAGGAGACATTTCTTTTTCCCAAACACACCTCGGAACGCTATGGGTGAAAACTCTTTCACCAAAAACCATACCACGCTTGTATCATCAACCTTTTCTTTCGTCTACTTTTAGATTCTTTGCTTTTCTATCCTTGTTTCTTTCCTGGCTTTGCGTCTTTTTTCTGTCGATAGATTCCTCTTTCTATGATTTGTGTTTTCTGATCTCTGCATCTCAATTCTTCGGCCCCTTTTAGAAAACTACCTTTTTTTCTCAAGATTTCATGTGTGTAACGACCATTCTCGAAAAGAAGAAAAAGCGAGACTTGAACCTTCCATTCCAAAACAGTAGCATAGACGAATCATCCATTTCTTTCGTTTTTTCAGCCGGCGAGCAAGGGGAAGGAAGAAGGAGGTAGAAGTCTTTGAAAGGCTTTTTTTTGGGAGATTTTCGTTTCATGTGTTTAGTTTTTGGGGGATCAATATGCCCGCCTATATGAGATGTAGAGTGCCGGTACTGGCTTCATTCAAAACACTACATGACTTGGGGTGCAGAGGTGCAGAGGGAACATGAGATCAGCACGCTGACATGAGCGGGTGGTGGCAGTGTGGTGCGATCGGCGGGATCACTCAACGTGAACGTGGGCTGGTGTCATATGACGTCGGGACGTGGCGACCCCCGCTTCTTGGGGTGGAGGCGGGTGCAACTGCCTCGAGCATCATATCAAGATCGTGCACCCCCCCCTTCTCTTTCTCAAATCATACATCACAGCAAACCGAGAGTATGTCTGCAGACCAACAACTCGCCGTCTTTCTCGGGGACAAGATCCTCGCGCAAGCGCACGTCTCTGACCTCACGCACGTCGAGGGAAAGTACGTCCCCTGCCTTTCTCCATACCATGGAGACACGAGGACTGGAGCTGATATGCAGCGGTCGGCAGCTGGTATTTCCCCGACCACGCGCTTGTGGACAGGGGCCGATACACCCAAAGCGAGACGACTACACACTGTCCTTGGAAAGGTGCGACCTTTCTTCTCCTTATACTTCATTGCAATGGGGAAAGAGCTGATGGGCGTGGGATCGACAGGAGATGCCGGTTATTACAACTACAAAAGCGATGATGGGGAGATCAAAGATATCGCATGGTCAGTCATCAATTGTCTTGAGCAAATGGCCGATGGCGATTTGGGGATACTGATGAAGGGGTGTGTACAGGTTCTATCCGACTCCCAAGAATGGTGCGGAGGAGGTAGAGGGGCGGGTGGCGTTTTATATCGGGAAGGTACCTGGTTTGAGGACTGGGGATCCACCCGTCTAGTCTCCTTGACTGGAGAAAGAATTGAAAGCTCGAGATTATGGAGGTTGAAAGTGATAGTCGCGAGTTTACGCCTGTTGTTTAGGTGGATGGACCCAAGAGGTTGTGTTTCAGTATCTAAAGAGTCTTAATGTCACAACATAAATATTTGAGAAGAAGAAGTCTTCGAATGAAGTTCGTGGATCGTTCTCGAGTACGACTGACGGCCTTCGAGAATGTGTCCTCGTCATTGTAATCGGCTGCCCTGAGGGGCGACATCTGGCTTCTCACCGCCACTGACGAAAAGAGCTCGACAGGCTCTTTTCGCACCAATGTCGTATGGCCTTCTGTCTCGGACAGCGACTTGATCGAATCAGCGTTGAGCAGCGAGTCAGGGAAGGCAGGCTGCCCGGGAAGGGGGAAGTGTTGACTGGCCGGCCGATAAGGGTTACCCAGCCGTTCCCGAGAAATTGAAGGAGAGGATTGCAAAAATCAATCTGGAGGAAGATAGATTAGAGAAGTAGCGAAAAAGCAGCAAGGAGATGAGTCAACATTGTTTTTGGAAGCAACCTGCTTGCTCACGCGAAAACGGCTTGACTCCATCACGGCTGATCATGCGGCGCGTTGCATGCTGACAGAGCACAGTAACAGAGTACTCTCTACCTTTTTGTCTTATGCATAGGCAGCCTGCAGCCACAAGATGATATCGACGCGACGACGATTCGCGGATCGCTCGATGTACAACAAGAAGTAAGGAAGAATAGCGCAGCTTACGTAATACACGCGTCTACGCCTGGAATCTGCTGCTGCAGCTGCAGCTGGAAGCGAGCAAGATCGGAGTACCTTGAAAGAGTATCTTTTACAGTTTCTTGTGACATCCCCCTCGACATCCCACCGACTGTTCCAGGGGTCATGATCAGGCCCAGAAATACATTACAAGCCCAAGATCCCACTCAGCCCCCGGCACTCGCTCCTCCCGCAACAGGCACCATGCAGGTCGAGCCCGACACGCCCATGTCCCACTACCCCCGTGGCCACGTCCACGCGTCATCCGAGTCGCTGCTCGCCCATCAGCAGGACGGCGGCTCGGCGAAAGTGTCTGGAGAGTACTTTGACGGCGCGGAAGGGTTTGTGGATGAAAAGGAGCGGGAGAAGGAGAGGCGGAGCGAGAGGGGTGGAGTGCAGGGGAGAAGAGGGAGTGGACAGGGTAGGTTGAGATTGAATTTGGAGAAGCTTGGGCTGGGTGGAGTGCTTGGGAAAAAGGGGAAGGGAAGCAAGTTTGGTAAGTCTACGGCATGGGATATCGCGTAGCGGGCGCTGAACCTTTTACAGGCTTGACCCAGCAAGGCTGGATACTAGTAACAGCCATTCTCGGCTTCATCATCTTTCTCAAACTCGTCATCCCCTCCTCCTCCTCGTATTCCGATGACCACCACAAGGTGACAGACACCACCCATCTTATCCCCCGCGATTATCTCAACAATTCCCTCATTGATACTGCGCCTTTCGAGTTTTGTCCAGTCTTTGGTCCGGGCGATACCATCGCGACTCGAAGAGGGCAGTTTGAGCTGCTGAGAAGTAGGCTGCATCTGGGCACAGGCGCGAGAGTGCAGAGGGTCTTGCAAAAGGCGATGAGCGGTGCACCAGTCACGATCAGTGTTCTTGGAGGCTCTGGTGGGTCTCTCAAGATCTCTCGATGAAGGTTGTCTGACTATCTTTTACAGTCTCTGCGTGTACGGGTGCGGGCGACGACCCCACACATGAAAAGTGCTACCCCCACCGTCTCTTTGACTGGTGGAACACTGTCTTCCCTCACCCTGCCAACGAGCTCACCAACGGCGCGACGCCCAAGACCGATTCCGCCTACTATGCGTATTGCAACAGCCACCATCTGCCCGACAAGACGGATCTGGTGATCTTGGAGTTTGATGCGGCCGACCCCAAGTATGTGTTTGCGGGATGGTCAAAGGTTGCAAGGCTGACAAGAATGCAGCGATCCGGAGTGGCTCCAGCACTTTGAGCTCTTGGTGCGATCTGTCCTCGTCCGACCTGAGATGCCTGCTGTGATCATTCTTGGTCACTTTAGTCCTCAGGTACAGGCGCAGAATGGATTCGCCGGTCCCGAGATCTTGCACAACGTTGTCGGACAGTTCTACGACGTACCTCACATCAGGCAAGTGGACTTGATAGCAAAGCGATCGACAACACTGACTCTTGCATAGTGTCAAGGGTCTTCTCTATGAGCAATACCTCGAGAGCCCCGACCAAGCACGTTCGGCATTCTACAACGACCCCGCGCACGCCAACTTCAACGGCCACGGGCTCATCTCTGACATTCTCGTCTCCTACCTCCAATCCCAAGTGTGCGCCGGCTGGTCCTCCATCACCGGCCATGGCTTTGACGTTCCCGACCTTGGTACCGAGTCTGACGCGACCTCTGCTGGTTCGCCCTCCCTCCTTGGAGGTGTCGGTCTGCGAAAAGGCATGCCTGGGCAAGATCCCGGAGACGGCGTCTCGGCTGGGTCGAGTTTGGCGGATAGGTACCAGGGCCTGAGAGTGCCGCAGATGAGGATTGCGGACAAGCCGCATGATGTGCAAAAGTTTAGAGAGATTGAGCCGTTCTGCGTTGCTGCGAGCAACTTGATCAACCCTCTGCCGGATAGTTTGTTCTTGGGAAGTGGTTGGAAGCCTTACCACCCACCCAAGGGCGCGGTGCAGGAGGACAGGCACTACTGGTGGGTCAACATCTGCTGCATAGAATTATGGGCTGACATTATCGCAGGTATGCCGAACAGCCCACTGCTCGTCTTCGAGTTCCCCTCGTCCTCGGTGCCGGTGACGTCGGTATCTACTTCCTCCAATCCCCGCCCGACAAGCCTCTCGGTGTCGTCAAGTGCTGGGTCGACGACAATTACGCGGGTGGCACCGAGCTGCACGGTACCGCCGAGGTCGAGGATGTGATCGCGACGTTGGTGATGATTTACAGAGGAGTGTCGAAGGGATCGCATTTCGTGGAATGCCAGTTGCAGGGTGAGGTCGGAGGGAGCTCGAATCCGTTCAAGATCCTGGGAATGTGAGTGATCTTCGTGTACGAGTGTGCTTTACTGACAGCCGTGTAGCTTCTCGACATAGAGGGAGCGTGTCTTGTGCTGCTTTGTGGTAGAATCTATCTCTTTATCTTCGTTTCGATCTCTTTGTCTTTGTTATTCTGCGTGTACATTGGGTCCCTCAAAATCAATACAATCATACATACCATCTTGAAACCTCTTGAATGCATTGCATGCTTTTCTCTCGGACGCGATGGGCGATGACACGTTGGTGCGGGCAGGGTGCGGCATTGGTCGGTGATAAGAGGGAGGGGCGGCGGTCTCCACCTCCTTGAGCGGTTAGCCGTCTCTGTGGCTTTTCCGCCGCAAACGACCCGACAACAACGACCTCTATTTCCTCCCTCTCTGCCATCTCCAACACTACTACCATGATCCGAGGATTCAGAGCCGCCCGTGCTAGCGTCAAGGTATGTCTCCGTCTTTGAATCACGAAGAAGGGGTCGGTAGGACGCCCCACCGGACGTGGGGAAGCGCGCAAGACGTCCCAATAATCGTACTCACGCCAGATCTAGCCCCTCAAGACCGTTGCTCAACAAAAGAGGAACCTCTCTATCCACGAGTACCAGTCTGTTCAGCTTTTGAACTCTGTAAGCATGCCCTCTTGTGAACCGTGGGTCAACGGTAATGCTGACCGCTGGCCTTTGCTAGTATGGTGTCCCTACGCCCAAGGCTCTTCCTGCATTCTCTGCCGCTGAGGCCGAGAGCGTCGCCAAGTCCTTTGGTGAGTCTTGTTGTGCATGAGGGGATGGGCGCAGAGGTGCATAGAGGAGGGCTGGGGGCGGCATTGCCGTTCGGCCGATCTGTGTTCGGTACGATGGTGGTCGTTGACGAGGGAGATGGAAGAGGGGGCAGTGCAGCAGAATTGAGGGCTAAGCAATGTGTTATAGGCAAGGACGAGCTTGTGATCAAGGCGCAGGTTTTGGCTGGTGGTCGAGGAAAGGGTCACTTTGACTCTGGATTCCAGGGTGGTGTCCAGATGGTCGACTCGTGAGATCTCATCGACCTCTATGCGGCGCGATCTGTAGCTAACCATACAATAGCCCCGCTCAGGCCAAGGAGTACGCCGAGAAGATGCTCGGTTACAAGCTCATCACCAAGCAGACCGGTGCCGGTGGTCGAGTCTGTAACGCCGTCATGCTTGCCGAGCGATTGCCTCCCCAGAAGGAGTACTACGCCGCCATCCTCAACGACCGAACCACTGGTGGCCCCGTCCTTGTCAGCTCTTCCCAGGGTGGTATGAACATTGAGGATGTCGCTAGGGACACTCCCGATGCCATCCTCACCACCCCCTTGGACTTTGAGAACGGTATCAGCAAGGAGACCGCTTTGGAGCTTGCTGGCAAGCTCGGTTTCAAGGAGGGCGCTAGGAAGAACGCTGCGGATGTGTTCGAGAAGTTGTACACCATCTACAAGGAGAAGGACGCTACTCAGATCGAGATCAACCCCTTGGCTGAATTGAGCACCGGCGAGGTGCTCTGGTACGTCCCTCGCTCCAGTGCTGTTTGACTTTACTCATTGGAATGCAGTATGGACGCCAAGTTTGGTTTCGACGACAACGCCGACTTCCGACAGAAGGACATCTTCAAGCTCCGAGACATTACCCAGGAGGACGCCCAGGAAGTCGAGGCCGCCGAGTACGGCCTCAACTTCATCAAGCTCGACGGTGACATTGGCTGTCTCGTCAACGGTGCTGGTCTTGCCATGGCTACCATGGACGTCCTCAACCTCCACGGTGGTTCCCCCGCCAACTTTTTGGATGTCGGTGGTGGTGCTACTGCCGACGCTGTCAAGAAGGCTTTCGAGCTCCTCTTGACCAACAAGGATGTCAAGTCCATCTTTGTCAACATCTGTAGGTTTCACATCCCTTGCTTGAGGCTCGCAGTGCTGATGGAATTTGCAGTCGGTGGTATCATGCGATGCGACGTCATTGCTGAAGGTATCATCAAGGCCACCAAGGAGCTGGAGCTCCAGATCCCTCTCATTGTCAGGTTGCAGGGTACCAAGGAGGCCGAGGCGAAGAAGATGATCAAGGAGTCTGGTTTGAAGATCTTCCCCTTCGGTGAGTATCTTCTATTTACTTTTGTCGTCCGTGCGCTGACTTGTAATAAGATGGTTTGGACGAGGCTGCTTCCAAGGCCGTCGAGGCCGCCAAGACCGGTTCTGCTTAAGCCTTGATCAAGTGCATGGCAAGAACCAGGGACGAGGGAGAAGGAGTATAGGCAGAGGCGAGGGAAGTGTTGCATGAGAGAAGTGCAAAATCAAAAACCCCTTCAGTAATGATGACCCCCCGTCTGCCATAGATTTGGACATGAGATGGATTCTTTTCCGCGGAACTTCTGCATTTGCATCCGGAGTGTGGGATTCAACCTTGGAGGGCTTGCCTGATCAACCTAGAGAAGAGCCCAATATGACTTTGCATGTTTACAATGATTACGACCATACTACCGTAAGCCTACAGTTACCAATTGTCTGTTACAATCATATACCCTTCGATCATTGCTCAGTACACATATTCAAAGCTACAAGCAAGTCAGTCTTTCCCACTTCACCGCACAAAGGGCACAGCTCACTTGGGGTTCTGCTTATCAGTCAAATCTGAAAACGCCGTCGCATTCACATCCTCCTCCGTCACCTCGCCCGAGTCTCGGACTTGCTCCCTCAACTTTTGCTTCTTGTAGTTCTCCCACTTGAAGGCGTATCGGAAAGCAAAGAAAAGGAGGAACTCGAGGCAGTTGCAGACGAGGATGGATCCGATACCGAGGGTGTATTTGGGGGCCTGGTCGGTTTTGTAGAACTGGGTGGGGAAGGTGAGTGAGGGGTCCTGAGGGGTGATAAGGAGGGGAGCTTACGAAGGGGCCAGCGATGTTTCCGACACATGCGCCTGTGGAATGACTGGATCAGCAATCCATCCTTCACGACTCGGGGCAAGAGGGGGCTTACCGAGCCAGATGAAGCCGGATACGATCAGCTTCTTACTCTGACCACCAGAGTTGGAGGTGATGAGTGATAGAGACAGGACAAAACTAGACTGATAAGACCCGGTCAAGTAGCTGAACGAAACCTTCATCAGCCTTATTACTATACGAAGATAAGAAGGAAGAGAAACGCACAAGCAGATCAATCTCCCGACATAGGCATTGGTAGGAGCCAACAAGAATCCTAAAGACCCGGCGATTGTAGGAATCATGAACGCAGCACAGACAAAAGTCCTCGAGTTTTTGGGAAGACGATCGTTGATGAGGGCGCCGGAGCCGATCCAGATCATAACCAAGACACCTTGGGGAATACCGAGGAGGGCAGTGTGGAGGGTGTCAAAGCCGAGACCTTGGATGACGAGGGTGGAAAAGTTGGAGATGCCTGTAAAGAGGGGGAGTCAGTGTATAGCCTTGTGAGCGATGAGAGACGACTTATCCGTTGGGAATGTTGCCAAGAAGACCAAGGAGGAAGAACATGTACTGTATGTCCTCCATAAGCTTGTCTTCTGGCACAATCATAGAGACCTGAACTCACAGTCTTGTAGTCGGTCACAGCCTCCAGAATCTGATCCCACTTGATCTTCCTGCCTTCGATACCCGTCTGGTTCTTCCTCATCCTCGCAATCATCAGAACCCGCTCGTCATGCGTAAATCCCCTGAAGGACACGGGAGAGTTGGGGAGGTACAAGCCGATGCAGATTGCCCAGGCTGAACAGGCAGCGCCGACGATGAGGAATTCGTAACGCCATGATGCGAGGGCGCCTTTGATTTGGCCTGGGACCGGGTATGTCAGCTTGGGTAGGATGAAGGAAAAGTTTAGGGCTTACCGATACCGTAGCCGATAAGTCCACCCCTGCCATCCAGACGGGATTAGCGTATGACTCGGCCATATAATAGCGATGACTCACCCAGCTACACCGAGACCGTTGAAAGCGTACCAGCAAGAGATTCTTGATGGCTGCTCTTCTCGAGTGTAATACATTGAGGTAATCAGCATGAAGCTATAGTCGAGCATCAGTACTGGGTATCGTCTCTTCTGGGATGTGGGACGACTGACGCAGGATCGGCGATGGCTTCAGCAGCACCAGAGATGACTCTCAAAGCGGCGATAGTCGCGTAGTTCTTGGACGCCGCCTGGATCATAAGAAAGACACCCCAGAAGAAGATGTTAATTGCGAGATAGTAGGCGGGAGGTGAGCGCTGCATGATCAAGTTGGATGGGATGGCCCATCCTAGCCAACCGAAGTAGAAGATACTGTGGCGCGTCAGTATGATGTCGACGAGATGATGGACAAAGGCGAACCTGGAAAGCCAAGAGTACTTGTCGCCTGTGAGATTGAGGTCGGTCTTGATACCAAATATGGCAGCGTAACTCAATGTCGTCTTGTCAACATACTTGCCGAAACGTCAGCTTTGCCACCACTCAAGACTGACGGGCGCTTACGTAGAAAAAGTAGCAAATGCCCAGAAGGGGGATGATCCTTCGGTCCAGCTTGTTTCTCAACTTCTTCTCGGTTTCGGGGTCTATCGATCCTTCTTCACCGTATCTCTCCAAGGCCTGTGCATATATTTCTCCGTGCTCTTGCCTGACCTTCTCGATGACAGCGTCGGAATGGGTCTTGTCGTCCCCAATGGTGTTTTCGATGTGTGCGGCCTCTTGCTTTTCCATGATGTCGGCCATTGTGGGGGCCAAGTTGGGGTCTGCGTCTGGAGTTGGCTTTGAAGCAAAGAGTCTGGAGGAATAGAAGCGGGCAGCTGAAAAAGCCTGGAGGGATTGACATGATATATAGAGCCTTGTGGACCCTGTGGCTGATTCCAAAAAATGAGCCCGAAGAAGATAGATCCGAAAGAGGTAGCCGTGTTATGCCGCCCTCCCGCCAGGTGGTCGACGTCCAAGAAATATAACAGTCACATGACAAGACAAAGGAACTCGGTGCAACTTTCCCCTTTCGGCCCGACATAGGGGCCCCAGTCCCTTCGGCTTTCTTGGTGGAGGTGGAGGTTGACTGATCGGTGGCACTTGGTAGCAAGCCGTGAAATGCCGGCCGATTGAGGGATGTTCTTTATTTTTTTGGAGAGAAGAATCATGTGCATACGTTGGAGTTAGAAAACCTTGGAGATTGCCAGTCACATGTGGCGCATATGGATGGGAATGTACGCCAAGTGATGACAAACCACGATGCTCTTCTCTGAGACTCATCAGTGGAGCCTCCTTTGAAATCATACGAATATTTTTCAGTAGATATCATGTAGTTCCCGCGGTACAGTCACTGCAGACGGATTCATGCGAAGGCACCAAACGGTGTAGGGCATAATATTCTGACCCATCATCTATGATGAGGTAGAGAAGGAAGTACATTCGTCATTGGAAGCAGAAGTTGCTCAAAGGAAGCGAGAGGGTGGGACTGGAGGCTCTATTGAAAGTGTGAGGGTGTTTTCCGAAGATGGTGATTGTGGAGGACGGCGTAATAGAATTCAAGGATATGTCAGTGTAGGAGGAGGGCTGGACTGGGGAACGGACTTTTTTCAATCTGACTTTTGCGGAAACTCTGCCTGAAAGTGGTGCGGGAGAGGCACCAGAGAAGGAGGGGCAGCAGAGTGCGGTGTAGATGCATTTCTTTGCCGTGGTCGGTTGCCGGTATTCTTTGCTCTGGCCCGTATCTGGTACAATGATGCATAAGTGGTCGCTTTTCCCTTTGACAGAAACTACAGTTTAGATAGATAATCCGTAGAAGCAAAGTCGAGATGACTACCATTCGGAGTGTACTAGTTCCATACGCAACGATAAAGGAGTAAAGTGACGCATAGCGTACAGCCCAAAAGGACTACAAATATAATGCGACAAGGGGGGTATTTCACAGAGGTGATGAAGGTGCTCTTTGGGGGCACCCTGAACCTTCATATGTTCTGCTAACGGGTTAGAAAGGAGAGCGAGGCAAGTGGCTGACAATAGCACAAGATCCCAGGGTGAAGAAGAACTTCTGAGATGGATCGAAGCAACAGCGCGCAATACCATCCTCTGTTTCAGATCCGGACTCGTGCTATTTCAGTTCATGCATGCCGCACGAGTCGTCGATCCTATCATATAGCTCGTGCAACGTTTCAGACACTCAGACACGATCTGAGTAGTATATAACACTCTACAAATTTCTCCAGACCAGCACCAAAGTCACTTCTTCACCACTGCCCTCCTCCTGCTATTGACCAATAGCCAGTACATTACCGTATCATACACCATACAATCCGTCAACAATGGACACTGAACGACAGACTAGCCCCACTCCCTCCTCCACTCATAATGACATCGAAGACGAGGCTATCTTGGTTCCCAGCGAAACCGACGAGATTCTTGAAGACTTTATGTACCAACTCGATACCAACATCTCGAGAAACGAATCGCTTCGCCAATACGAAGATCTCTTTCAGACCGCCAGGAACTCTATTTATAGTGCTGTACAATCAGAAGTCAAATCAACCTTGAAGGCGGAAGTGGCGAGTAGAAGGCGAGAGGGGAGGACGGCTGAAGGCTCGATGAAAAGTGTGGAGGTGTGTCCGAAGACTGTGGGGGTGGATAGTGATCTGCGTATACAATTCAAGGGCCTGTCGGTCTATGGAGAAGGCTGGTCTGGGGAGCAAACGTTCTTCGATCTGAGTATCGAGCCTTGAGCACAAACCTGCAGCAGGTGATTTGGGGGAGGGAGAGGAGGAGGAAGAAGGACAATAAGATGCACTTTAGCCATGCATAATTATTATTATTCGCCTACTCGAATCATTGACGTGTGGTTTTGGTCTACAGACTAGTGTTACGTATGAAGACAGGATGCTGCTGAATATACTGTAAAGTGCCCAACAACATATGCTCACCAAGAAAGAATATGTAATTGGTACCGACCTCGCTGACGAGGCGGAGACAGCATTCCGGCTCATGGCTGCTGCACTTGCAGATTATAGAAGCCCTGCTGTATGAAATTGTAGTGCTCGCGAGCAGAAGGGCATAAAGTCTTCGGATATATCCTGGGCGTGTGAGCACAACAAAAGAACGCTCAAAGGGGAGGTTCGGTGAGTAGGCGATGCAAGCGTGGAGGATGTTTATTTCAGGACTCTGGGCGGATTCTTTTCAGCTCGGAGCAGGCAGAAACTCTATTATTGGACCTTGCTCTGAGGTATATAGTACGTGGGGGAAGTACAGCAGCCCACATCCTCTTGCATCCGTCCAGAGTACATATACAGTACATTCAAGCACCTCCCTCAAGCACCCATCATCGCCACTTGACCATCAATAGAACAGTTCCATATGCCCTCCAGCCGCCGATACTCGTCCTCCGAGTTCAGGGACTATGATCGAACCCCCTCCAGGAGCACCAGCACCAGGAGATCCCGCCCGCGCTCTCGGCAAGAAGGGCCCACTGTCTTGCCACCGTCAAGCTCTTATTACGACACGCGCAGATCCACCAGTAGCTACTATCCACCCTCAAGGTCGTATGATCCCAGGAGAAGCAGAAGATACTCCGCGTCGTATTACGACCAGCCTGACTCCGGGTATGACTACGGGTATGATGACTACGACGAAGAAGAAGTTGAAGCTCAGAGGCGAGAACAAGCTGAAGCTCAGAGGCGAGCACACGCCGAAGCTCGGAGGCGAGAACAAGCCGAAATTCAAAGGCGTTACGAGGATTTTGCTGCCTGGGAGGAATCACAAATCGATACAGTCACCAACAGTGTCACGAACCGTTTCTTGCCTGAAGTTGAAAACAGTCTATGGAGGCTGTCTGCCAAACAAGGAGCACCCGAATCTCGTGTCCCGCGCGCAGATATCGCCCGTAGTATAGCACATGAGATCAAGGAGACTCTGAAGACGGAAGTGGACCGCCGCCGACGGACCAGGAACACGAGGGGTGATATTCGCTCTGTCCAGATCAGATCAGAGGGCCTCTCGCTAACGGGAGACGGGAAGGAGCTGACTATCAAGAAAGTGTCGATTTATGGAAATGACTGGTCATGTGCAAGGCCGAGGTTCGACATGGAATTCACCAGTAATGGTGGTGAAGATGACGAAGAGTAGATGGCAGATTAATTATGTAGCGATGCAGCCTTCCTTATTCTGATGACTGTCCAGCGAGTTGGCTGAGAGATGAAGTCAAAGAGCAAAGAAGGAAAGGCAGCAGCGAGGTCATCCATGCGGCGCTTAGAATTGGTTTTTGCAGTCATCGTCGGAGATAGCCGAGCCTCGCGTGTCGGTCTTCTGCGATGGACGATATGGAATTTTGTTGTGCATGTGAGATGGCCACTCATTTACCGTTCTCAGTCCTGCTCGACTCGATCTGCAGTGGAAATAACCTCCCACAATTTACAAAACAATCTTTCTTTACAGAATGCCCACAGAATCACGCCACCACAGTGACGCCGACATAGTAGTGTCCACCACGGCAAGCTCGAGTACGACCCTCATGTCCCTCGCCTCGTCAACGCCCAAAACAGGAGAAGAGCACAAGCTCAAGTCGTCAAACTCTTCTCTACAGTCAAATCTCGGCGGCCCTAGTCGGAGGGCATCTCAAGGAGACGTTCAAAACGCTAGTCTCGATGACGGAATCCTCGACGCGCCACCGGATCGCAGCTCGAGGTGTAGCAAGAGTGGGGAAGGAGAAGGGCCGGGGAATGCGACAGAGGTAGAAATGATCGATGGGAGGCCCAAGGATGTGTACGATCGTTTCACAAAGAGGCAAAAGTACATGATTGTGGCAATCATCTCGTACTCTGCTTTCATCGGTCGTGCGTATTTCGCTACTCGTGCGATGAAGCTCCGGTGCTCACCTAGCCAAATCCCAGCCATGACCTCTTCCATCTTCCTGCCGTCAATACCTGTCATGTCTACCGATCTGCATTCTTCTACCGAGGTCATCAACTATACTGTCGCCATCTTCCTGGTATCAATAGGAGTGGCGCCCATCTTTTGGTCGCCCTTTGCCGGATTCTATGGAAGAAAGCCGGTTTATCTGGCAAGTATGCCAATCATGGTGGTGGCCAGTGTTGGGGTTGCAAACTCCAAGAATATTGGAGCGTTGATAGGCACAAGGATTCTTCAGGGCATCGGTGAGTTTGACCCTCTTGCGGTGCACAAAGGCGAAGAGTTCTGACGTATGCGCAGGAAGTTCTTCGGTATTGAGTGTCGGTGCTGGTACAATCGGAGACATCTTTCGACCCACAGAAAGATCGAGTGGCATGGCTATGTTTTACATGGGGTACGTCCTACTCGACCCCCTACTCATTGACACCACGCTGACGCCTGATCAGCGTCCTCATAGGTCCCACCCTCTCCCCAATCATCGGTGGTCTTTTCACTGAATACACCGCCATCACATGGCGTGCTGCCCAATATTTCCTTGTCGGATGCAGCGCTCTATCCGTCGCCCTCACCCTCTTCTTCCTTCCTGAAACGGCACACCCTCCGACAATGCACGAAAAGTTGAAGAAGGAGACTGGCAAAAAGTTTGTGCCGTACTTTGTCAATCCGGTGGGGTCGTTGCTGTTGCTGAGATGGCCAAATATTGCTATGGCTGTGAGTATTGTGAACCTGTACCAAGGCATAGTCGCTGATAGATTTCCTTGAAGTGTGTCATCTCGAGCTGTATCATGCTAGATACCTACTGTGTCATCGTTCCTCTATCAGCCGTCTTTGTAAGCAGACCTACCATTGACGCAGTCTTCACTTGACGATATTTCAGAAAGAGAGATATCACATCAACAACAGCGCCATCGCTGGATGCTTGTACCTCGCCAACGGCGTCGGTAACATGATTTCCAGTAAGCTTGCAGGGCGTAAGTCTCTTCAACCGGCTTTCCATCCACGCTGAAGGAATTATATAGCCTTCGCAGACGGCATTGTCAAAAAGTACATCGCCAAGCGAGGATACCGCAGGCCGGAAGATAGGTTGAAGGCGAGCTTCTGGGGTTTGGCTTTAGGGATGCCAGTGTCGATCTTGATCTATGGTTGGGTCCTCAAGTTTGGGTGAGATCCATCAAACGATTGATCGGAAATGCGGCTCATGATTCATCATAGTAAAGGAGGAATGGCGCCGCCGCTCATCATGGTCTTCCTCAATGGTCTCTCTCTGATGTTGGCATTGACCCCAATAAACACATAGTACGTCCCTCATTGTGTGAATGGTATGACAGAAGTGACAAAGTTCTAGCCTAGTTGACGCTATGCAATCAAGAAGTGCCGAAGTTATCGCCGTCAACAACTGTACGACCAAGTTTGTCTTTTCTTCTCAATGCTAATTCAAGCCATAGGCATCCGATATATCTTCTCCGCAGCGGCTTCAGCATTCATCGTTCCTCTCGCCAACGCCATAGGCTGGGGATGGACGATGACCATCTGTTCCTTCGTTGCCGTACGTCCCTGTCCTTCCATACTTGATCGCTATTCAAGACTGACTCTTGTAAAGTGGGGTGCGGCTGTAGCTCTCTTCTTCCTGATACGCTACGGCGAAGTCTGGCGCGAAGCCGCCAACCTCAGATACGGTGTCACCCGACGCGAAGCTGACGAAGAGAAAGCCGACGAAGGTAAAGACGAGGAAGCTGCCGTTCGAGGGCGGGATGAAAGCACTGTCGAGCGGGTGGATGAAAAGGACAAGAGGTCGTCGTCGGTGGAAGAGGATGGAGAGCATGGGGAGCATCCGGTCGATCTTGAACGGACGTTCACTCGGCCAGCGGGAGGTGCTCGGGGTGGGAAGGGGTCTGGTTCTGGATATGGGTCAGGGGCTGGGGGCGCGGGGCTGCAGAGGCAAGGGAGCCGGAAGGCCGGGGAGGCGCCGGGGATGGACGATGTGTTGAAGAGACAAGTGTCGTTGTCGGGAGGATCGATCCATGGGGGCGGCTAGTGTTGTCTGTTGATAGTAAGCTTTTGTATACTTGATGTAGCTGTGATGGAATATAATTGGGACTGGGTGCACAAACCCTGCTGAGGATGTGCTCAAACATGCATTCATATGGCAACATCATTCCTCTTCCTCGTCAATATCAGTAAGCTCTGAAGCTTGCTCAGACTTGCTCGACGACGGCTTCTTTGCCGGCTTGCGTTTCGGTTTCTCTGCCCTCTTCTTCTTGCTGGACGAGCTACTACGTTGGTCGCTACCGCCGCTCCCTCGACTTCCCCCCGAACTGGATTGCGTAAGCCTCTCGTACTCTTCCTGGATCTCTATCAGTCTCTTGGTATATTCGCGCAAGCCCCGGTCCGACTGTTCCTTCATCATGCGCTCCTCCTCCTCCGGGTCGAGAAAGTCGTCTTCGTCGTCTTCGTCGTCTTCGTCGTCTTCGTCTTCGCCAAAGGGGCTTTCACCGTAGCCTTCGCTACAGCTCTGTCCAGGATAGCCTCCGGTAGAGGCATTACTTTCAGCACCGTAGCCGCCATAGGTGTCAGGCTCATCGGTGTATTGGCTAAAGCCACCGCCGGATGAGCCGGTGTGATCGTAGTAGGGTTGGTCACCACTCATTGTCTACACTATTGTCTTTTGTTGCAAGTCTGTAAAGATATGTATCTTGTCCAAAAGGCCTGCCACTGCTGGGTGAGAGGGATTGCCAGCCCGACGCTCCTCCGCCCTGAAAAGTTGGGCCCTCATTTTAGCTGTCCGTTGATCTCTTGTCGGGGAATCGGAAATTAGAACGATATCAGTACACACTCCATTGGGGACTGGCGGGTGTGGCACTGGTAACGAATCTCTCGAGAAAGGAGTAAATACATCCACACATGCCCCGAGAGGTCCTTTCTGTACCGGACTACGGATAGTACATACTGTTTCACACAGATCGTGAAGGCTCCTATTCGAGAGTGTCAATTACCCCACTTGATGCTACGGGACGACGATCAAGTGTAAAGACCACATTGTGTCTTCTGGATCGGTTATGATGTTACAATGGATGGAAGAGCAGACTAGCTCTGATGGTATCCCCACTCTTCATGAATCTATGATAGAGGATCTGAATGATGACGAGAGGGACTGATCGGACAATTGCCGTTGAAGATCAGGCCTTGGAGACTTGCTTGCACTCGAGTTCTGTGTATCCACAGAGTGGGAAGCCTTTTCCATTTCGAATGGGGTATGAAGGTGTGCAAGAGTGTACTGTCTTTATATCCGTCTTCCGAGAGTCTGCCACGAACGTTGTGACGTGGCGTTGATTCATTTGCAGTCAGGCTACGTATCGAACGACGGACGATCATCCGGGACCTGGGACGCACTGATATGTCCTCGATTCCTTATCTCACTCCCCACCTTCCATCAGGTATTTGCAGATCTCGCATCGGCTCTATAGCGTCTATATGTACAAAAGTCGAAGGGTGGATCGGAGATGCTTGTTGCCGAAACCGGCCGTAATGGGCTTATGTACCGAAGCCCGGCTATGACGATTAAAGTGGTTAATTTGAACGGGGGTTAGTCACCCCGCGGCGTGCGTGCATGCGTTGCATTATGTTTTGGTTCCGGGACAAGTGGCACCGCCGCACTCGGTGGCAGATGGCCACAAGGGCAGATGGACGTCTGTATAGCCTCCTGCAGGTGTGCTGGAGGGAGAAAGCGATTTGCAAGGCATGGCCGATGTCAGGCCTTTTTGCCTCTTTGTTTTACAGCCGACAGCGGGGCAGCGGGCCGGTGTATGCGGCTGACGTCAGAGAAGAAAGTTTACCACCGCCACGGGGAATTTGCTTTCCTCTTCTTTGGGTTGTGCACTCGCCAGTCGACGACGCCGAGGCACCGAGCTGCCACCGAACAGCCGAAACACTCCTGTCCGGACACTTTGCAAAAGAGTCACAAGGGTGTTTTGATGGGCAGACCAGGCAGACGGGGAGAGATGTGGCGGGATGACGGGATGGACGGGGATGGCCGATGGACGGACAGGGCGGACAGGGCGGGCACGCAACAAAAAGCTGGGAGATGGTTGGACACCGGGATATTCGAATAGTGCGATCCAAGAACCAGCCAAGAAAAGCCTCGGCTGCCATGCATAGTGCATCTGGGGATATAATCTTCCTTCTCCCTTTCCATCTCCCTTCCACAAAGCAGCACACAGGGAAGGGTATAAATAAACGATCAGCAGCCACTTTCCACGAGAGGCGTCATCAGGAGCTCTCCCCGCGAATTGGAAAGGTTCGGTCTCCAACAGCCGGCCCCCCATCTCTCCATCTTCTCTTCCATCCTCACCTCCTGCCCGCCCCCTCTTGTTGGCAGAACACACCCATCCGAAGGGCTCGTTGAAGCGTGTCGTCAGTCGAGTCAGTCTATTGGGAGGAGCTGCCTGCGGTCCGCGTTTAGAGCGACAGGGACCCCGGTCCAGGGCGACGTCGACCCGATTACAGAATTCCCCCTCTTATATTACAATCCACTTCTCTTGCTCTTCTTTCCTCCATCCACAATACTACCCACCAGCGGCCATCCTTTTTTTCTTACACTCAGCATACCCCCTGCATCGCTTCGGAGGTTGCCAACGAGACAGCGATTCCGCTGCGCCAATCATATCGATAACGCCTCTGGCATTACCTTGAAGACTCGCCCACCATGCTATCTTCAGCCCCCGCCGTTCCCCTCCACTCTATCAACTTTGCCGACCCCAACCAGAGGCGCCTCTCGCTCATGACCCACGAGGGCCGCGAGATATTCACCGCCCACGACGGCCTTCCCTCCCCCGGCAACCTCACTCCCGTACAGGGCGGAACCCCCAATGGCTCCGAGTATGCCGTCGGCAGCTCTGACGGCGGCTCTGCGCCCATCAGCAGGAGAGACAGCGAGATGGTCTTGCAGGAGAGCTCGTCGGAGGACTCTGCTTATTCAGCGAGGGCGAGCCAGAATGGGAATGGAACAGGAGACAGCCAGACGACGCTCAACACGATGGGAGGGGCAGACAGGCAGGTGCAGGGGAGAGAGTATGAGGGGGATGCGGGGACTGGGCTGCGCAAGGTGCCGAGTCGAGGAGGGATCTGGCATGAAGATCCTAAGTGGGTGAGTGTTGTAGGCTATCTTGTGCTGTTTTTTTTTCGGGTATCTGGGTGAGTGGGGCAGGGGCAGGGGGCGGCCCTCCTTTCTGCTAGCTGGGCTGCTCGTGACATCCGGGGCGACGTGCATAGCTTCTCGAGGAAGGCCGCGCAACGTGTGCATAGCATAGCGCGCAATAGTCTGATCCGCTTCTTGGCATACCCCACATCTTCTCTTTCTTTTCTTCTCTTCTCTCTGCCCCCATGTCCTCCCCCACCATGCTCCGCGAGCGCCGCGTCTCCAGCCCGTACCATGCCAAGCGGCCTCCATACCCCTCATGGTTCTCCTGGAACGCCATCTCGCGGACGCGGACAGAGACCAATCATCGGTCAAAGCGACGGGCCGCTCCTGAACCCCCTCCCCTCATCTTTGTCTGCGTATGCCCCCCCGGTCTTTATTGGCTGCGACTTTCTCAGAGGACATGAGCTGACTTGGAACAGTCTTCAAAGGGAAGTGCTCAGCCAGTGCATGCCGACGCTCCTAGAGCAGTCAGGCCTATCGACGGTGAACAGTTCTACGCCGCCCACCACAAGACCCACGTCCCTTCGAACCTCGCCTTCACCGCCGCCAACGCTCCCACCCCCGAATCAAACACTCCCCCTGCCCAAGAGCAGCAGCACGCCCAAAGCGCCACTTCCTCCCCCCAACCGGCGCAACACGCCAAGCAGTACGCCCAAACAGCGCCGTCGTCCCCTCACCAGTCGCCCACGGCCACCCGGCTGCCGAAACACCATGCCGGGCCGTTGCACGACTTGCGCCGGTTCTTGAACCACCACATCGGCTCCGACAAGCACAAGCACGAGCACCACCCTGCTGTGCGGGAGCACCTCGCCGATACGCCTTCTGCCTCTGGCCCCAACTCGCCCACGCCCGGGACGGGCGTGGCGACGGGGGCAGCGACGCCTGCGATGCAGAGACGCGGCAGCGGTTTCGGTGGTATGGCGCACGGCCAGGTCGGCAGTATGACAGCCGTCAACGCGACCCCCTCTTCCACCCGCGGGACCGGCCATGCCGACAAGGACCACGGCGCGCACACCACCCACCTCATGGGCTTTATGCGCCACCACCACCGGGATAATGAGGGTGAAAAGTCGCATTCCTCTCTGGCGAGCTTTTTCGGGCATAATGAGAAGAAGGAGAAGAAGAAGCGGGAGAAGGAGGCGGCGAGTCAGGCGGGGAGCACAGTGCCGAGTAGGCAAGTGACGAGGGAGGGGACGCCGGGGGGGTCGCCGAACTTGACGCCGGCGCATACGCCTGGATGGGCGACGCCGAAGAATGCGGCGGATTTCCCGGGTGTACCTTACCCCGTCCTCGCGCTCACACACCCCTCGCTGCAAGAAGCGTCCCACGCGCACTTGTCGAAAAAGTATGGCAAATGGGGCAAGGTGCTTGGGAGTGGTGCGGGGGGTACGGTCAGGTTGATCAAGGGGAATACGAAGAATGGGAATACGGTGTATGCTGTCAAGGAGTTTAGGCCGAGGAGGCAGGGAGAGTCGGAGAAGGAGTATCAGAGAAAGGTGACGGCAGAGTTTTGCGTGGGTGTGACGTTGAGGCATATCAATGTCATTGAGACGGTGGATATCGTCAACGACCACGGGCATTTCTACGAGGTGAGTTTTGACATTGTGATATGGACTTGGCTGACAATCCATCAAGATTATGGAATACGCTCCGTACGACCTCTTCTCCGTCGTCATGTCTGGCAAAATGTCGCGTCCCGAGATCTACTGCGTCTTCCGCCAAATCGTCGACGGCGTCAACTATCTCCACTCTATGGGCCTCGCCCACCGAGACCTAAAGCTCGACAACTGCGTCATGACCACCGAAAACACTGTCAAGCTCATCGACTTTGGTACTGCCACCGTCTTCCACTACCCCGGCAAGCACCAGATCCCAGCTACCGGCGTCGTCGGGTCCGACCCTTACCTTGCGCCCGAGGTGCTTTCCAAGGACCACTACGACCCCCGGCTGACGGACGTGTGGAGCGTGGCCATCATCTTTATGTGTATGGTGCTCAGGCGGTTCCCGTGGAAGATCCCAGACTACAAGACGGACATGTCTTACAAGCTGTATGTCAATACGCACCCCGAGCTGGCTACCAAGCCGCCCGTCCCGACGCCGGCGCCGAGTCTGGTCAACGGCAAGGATGGCAAGCACGGTGGTCCCCACGGGCTCTTGCCGGACGGGTCCAGCCAGATCCCCTTTGAGCGATCCGAGTCGAATGTGAGCTCCAACACTGCTGTGGATAATACCGTCAAGGAGGGCTCGCCTGAAGAGTGTTCTTCGTCTGATGACGATGGGCCTCATGGGCGTTTGGCGCATTTGAACATCCACGCCGGGGACGGCAGGCAGGATCCGAGTGATCTCAATTTCCCGAGGAGGAGCGATTCGGTCGTTTCTGTGCCTGCTTCGAGGTATGCGACCAAGGGCGGCTTGACGCCTGCTGCCAAAAACCCCAAGAGGCAGGGCACACTACCTCCCCAGGCTAGTGAGCGTCAAACGGAAGGTATGGGCCGTCATCGCGCAGTGTCGACGCCTTCTCAGCCGCCGACCCCTGGTACCGACCACCGCGTCAACCCCATGACCAGCGCTTCCGGCCACCTCGCGCCCGAACAGAGCCCTGCTGCCCGGGCAGACGCCCAAGCAAGGCGGGAGCGCGCCGCGTCCATCTCGTCGACGCGTACCTTCCAATCGGGCGGTGCCGAGTCCATCTTCCGTCTCCTCCCTCGCGAATCCCGGAGCGCGATCATGCGCATGCTCGCGGTGGAGCCTTCGATCCGATGTACGCTCTCCGACTTGCTCGTGGGCAGGGGGAAGGATGAGATGATGTGTCCTTGTGGGTCGGAGGATTGCTCGGGGAGCGTCAGTGTGCCGCCAGAGGAGATTACGGGGCTGACGGCGCAAGAGATGGATGATGGGGATGAGTGGGTGAAGGGGATTGATTGTTGTAGTCACCATCCCGGGAGACCGGGGAACCACCAGCATATCAAGGTGGTTGGAAGTGAGGAGAAGCCAAAGAAGAAGCTGTTCCATTAAAGTTGGTTGGGGGTGCGCAGCTCGGAAAGAAGATCAAAAAGTGTAGTAGTAGTGTCGTGGTCTCTGTCATTCCTCTTTTCTTTCCTTGCGTTCGTCGATCATCCTACCATGTAATCTCTGTTCTTTCTTCATTCATCAGATAGTCAGAATATCCATTTGTGTTGGACTTTAAACATGCCAGTCTCCACAAGCATCAACGCTGACGAAATGAACTCGATTTTTTCTGGTTCATCGTTCGTCTTTCATAGCTACTTTTTGAACTTTTCTCTCTCTCTTTTGCTAGTCTAGTATAGGTCAAGTCTTCAAATGGATGTACAACATACCTGCATAAGCTGTGTGGGCACCTTGTTGAGCCTGGACCTGATGTAACTTGGGACCGGTATCGGCCGAGATTGTGACTCGAATCAAACCATTCACGAGTTTTCTGGTGGCTCGGATTAAGCATCGACATATGTCCGAATCCCTCAGTGCAGCCGTGAAAGAGGCGGGATAGTATACGACAATAGTAGTGCCGGGTAACTTTTTGAAAAGCCTCGTCGTGGTCGGACGGCAGTATGCACAGAGCTATTAATAAGGCTTGCGTTTGGTATTTGTACGTTCTAGCCTTGGTCTTCACGAAGGGCTTGGCGCTGTCAGTGTCCGTGACGCGTTTACTGAAGAGCTCTAGCAAGGGACATGATAGCACGAATACATGACGTGGACAAGAATACAACCCATTGCTCTGTCCTTTCCTCACATGACGAGATACGGGACCGGGGCACGCTACGTGAGGTAGTCATTCAACCTGCTTCTCATCAGCACCCACTCCCGTACGTAATCGTAGTAGCAGAGGCAAACGTACAGGCGTATGAACGGTACCATTGTCCTCGCAACTTCTCTGACGGTATCTTGGAATGTCGGCTCGAGGACTTCTTTGTCCGTAAAGCTTAATCATCGTAAGCTTTAAAGCACGCTCAGAAGAGGAGAAAGAGGAGATACTAGTGAACAACAGCAACGGTTCTCAACTTGAGTAGATCGATATCCTTGTGCCCCTTATCCACCCCCTTCGGCGCTACCTTCAATTGATCATCCCTGCCATACACACTCCGTCTTTGATCCTCCCCCTTCCCAGGGGGCGTCGCTTTCCCAAAACTCTTCTCAAACTGTTCTTCACCAATAACCTTCCGGAACCTCTCTGGATTCGTCATAAACTCGTGCCGAATCTTGGCCGTCTGGTCTTTATCCGGGCACCAAAGACCCCCCGCCAACATCGATCTCCCATTCGGCGACAAGTACAAATGATAGGCTGCCCATGGCGAGCCTTTACGCCCTCCGCGGGAGGTGGTGAAGGAGAAGCCTTTCTTGTAAGGGGTCTTGTCGGAGGAGAAGCGGACGTCGCGGTAGATGCGGTGGATGATGTCGCGGGGAGGGAGGATGGGGATTTCGTCGTCGATTTCGTGGAGTTTCATTTGCATGGTTGTGACGAATGTTGTCCATTCCTGGCCGCGCGTTATTAGCACGGTACAACAGATTCAAGCAATAATTGGGCGCACCTTCTCGGCTTGCCGGAAAGCAGGTTCGTGGGATTTGAACCATTCTCGGTCGTTGCGCTCGGGAAGCTGCAGATTCTTCAAAAAGTTGAGAGTATTCTTCGATATTTCTCCGGCTGCAACTGTATGGACAGTGTCAGTGATATTGCGAGGACTGGGACGAAGGGGATGACTGACCTTGTCCGGTCTTGGGCGCAGGATAGATCCTCCCGGCAAGCTCCTGCCCCTCCTCCAGATCCGAATCAGAAAAGTCTGCATCCTCATCCTCATCATCATACCCCTCGATATACTCTCTCCCCTGCTCTTCTGCCTTTTTGACGCCAGCGTTGCTCGTCTTCTTGCTGGTGTGACCCTGCGTCTTGGCCTTCTTGGCGGATGACGCTTTTGGAGAAGGAGCTTTGCGTTTCGTCTTGCTCTTGGGCTTTGGCTTCTCATCGTCGATATGGTCGCTATCCATCTCTGAGCCAGAGGACTCTTCGGGCTCCGCCTCCTCCTCTTCTGATTCATCCTCGGAGGGTCCGAAGTCGTCTTCAGAGCCCGAATCGTCACTTGAGCCTTCATCAGACGATGTCATCCCCGTAGGCTCTGCTAGCCCCTCGTCGTCGTCCTCATCATCCTTGTCGACCTTCTTGGTAGACCTCCCTTTGCTCTTGCCGCTTGCGAAATAGGGCGAGGTCGTCGTCCCGGGCTTGGTCACCGTCCGGCCGGAACGCGTTGAAGTGGGGGTGGAGATGGAGGGGGTGTCTTTTTTGACTGGAGTCGAGCGGGCGGAGGACCTGGCAGACTTGGGCTTGACCATGTTTGGGGGCTGAGGAATAGATGAAGAGGTAGATGGATCACTGGAGCCTTGTCACCTCCACCGAGAAATCGGAGATCGGCATCGGCGGCGCCGCCGGCGATGGGCTGGCTCCCGCCTGAGACGCGTCGGAGGGGAAGAGAGAGGCGTCATTCGGCGGGACCTGTTTTCATGCTTTCAGTAAGGTTTGAGTAGCCTACATGCATGTCACGCAACTCCAAGCGGCAAGATGCATGCACAAGACACTGAAATAGGTGCAAAACAGTATCGTTTCCCTCCCACCTGCAGCGGTCGCACTTCCGAAAATGATTCCGTAAGGCACGCACGCATGAATTTTGATGGTGGACGCAACGAACGTTCTGAAATCACACTTGTTGGTGCCGTGGGGATGCTTGACGCTTTTCTTATGCGTTGTTGTTGAGATGGGGGCCATCCATGACGTTTCTCTGTATGCCCGACCCTGGATACCGATTTGTTCTGTCACGTAGACAGGAGAGGCCAGAGAGATTTGAGACAGAGACGCAGAGCTCAGATGGATATGGATCTTGATGAATACCTAGCGTCAACGCTACGTTCACGTCCAAAGTCTATTACAATTTGCTGTACACATCGAAGTCATCAATCAAGGCCACCAAAAGGATCATCAGACGACGAGGCCTTCTTCGTCAGGGGTAGCCTCATCATCCTAGAGGTTGTGAGGACTGACAAATAACCCAGTAATATACACTGCAAAGGAAGCCTGGCCTACGGCATCTGTCCTTTTCCACTGCTGCTATATAAGTCAGGGCCAGGCGACGCTATATTTTGACACAAGTGACTAAATGAGAGCAGTACATCCTTTTGGTGGCATTCGAGTATGCATCGAAGTCCTCAGCGGAGTTTGTAGACCGCCTCGCGGGTGGCGATACGCCAGCAGGCAGAAGTATAAATCATGTGATATAATCGTGCCATCCCTTCCTCAAACTTATACATATTGACCATCATCATGTCTGACCCCAGAAACATCACAGGTGAAAAAGACAGTTCTTATCATGACGCGGACAGTGCTCGCGCCGACGAGGGGGTCAGTGTATCTTTCTCTCATCAATTGGCAATGGCCACCGATAGCTGATCATACTGAACATGTCTGATCCTTATCAACGCCCATATACAGGACGCAAGCAACCGAACCCAGTCGAGCTATAACCAGCAGGAACGATCGGCAGCGTTCATGTCAGTGGTGCTGGCGGATAGTCAGGAGGGTGGAGTGAGTCTCGATACCTCGGCTCCTTTCCTATGCCTGGTTTGTGTTGTTCACACTGAAAATTTCTAATTATCTTGAACGTCCGTTCACAGGAGGCAAGCAACCAAACCCAGTCCTACTACAATGACCAACAGCAACAATCGGCAACTTTTATGCCAGTGCCAGTGGTGATGGGGGATAGTCAGGAGGGTGCTTCTGTGAATACTATTTATAATGCCTCCTTCTCATTCATACTTTGAAGCTGACATGATTTTGCAGTCCGCTGAAGCCTTCTCATCATCAGCAAATCAAGGTGAAAGCTCCACCGGTACCACCAATGGTACGTAGGCGGATCGTGTCATGTATCAACAAAGAGCTGACTTTTCATCGTTTTCGGAACACTTCTACAGTCAAAAAGTCTGACGATGGACTCTCTGAAGCACGAAAAAGGGCCCGCGCCCTGGCCGGTAGTGCGTATAATTGACCCATTACATGCTTGAATCGACACCATCATGTTGCGTGTATGTAAGACGGAATGCTGACGTCAATATCAACACAGACAGAAGACGTCAGGCTGCTTATAGACGGAGAAGAGACGGGAAAATCTCCGATCTTGAAGATCAACTTGGTAGGGAACAGGCAAACTCCGAAGTATTGGATGCAGAACGGGATCAGTTGCTGGCTGAGTTGTCGAGGGCCGGCGCCGAAAACACGATTATGATGTTGGAGGCAGAGGGGTGGGATCCGCGTCTCTCTTGGGAGGATGTCGACGAGCAACAACAGTACGACCAAGCCCCGCCCGACAACGAGTGAGGATAGTACTTGCTGACCTCACGGTCTTATTTTCACATCGGTCGAAGTCTTAGGGGGTGTCAAGGACGGAAGTGATAGCTTGAGCTGAGTGCTGTTCATCATATCTCTACCTGTAGAGACTACCAAAGATCTGAATGCAACATTCTGGAAGAGGCTCGCTCCATTAAATGATACATAGAAAACTCATACACATAGCGTCCCTATATGGATATACAAGACTTGGAAAAGAGAAAATACAAGAGATACGAAGAACCAAGAGGTCGTAAAGGACTTATATATCTTGAAAGTCGTGCTCGAAGGTAGTAAAAGGTCGTAAAGAGGAAGGGCAAAGACAATGGCGAGCGCAAGTCGAGGGGAGAAGGAACGATGGAAAGGAAAGGGAAGGACGGGCGAGGCATATTCACATGGTACAACATGGTACGATGACGCCCACTGTGACAAGTCAGCGGTTGGCCCACCTTCTGGCGGCATGTGTACCCCTCTGCTGATAACGGCGGTAAACATCAATCATACTCCATACTCGTAATGCTTTTCTTCCAACAGCTCACGTCATCACTTGGACTGAAACAGATCGCTTGAGCGTATTCTGAGAGTAAAGGATGAATATTGCAAGCATGCTCGTGGTATCACTCAGTTTAGACCTGGCGGGTAAATGACAACCATTACTCCTCCATCATGATTTACTCCTTTATCATGATCCGAGTCGAAGACCGGAGTGGACTTGAGCGCTACATTTCTCAGACAGACATTGGAGATATTCTTGTTGAGCATTTATTTCTGTGCTCTAGCAGCCATCGATCACTATCCGATGATATCCCCATAATTTGAGGGTTTGTAAGGACTGGTGGACCCAGTATCGTAATGCACTGGAAAGGAAGCGCCCTGGCCCAAACTTCCTTCCTTTTCCGATCCACTGCTATGAGAGCACGAGTCTGTACCAGTCGACGACGCTATCTTTTTACATCGCTGACTATTTGGGAGCATCACTTGCTTTAAACAGCATCAGCGGAGTTTGTGAACCGCCCGGCCTCGGCTCTAAACCACCAGCAAGCAGGACGTATAAATACCGTACTCGGATACCCTACAGTAACACTATCGTGCCATTCCTTCCTCAAACTTATACTTGCTGATCTGACTGTTCATCATGGATCACAACGACAACACCACTGGCGACGGAGCAGACGGTTTCAACTATGACGACGGTACCGGCAACTCTACCTATGCCTATATCAGCTTTTCTTTTCTGAACTTGTTGATGAGGTGTCGTCCTATCTTCCCGTAGGGGTCAGTATCAATACTTTCATCTGCCAGGTTGAACTCATCTGACTTGGATGGACGTCCGTTTACAGGAGGCTAGCAACCAGACGGATCCGTCGGCAGACACTCAGGGTGCGGTAAGTTGAGTCTCCATTGCCTCCCTCACTACTCTTCGTCTTTTCATGAAGAAGCTGATGTGGATGTGGGCTGTTCCACAGGACACAGCCGGCGCATCTTCCTCTGCAAACCAAGGAGCAAGCAGCTCAAAGTCCACCCAAAAAAGTATGTGAGCGGCTCGTCTGAACGCAATGACGATGCGCTGATTTTGAATAACCATCTTCTGCACCACAACGCACAACACATGACAGAACCCTATCACAAGCTAGGAAAGAACAGGGGGAACACAAAGTCCAACGAAGGGCTCAACTATGCCGAAATAAATGAGCGGGCCACTAGTACGTACAATCAATCCATTTGTTGTTCTCTTCTTTTCGCATGCTTGATTAGCCATCGCCAGCCATGGCATCGCAATCATGTCATTCTAACAATCAGTTGAAACCCGATGATGACAAGCGATCCCTCCCTCCCCCCCTCCAAACAACAATAGATCGAAGACGTGAGAGTAGAGTGACCAAACAGAAAAGGGAGTACGTTGCCAATCTAGAAGCTCGCGTTCAAGATGCCGAGACAAACTGGAATGTGACGAAAAAAGAACGCGATGAATTGCAGGCCGAGTTGACGAGGATCGGCGCGGGAATTACAATCATGAATTTGGAGGATGAGGGGTATGATCAGAGTCTATCTTACGACTATGATGAGTCAGCTGCGGAAAACACAAACATGAATTGGGAGGATGAGGCGTTTAATCAGTTTGTATCCTGGGACCAGGATGAGCCAGCTCCGCAATAAAGCTGCACAATGCGTCGGGGCTGATTTCGTATCGGTCAGAGTATTTACGGGAGGTGATTGACGAAAGAGATGAATCGAGTCGAGTGCTGTGGTTTATATCTTTGCCCGCAAAGATCTGAATGAATGCCACATCTGGACGCTCTTTCAACTGATACATAAAGACTCATACACATAGCGTCCCTGTATGGATATACAAGACAGACAAAAAAGGAGAAAAGTCAAGAGATACGAAGGAGCGTCCCTATATGGATATACAAGACAGATGGAAAAAGGAGAAAAGACAAGAGATACGAAGAGATCAAGAGGTCGTCAAAGACTGGAATACCCTGAAAGTCGTGCTAGATGGGAGTAAAAGGTCGTAAAGACGTCGAAGGACGACGAAGGAAAGGGAAGGAGGAGTGAGGCGCGTCTACATGGTATGATAACCTTGCTGATAGCCCATCCCATTCATCCCCATCTGCCCCATCTGCCCCATCTGTCCCACCTGGCCCATCTGCCCCAGCCCATTCATCTGCCCATACCCGCCCATCTGTCCCTGCCCATTCAAAGATCCATTCATCATCCCCTGCTGGCCCATTCCCATACCCACCCCGAATTGACCCTGTCCCAACTGCATCTGCCCCATCTGCTGTCCACCCATCATCCCGTTCCCGAAAGCCTGCTGGCTTTGATAGCCGGGCGACATCTGCGGTTGTTGTAAAGTTGAATAGGATGGTTGTGGGGAGAGATGGTGGCCGTAGCCCTGTTGTGGCTGGGGAGAGTAATGCATGTTGTTGAATGTTTGGGAAGGAGAAGGTTGTGGGGAGAGGTAGTTGGACATCATCCCATTCGGACTCGCGAATTGCGGGGTAAAAGACGGGGAGGTGGAAAAGCCTGTAGGCTGTATAGGGATGTATTGGGGTTGCTGAGGTTGAGGCGACGGGGACACGTTGAGCTGCAGGGGCAGAGTAGAGGTGGAAGCGGAGGATAAATCGACGAGGTTGGCTTCGGACGGCGGGGCCGGCGCTGGGCGCATCGAAGCCACATTCTGCGCCGAAGGCGAGCGTACCGGCCTCGCTCTCGGCGGAGCTCTACCAGTGGGCGAAGAGGCGGACGGGCTGACGGGGATAGGCGGCAAGTCTCTCTCCTTCTTCCGCGGCATCACGATATCGTTCAACTCGGGGTTCCGCCTATTCTCTTTACCAACCGTCCACCCCGCCGCCCCGGCCTGCAACCGCCCGTCCCTCTCTCTCGCCCTGTTGAGACTCGTAGGCTCTACCCGCCCGTCAAGGCGCGCAGAAGCCCCGCCTTTGAAAGCGCATTGCTCGTACTTTTTGCGAATGTACCGCTCGATCTCGGAATCCCGTTCTTCGTGGCCGTACGAGGAGGGAGGGGGGTGCAGCCGCTCGTTGGGGTTGTAGATGGCGTTGGAGGCGGTGTTGCCTATGGATCGCATGGTGGATATCTGGTCTCTGCTCCAGCTGTCGAGCGTGACCGATTTGCTGACAAGACACGTTAGCTGAAGGCGGCGATCAAGGCGAGGCGGGGGAGGGTCTTACACTCTGCTGTGATGAGTACCGAGCTTTCGATGTACTGAAGCGCATCCGACGCAGAGGAATATGCCCAGGTTGACACTGGCCCATCTGGGGGAAGGAGAGTGGCAGTCGGCACAAGTGTCTGGAGGTGGGTCAGCGCCCGAGAACAAAAGACGCGGCGCGTATACGGGGTGAGGGGACCAGAGGGGACGAGGACTGACCGTTTCCTGGTTGCCTGAGGATTTCTTCGAGCATACGCTCGTTGCGCTGTTCTGCGCCGGACATGAGTGATGCTTGAGGGGGGAGATGGAGAGAACAACAAAGGAAAACGAGCGAAATAACGGGAACAGGACGCGTGGTGCGGGGCTTCGTTGTTCCAGCCTTTTCAGTTGCTTCCACCGACGCGCTGCTCTTGCAATGCTGGCCTTCTGCTACTTGGCCATGGGATACCCGTGGAGACAGCGAGGGGCTGCAAGTATAGCATAGTCCACTCACCACCCCATCCATTCATCCCCGCTTAACCCCCTCAGCTTACTCGTACGCACCCTGTGTGCACTGACCTCCCCTTCCCCTGTCTTTTTCCTGACCAAATCCTCAGACTACGCAGGCAGGTACAGCGCGATGCTAACAGCTTGCTCTCGCTGCTCACCTCGGCAGTGGCACGGTCCGATGCAGGTAAGGAACTCAATTATCGCAAGTGTCGGAGAGGGCGAAGGGGTTTAAAGGGGTTAGTCGACTGTGTGCAATCCGCCTTCTTCCCCCAGGTGGCAAATCTTTCATCTTGTCTCTTTACATCTTCTACTGATACACATCTGGGCTACACCCCTGTGCCTTGAAAGCCAGCAAACGAGATATTTGTGAATCAGGCAAGTCGTATCTATGGGTTCGCGAACGGCCCTCTTCGCGATGCTCATCCGGGACATTCCCTCAGATGCCGACCATCAGCTGATACTCCCTCTCTCAGTTCGCCCTCCTGGACGATCATTGACGACGGCAACGACGGACTAACGACACGCAACGACCCCACGACAAACCCCAACCACAGCTCTCGGCACGTGCACCATGACGACCCGTCCCCGGACCTCCTACATGGTCCACTCTGGCTTCAACGACCTCATCAACCTCATCTCCGCCACCCCCTCTCGTTTGGGTGCCATGCCTAACGGCGTCAATAATGGCGACCCCAAGCGCAACTCGCGCTTCTCACCGAATAGGGACAGTGGTCTACCTCGGAAATCGTATGAGCTGCCGGTGGCAGGGGGTGGGTATACGGATGAAGAGCTCAGCAAGCCGCCTGTACCGCCCAAGAAGGGTGACCGGAAGGAGAGCCCCAAAGGTCTACAGAGCCCCAGGTCGCCTCAGTCGTCCAAGCCGCCCACGCCACCTGCCAAGGAGCCTCCTCAATCCAAGGAGCTCAAGAAGCGAAAGGTCGACAAGCGCGAAATCGGGTACCCTACCGACTTTAGGTGAGTTAAGCTCGATAGCAGGTGATTATAGGCTGATGTACGACAGGCATATCTTCCACGCGTCGACGTACGAAGAAGCTACCGAGCTGCTCTTGCGGTGGTCAGCTGAAGGGCTCAGCGACAAGATTGGCGGTCCGTCTCAAAGCAATATCACCACTCTGGAAAACTGACACTACTCTAGACCCAGCATGGGCGAACCCGATCAAACAAGTCGTCAAGACTCGTGCTCTGGAGCAACAGGCTCGAGCGGTAGCAGATGTCGTAGAAGCCACAGCCCGTACCCGCGAACTCGGCAGTGCCGCCCACGACCTGTACGCCCCTCTCTCCCTCTCTTCCTCCCAGCATCCCCTGACATACCACAGCGCGCCGCCTGGGACATTAAGAGTCATCAACGGTCTTCCCTCCTCCATCTACTCTTCCCTCAACTCTAACCCTCTGCTGAACAACCCTACACCTTCCTCACTCGACACTGCTCACGTCAAGCCGGAATCGACGACGACGACCATCTCGCCTTCGCTGGCAAGAGCGTCGACACCTCGGATGATTGCAAACATGGCTGGGTATTTCGAGTACGAATCTAGTCGGAGCAGCCCTGGGTCCGCTCTAGGCCTGCAGCCGGGGACATCGCCCGAGAGCCCGATGAAGTTTACAAACAAAAAGTCTTTACCTCTCAATATGGCGCCTACGCTGGAACCCATGGCCGAGCATCCTGATGCCTCCGACCTGCCTCCTGGGCTTCTGCTCCCACCTTCAAGTTCCAAGAAACGAGACCAGCGCCCCTCTGCTCAAGATCTCTTCACCCCTCTACCTTTTAGGGTCATCAAACCCACCCTCCCTACTCTGGAGAAAGCCATGAGCGTAGCCCTCTTCTTCGAAGGCTACTACCATCCCTTCCTCTCGTCAGAGGACGGCCTCAACCCATACGACCTCTCTTCCCCCGGCTCCCACGACAAACTCCTCTCCTCCCCCATCCACCCCTCCAACTACCCCCTCCTCCGTGCCCGGCGTCAAGCCGCCCTCGAAACCACCCTCCTCTCCCCCGCTAACCGCTTCATGTCGCCCGCCCAACAGGACCTCGTGCGTGCAGAGCTGCAAGCGGAGGAAAGACGGTGGTTGAGGGAGAGGAGGAGGAAGGTGGATGTCAGGGCGTTTGAGATGGGGAGGGTGATTGGGCATGGGGCGTTTGGGGTTGTGAGGATTGCGAGGGAGAGGGAGGGGGGGAGGTTGGTGGCTATGAAGCAGCTTAGAAAGGCCGAGTGTGTATTACCATCCTCTTGCCCTTGGGCGCGTTAGCTGACGAGAGGGCGTAGTATGTTGCAGAAATCCCAAGAAGGCCACGTCAAAGCCGAAAAAGACCTCCTCGCCTCCGCCTCCTCCTCCCGCCCCCCTCTCCCCAACCTCCCCGCCTCCTCCGCCCCCGCCCCTTCCCGCATCGTCCAGCTCTTCTACGCCTTCCAAGATACAGACCACCTCTACCTCGTACTCGAATACATGGGCGGCGGGGATTTGTTGAATCTGTTGGTGGAGAGGGACACGTTTTCGGAAGAGATGACGCGGGTGTATGTGGCGGAGATGGTGCTTGCGTTGGAAGAGACGCATGGGTTGGGCTATGTCCATCGGGATATCAAGCCGGATAATTTCTTGTTTGATCAAGAAGGACATATCAAGATATCTGATTTCGGGCTGGCGACGGACCTTCATTGGGCCCACGATACGTCGTACTACGACCAACAACGTCTGGCGCTCCTCAAGAAACATGGAGTCGACTTGGAATATCCGAGCGTCCACACAAAACGGATGGATAGGAAGGACGTCAAGCGGATTTTGGGCAAGGAGTGGGTGGAGAAGGGGGAAGGGGTGTTGGAGTGGCGAGAGAGGAATAGGCGCAAATTGGCGTATAGCGTTTGCGGGACGAATTCGTATATGGGTGAGTTGTATCAGAGGTATCTGGTAGGGTGGATGGCTGATGTTGAGTGATAGCTCCCGAAGTCATCCGGGGACAAGGGTACGGGTTCTCTTGCGATTGGTGGTCTCTCGGTATTATCAGTATGTTCAGCCAGTTTGCTGCTTTGTTGAGGTGCTGACAATCGCGTGTAGTGTACGAATGTCTGTACGGCTACCCGCCCTTCACCTCCTCTTCCGTAAGCCACGCCCACCCTCAACAACCCTTCCTCCAAGCTGACCTCTTTCCCCTCCCTTTACAGCGCCACATTACCCGCCAGAAAATGTAAGTTACTCAACCCCTAGCCGTTTATCCTATCCTGTCCAGAACCTGACCAAGAATATGTATAGTCTGAACTGGCCCCAAACCCTCAAATTCCCACCCGCCCCCAAATTTTCTCCCGCCTGCTTAGACCTCATCACCCAACTCCTCTGCGAGCCCGAAGACCGTCTCGGCTCTTCCTCCTCTTCTTCTTCTTCCCCCATGCCTCTCTCTGGAGCTTCGTCTCCTCATTCAGGAGAGGGGAGGCCGAGGGGCAAAAGAGTACTAAGTGCAGGCAGCGGGCTCGGGCTGGGTAAGGACGAGGAGAAAGGTGGACTGGGGAAGGATGGGGTGGAGGAGATTAAGAGGCATGCTTGGTTCCGGGGTATCGATTGGGATAGTAAGTCCACCCCCCATCATTCTTGACGAGGAAGACGAGGAATGGATGGGTGCTAATGAGAGAGGGCAGATCTGCATAGGAAGAAACCACCTTATTCGCCGGATCTGTATACGGATGATGATACGCGTCATTTTGATGAAGATATACCTGGCGAGGTGAGTCCTTCTCAGAACAATCTTCAATGGACTCTCTCGAGGAACATGGTTGGCTGACGAATACGATTCAGCCTCTCGCCCCGCCGGGTACGGCACAAGACAGTAAAGACCCGCTCTTACGAAACAAGACCCACGGCGCGCACCTGCTCGAGATCCGTAAACAGTAAGCCTGCCCTTCCCCTTCCCTTTTCCCTCCCATGCCCCTTTTCGTACGGCAAGCGACAAGACTGATTCGACAATGGCAGACTCGCATTCAAAGGCTGGACATTCAAATCCCCCCACCTCGACACACCTTCCGGCCTTACCAAGACCAAAGAGACGAGGTATGGTCATCTCGATTGGGTCGCTCGAGGCGGTGGTGCTGGGGTGGAGCACTTGCAGGATGCGAGTGATGAGACGGTGATGGCTAAGGATCATGCTTGTGCTTTTGTGGAGGAGGATGATGATGGAGAGTTGAGGGGGACGGTGAAGGCGAGGGCCATGTCTTACTAATTGATTGTTTGAGGGTGATAATGGCTATGGTGTTGGTTGGGATGTGCTTGCTTGATATGGTGATAAAGCCTTTGACGTTGTAGTGGGTTTGTGGTGTGCTGTAGCCTTCTCCATGAGACTTCGGACTTTTTTTGTTGACGATCTTGTACGAGCTATGTAGAAGCGTCCTACGTATGTCTGGCGAGGTGTTTCTTTGATGACGAGTGATTAGCACATTAGTATGATATACACGGAGTGATGCAGTAGTGATGGATTTGATGGGTTCGATGCCGGCGAACCAATTCGACAAGGCCCAGACCACGGTCCTCCCAGACCTCCTGATCTCTCTGGCACCTGTGGAAATGTTGTCGATGTCGAGTGTCCACCGCCAAAGAATGACCTGTACCAGAAACGTAACGAGGGGCGCGAGCGTCAAAGGTATGAAATACATCCCAAATCTCCAATATCCAGATCTCCATTCGTCTCTGTTGAGAAAATGTTTATCCGGACTTGCCGACGGGCTGCTGGTTCCTACGCGACAAACGTCAGCATCTCTTTCCCATATATTCTGTACACGAGCAAGGAAGGGGAGGAAGAGAGGGAAGGATTCAGATAGGAGCGAAAGACTAATTTCAAGATTGTAGTTCAACATGTATGTTTCAGAGTGAACTATGCGTGATTGATGTATCATCAGAATATCGGGGGGGTTGTGGCGAGGGGGTATGATCGAGGTGTGGAGACAAATCGCCGCAGACACGAAAGGGAAAGAAGGAAGAGGGGAAAAAAGACTCACATCCTTCGCTTGCCACCGGGAGCAACGGTAACGTTGACGAATCGACGAGTGTATTGCAATCGCTTGACTAAGAGCGAGGAGACTCTGGTCAGCTCCATGATCCTTCGTTTTCCATTCCGTGGTCGATATCCGCTGCCCTCCCTGCCACTTGCCCATCGCATTCCAGCTCCACCATCCCGTCCATATTTCTTCGTCCCTCTTTTTTCCCTCATCAACAATATGGTGGCAGTGGCAGTCGTCGGGGGTGGGCGGCGGATAGTCGGATAGTCATGGCGACTTACGAGCTCGGCCCTTGGGCTGCTTCTTCTTCTCTTGGGGCTCGACCTTGGGGCACTACACATTCCCGTGAGCTCCCCCCTTTTCTCTGTACAACAAGAGGGGACATACCTGAGACCTGACCTTACCGGCACGCGCGAGGGAACCGTGAACCTTACCCATGATGAATGTTGTTGGATAGAGAGCCTCTGTAACGCGAGCGAAAACGTCGAAATCGCCAGCCAGTTTCGCGCCATGGCGATACGCGGCGTTTCCCCGTGTGGCGGTGCGGCGATGTCCGCCTCTCTATTTGGCTCGCTCTCGCGGCAGTGTGATCAGCAAGTGATCAGAAGCATACATAGAATAGAGATGGGCCCGCCGCCAGCAAAGAGACTGAAGGAGCATGTCGAGCTCGCATTCCTAGGCCCAAGAGGGACTTATGGCGAGCAAGCAGCTAGGGCGTTTGCTTCACGCTTCCATACCCCCGTCGACCTCGTCCCCTGCAGTACCATCACCGGTACGTCCTTCTCTTCGATGTTCCATACAATGGCTCATCAGCCAGTATCAAGCCGTCTATGATTCCCCATCCCCGCATATCGTCCTGCCCCTCGAAAACACCCTGCAAGGAGGCGTCCAAGAAACGCTCGACTGTCTCTTATCCTCCCTCAACCCTCAAGCCTCAAAACCCGGCGCCATCCAGCGCCAAATCAAACTCTCCCTCTCCCTCCCCATCCGGCACTGTCTCGTCGCTTTGAAAGGCACGCAGTTGCCCGAAATCACATACGTGCGGTCGCACGAACAGGCGCTGGGGCAGTCGGCGCGATATTTGGACGAGAAGCTGCCGAGGGCGAAGAGGGAGAGGTGGTCGAGTACTGCTGGGGCTGCTGTGAGTCTGCTTGACAGTCCTGAGGATGGGGAGGGGAAGGGGGCTGCGATTTGTTCGAAAGCTGTTTTGGGGTTGTACCCTGATGCGCTTGAGGTGTTGCATGAAGGGACGCAGTACGGTGACCGCAAGTATCTCTTCTCCTCAATCCCACACAGAGCTGACTCGTCTCAAGATAATTACACCCGTTTCCTTCTCCTCTCCCCCCCATCCGCCCCCCTCCCCAAAATAATCCCCAACCCCAGAATCTTCTCCGACGCAGACAGGAACCACATTTACGCCATTTCCTCCGTCAACGTCACCGGTTTCCTCTCTTCCGTCGGCTTGCCTGCCTTAGAAGGCACGGGCAAAGGCCGGTATGTCAAGATGATCCATACCCGCCCAGCTGCGGAAGGGTGGACAGCGGGAGAATGGGAAGAGAGGGAAGATTTCCCGAGGTGGCATCTGGTGGAGATTGATGGAGGGTTGGCGGATGATGACCAGCTGGATGAGGATGATCCGGATGCGGATGTGGATGGGGAGGGGGGGGAGTACAAGTTGTTGGGAATTGTACATGATGAGATAAGTCACATGGAGTTGAGCAAGTTGTTGTGAAAAGTGACGACTCTGTATGAAATCTGATGATTTGATCAAGGCTGGCGTGAGGCGATGCTATCACCCTATTGCCACCGTTGTCCCATGACACTCTATGCTCTGCCGCCCACGCCATGGTATATACTGTACACTGTACTTGACCCATTCTCAAACTTTGGATTGACATCCATCGGCACCAAGACAGAGCTGCGTCGTTCGCCGCGCTTCGGCTTGCCGGGGTTCGGGTACACACAATGGTGACGCTGTGGTGACTTTTCTTGGCAGCGCCTGTTGTCTGTCTGTATTGAGGCGACTCTCTTCTTCTCCATCCCCAGCTTGCAAGCTAAACACTCATCCCACCTCCCCCATACCCACACATCACCATGTTCGGCGGCCCCGGCGTTCCAGTCGTTGCTGCAGTACCAGACGCCACCTCCCACAGCGGTTTCGGCACCCTCAACAAAGTCGACTATCCCACCCTCGGCCTCGGACATCCCCTCCCGAGCGAGGTGAAGATACAGGTCGGGGGGTTGCCTGTGGCCGTTTGGGGGTTGGAGGAAGTTGAGGGGGATGGGAAAAGGGGTGTTGTGGTGCTTGTGAGTGCTTTAATTATCTCTTATGTGTATGGTGGAGTGGGGTGGGGTAAGGGTGGAGGCTGATGGGGTTTGGGTGTAGGTCGTAGCACGTGCAAAAGAAGATCTATCAACACCATACCTTGCACAAGGTATCCTCGGCCAAGTCGCGCTCAAGGGCAGTAAAGCAAAGGCGCGCAACCTCATTATCGTCACCCTTGCAAGTCCTGGCCCTCTTTGAAAGAGTGTTTAGAAGTGCAAGCTGATTTCTGGGGTGTATCAGGACCAGGGAGCTGAAGGGAATGGGAGTGGGCCTGAAAAGCCGGTCTTTGGCAAGAGTGCTCAGCAACTGCAAGTGCCATCCAATGCCACTATGGATAGAAGTGCTTTAAAGCTGACTCTGAACCAGTATCAATACCGCCGCCGACGTCCGTAAGTCAATCATAGACCCAAATCCCCATCCCTCCCCAAATGCTGGCTGACAATGGTGCAAAGAAATCGCCCTGGACGAAATAGAACAGCTCATAGCCGCCCTCCCCGCCTCTCTCCCAGGGCTGATCATAGAAGAATGGGCTGCAACCGGTATCTCTCTCGGCGGCTTCATCGCTTGGAAACTTATCCACGATAGTACGTCCCTCTCCCTCTCCCCCTACCCCCCAGCCCTCAACCCTATATGTAACAAATCACTGACAGCTTTGAAGACCCCCGTGTGCATATTGGAATCCCAATCGACGGCCTCCCCTTCGAATCCATATCCAAACGTCTCTCCTCCCCCGGTTCTCCCAGCATCACACCAGACTTGCAGAACGTCCTCCTACCCTTCACAGACCCCGCTCAGGGGCGAAAAGCGTACAGTGGGAAAAAGATCCTCGGGTTGTTTGGCAAAGAATCAACGTTTGCGCCGTTTACGCATGCTGAGGGTGATATCAGGCAAATCGAAACTTGGACCGAGAATCAGGATCAGGGGAAAGAGGGGGAGAAAGGAGGCATTTTGGCGTGGGATGTACAAGAGAATGTGGGGCATACGTGTACGGTGCAGATGGTGAAGCAGGCGGCGGAGTGGGTTTGGAGGTATGGGATGGTGGATCCTACGGCGGATGAGGGGGCGGCGGCGGCGGAGGGGGTGGGGTCGACGGGGTCGACGGGGGAGAAGAAGAAGAGGGGGAGCTTTTTGAAGAAGGTTTTCTCGAGATGAGTGATGAGATATAATAGTGTAATAATAGGAGATCCGCATGTATCCAAAAATATTTCGTTAATCTGTGTGGGGCTCGTAAAGACCGGCGGGGATGAGAAAAGGGTAGGACGATTTGTTGGTGGCTTCCTTTCTGATCCCCACATGTCGAATCCTTCAGAGGTCGGCAGACTCTGACCTAAAAGCTTGGAATTCGATTTGAGGCGTGTTTTTAAATGATATCCTTGGGCGATCGCAGTCGAAGAAAGGGATCGTTGAGTGCCGTGTAACTCCAAAGATGGCGTGGAACTTAAAATATCCTCGTGGCTTGCCAGAGGACCAAATTAGCACCAAACGTCAGCTTGTTCACCAACCACCGCCCGCCTCTCCGTCTCCCAAACCACAATCCCCAAAATGTCCCAATTTGAGACCAGTATGATGCCGTAAAATCATACATCCCCCCTCTCAAAAGAAAAAATCCTCAGACAGCCATCCATGCTACTCGGTAAACCTATCTAGAAGATACAATTTACTTCCTGGCGGCGACCTTGTCCTTGAGCATACGCTTGACGATGGTGGCTTCCTCAATAAGGAAAGCTCGGGTGATTCTGTTGTTTGCGAATTGTCGTTTGTGAGGAGGGGAGTGATGTGATTGAGGGACGGACGGGGAGAAAGAGGGAAGATATCAATGGTGGACCAAGAAGATGATATGGGGGGACGTACCGCTGCTTAACACAAGTGGCACAGACGGAACCGCCGTAAGCCCTCTGGACGGTCTTCTGCCTCTTGGAGAGAGTGGCGTCTGCAATCCACCGTCAGCTACTGTTCCCCACAATCTCTTTCCATCCATTTCCTATCCGCCTCGACGACCTCTCCATCTAAATTTGACAAAATCTTCGCGCATTGACAACAACCGTTGGGAGGGGAATTTTACTGACATTGACGGGGACGGAGGACGGGGATCTGGGGGCAGGTCAGCATAGGACAGAGAGGTATGGGAAAGTAGACGTACACCAGCGAGAGCGAAACCACAGTCACCACACTTGGGGGCAGACTACACGGAAAAGCGTCAGCATTTCCCCTCTTCAGCAACATAGCCGCCTTCCACATCATCCCAATCCTCCCCTCCATCATCCTTCCCTATCCCTATCCCTATTCCCTCCCTGCATAGTCCCATGTCGGATTTGTTGATGATATACTTACAGCAATCTTCTTCAAGTGGTGGACGACGAGCTTGCCACCGGGGGTCTTGACGACCCTCCTCCTGTTGGAGGTGGTGTTGTAGGGCTGACGCTTTCGGAGGGTAACTCTCTGGGCCATTTTGAGTTGAGGGTCTTGACGGTTGAGGTGCTATACTCTACTGCTTTTGCTATAGCAAGAGTGCGAATTTACTATCCCCGAAAAACGCCGGGGAGGGTAAGATGGTTAAGAATACGTAAGAATAGCGGGAGCATATCTTAACACCGAACGTTGCGCCCGCGGTGTCCGGATCTCCGCGTCATGTATGCGACCAAGTTCAACTTGACAAGCTGGATTCCATGACAGACAGCTTTCCATCGCTCAGTCACCGGGCCCTCAGGGATGGTAAATTGCCATTTACGGACAATATCCACGGCACATCTCCGATCCAGTTGGCACTGCGAACCAGAGGGAAGGGCAAGGCGCGCACGCTTCAAGACCACGTAGGCAAGTCACTCACCATGGGGTGCTATGTGGTGGTAGAACACTCGATAAGGTGATATTACGAATACGGAGAGCCAAACACAATACCATGAATCAACCATGAATCAAGTCCCCAGTCACTCAAAAATAGTCTCATTCGTGTCTCAGAATTGCTCATCTACGAGAAGAGTCTGATGCGAGACAGTCTAACTGCCTGCAACGACATGGCTGACACTATTGCTCGGCCTGAGGGGAGGTGCGCTTCAAGGTCGGCGGATGGAAATTACTACTGGCCACCTCGATGTCAACTATCTCGTTCCAAGGCCTCTGTGAACCATGTTCATCTCTCGGAAAACCGCTTGCGATAGCCACCAGATAACAGGACTACAATGCTTGTAGTATGATGATATGTAACCGTGTAATCATCGGCGTTGAGCAGCAGATCGATCTACTAGTGGAATTGGAGGATGATGTCCGTCAGATCGGCAGGCTGCGTGCCCTGGGAAAAGTTAGATTGCGGAGGATTTCCCATGACAATGTCACAGCCAGGATGCGGTATGGATAGGTGTTGGTACATCCATGGATGTGTGAGACGTATCTAAAGCATCTACAGCCACCCTCGTCAGAGTCTCCCCCAAGATGCGTTGGTGAGAGCCGACAGGAACATTGCCGTTGTCGTCAACAAATCGCGCCCCCGCGTCGCGCTATCCTCCTCTTCCACCGTCCATCTCCTCCCCATCTCTATCCCAATCTTCCAACGCCTCTCCCCCACTCTATCAGCAGGCATCATCAAGATTGCCACAGTGCCGCCCTCCAAGGGCTCTCCTCCCCCCCCGCGGTCGCTAAGGTCCCACCACCTGCCTCACCCGCTTGTCTTCCCACGATGAACGCCAATGGGGCTGCCCCGGTACCACACGGGGGCAGGGCCCTCCCACTCCCGCCACCTAACACGTTCTCCGATGCAGAAATCACCAAAGCATTCGAGGTACTCGTCAAGTATGCCGTTATCCATCCCACCTTCCTAGCATGGCAAATTGCTGACTATGACTTAGCGCTATGGACTCTGCACTGGCAGCGTTTACTCGGAAAGATGATGCTTCAAGACACCTTGTCAAGCTCTGCTCCTTTCCTGATGCCAACCCCTGTCATCCTGTATTTGACGCTGCCCAGCGGGCTGCGAAGGAGGCTCGGCAGCAGCATGAAGCGGCAATGGTCTCGGCGAGGGCGGCTTTTCAAGAGCTGGTGTGGCTTATGATTGTCAAAGCCGGGGGTGTCAATGATCTCTCTGCGTTGACTTCTACAACTGCACCAGCTATGCCAGCTGGGGTTCCAGTCGATATCCTCAAGGCCCTATCAGACCACAAAAAGACGCTCGAAGACCAATTCGGTTCTGCCAACACGGTGCTCGAGAGCAAACTCGCTCAGCAGCTCGCCCAGCGTTTTGAAGCGTTTCAAAAGACTATCAAGGCAGAGTCCGAGCGGGAGAAGCAGGATTATGATATGGAGGCTGATGCGTTGAGGGGGATGATGTCGGAAGTGAAGAGTGTGAAGGTTATCTTTGAAGAGGGGATGGCCAAGGTCAGGTCTTTGGAGAAGTGGCAGCAGGATCGAGATCGGGCAGATGCGCTCAAGGCGAAAGAATATCAGGTTGCTGCCGAGTTGGCAGCCAAAGAAGCTCAGGCTGCTTCCGAACTGGCAGCCAAGGAGGTTCTGAACGCTGCCCAACTCCCCACACCCTCCACCGCCCAATTCCCTCCCTCCCATCCCAACTACCAACAACTCCCCATATCCCGCGTCGTCAAACAAGAGATGGTTGATCGCCTCGATTTTTTGGAGAATGAAGTCGCGATGCAGCGCGAAGAGATTGATGCGATGGAGGCGCGCCGGCAGAGGAAAAGGAAGCGGGCGCAGGATGATGGAGGGGAGGGCAAGGCAGCTGCCGGCCCGGCGGTGGGAAATGGGAAGAACAAGTTGTGGGAAGAGTTGAAGCGGCTTCAGGAGGAGCTGCAGAAGCTCAAGGCTCCTGCCGAGATACCCACGCCGGCACAAACGTCCTCGGCGCCGTCCCCTGCAGCCCGGATCGGTTCGGCCCCACCGACGAATGCCTCGCCTGCGCTCATGTCCCGAGAGATCAGCACTCTGCTCAGATCAGTCGACAAACTCGAACGATCCGAGGCCATCACCCAGGAAAAGCTCAAAGCGCTCGCCGGCACGGAGGAAGCGCGAAAGACCGAGATTGCCAAGGTCGACAAGCTCGAATCTGCCGTCGAAGGCTGGGAGCGCAAAGCCCAGGCGCTCGTCAAGGAGCATACAGCAGAGATTGCTGGCAAGTTGGAAGAGATGAGAAGCACTGCGATGAGGGACAAGGGCGCGTCGGACGCAAAATTGTCCGAGATGGGTGCGGTCTTGCAGAGGACGCAAAGCAGCTTGAAAGCGGCCGTGAGCGACATTCTGACCAAGACGATGGAGTCGTTTGACAGGGATAATGCTTCGGCCCTTACCGGGCTTCAAACGAATATCAACAACCTCAGAGCGACCCTGCAAGAGCATGCTACCTTTATCGCCACCATATCAGGCCAAGACGGTGCCGACTCGTCCATCGCGGTCCTTGTCAACACGCTGTCGCAAAACATAGACAAGTGTTTGCGAGCGTGCACCGACACAATGCTGCTGTTTGCCCAGCTGAGGGATGAAGTGAGGAACAACGGGGCGAACCAGGCGAGAGCGATGCAGGAGTTTGGGAGTGCGGTGACGAATCGGATAGGGCCAACAGAGGGGGAGGTCGGGAGGATGAGGTCGAGGATTGAGGCGTTGGAGATGCTTCTGCAGCAAGAAAGCGCAAAGGAGGAACAGATGTCTGTGATGCAGACTCAACTCTTCAACCTTCAGATGCAGATCCACAAGATGGCTCAGCTCAGAGAGCAGGCCCAGTCCTCTTCCCCCAACAACGCCGCTCAGACTCAGAACGAGGCCACTCGACGACTCGTCCAGGAGTTGCAAGAGCGGGCAAAGCAGCTCGACAAGGAGAAGGCGGAGAGAGAAGAGGCTGTGAAGAGGGAGAGGGATGAGATGGCAAAGCAGCAAAAGGAGATGAAGGAGAGCGAAGAGAGACTTGTGGAGAGGTGTATGAAGGATGCGAGGGAGGAAATGGAAAAGACTGTAGCAGAGCTTGTGCAGCGAGTGAGTCGGTGCGGTATGTAAGGTTATCATGAGCTGACAATAGAACAGGAACTACGATCTATGAAGGAAGCCCGTCAAGCTCAGTCGACGGAGGGATCGGATTTCCATACTCCCGACAGTCTCTTGCTGCTAGAAAGTCAACTGCAGCCTTTCGATATTTCCCCCGCCGTTGGCCTCGAGCCGCTCCCTCCAGTCCGCGAGGATGACATGGATGGAGAGCGGCCGGTGACACCACCTGTGCCTCCTCCCGCTCAAGCGGAGCTTGAAAAGTCGAGAGAGCCGAGTAGGGATGTCGAAGCCACCGCAGTTGGCGAGCAATCTGCGGTCGAGCAGCCCATCCGATCACCCAGCACCTCTCCTCCTCCTCTCCTTGGGCAGTCGAATCCTGTCCCTCCACAGTCAACTCCTATCCCTGGGCAAATGAACCCCGGGCAGCCAACCGTCCAGCCGCTTTCCATCTCCTTGGCGCGCCCCTCTTCTTCCGGCAGTGGCAGCAGCAAAGCAGCCTCAGACAGGAGTATGGCCAAATTCTTCAACGATGCCGATCGGACGGGCTCGCCGGGGATGCAGGTGGGCGCGGCCGATATGACGGCGCGAAGGACAGAGAGCTGGATGCCCACAAGGGAAGATAGCCAGCAAGCTCCCGTTCTGCATCTCAGCCGAGAGCCTCCTCCACATCTCCAAACGACGACACCCCCGGTCTCTGCGGCCGGTGCGACGAATCCTACATCTCGTCCTAGTTCCAGTCCCAACCCCGGTACCATACCTCGTCCTGGTTCCAGCTCCGGTACCATACCTCGTCCTCGTACCCATTCCAACTCTGGTACCTCCAACTCTGGTACCAAACCCCCTCCCTCTGGGTTCAACCTCAACCCGAGTACCAAACCTTCCCCTGGGTTCTCGCTTCCACAGGGATCCAGGCTTCCCCAACCTCCCCCTGGTGCTATACCGTCGAAGCCCAAGCATAACAAGCCTAGTACGCCCCGAGCTTCGTCATATCAATCTAGAGAGGGCATGTCCGGCTCGGAGAGGGGGAGAGATTGGGACAGGGATCGGGCTAGGCCTGGGAGTTATGATCATCACGACAGAGACAGGAGACCACGAGACGGCGGTGGGGGACGCTGCTTACAATGAAGCTTCAGCCAAGATCGGGAGTACGTCGGAGACCCATAATATATGTACCATACCATTTGATACATGTTGTATACAATCATTCATGCATAGACAGTCACCTACGTACAAGTACATCATCGTGATCAGAGGAGCCGTGACGAGAGCGCATAAGAGCATGCGATGCTGGCAGACCCGTCTGGCAACCTGACAGCCTGGTCGCATGAGAAGATGACGGCAACAAGCAGCAACAACAACAAACGTAAGAAACGCGCACGTCGGTGATAAGCCAAATGTTTGATTCCGTTCAAGTGCCACGTCTGCGGAAAAATGAGTAGGCGCTGTTCGCCGCGCGGTGCTCTGTTGGTTTTGGCGCAAGTGCATAGAGGTCCTCCTTATCCGTCAAAACACAAAACAGAGGTCAAGATGGTGAGTCATGAGGGCACAGCGGGCACGCAAGACGGCATATCCCAGAGGGGCGAGAGTGGCGAGAGCGGTGGAACAAGGAGCTCGGAGGAAGGCTTGAGGGTTGAATTTGAGAAAGTGGAAGAAGGAATGCCGTCTTGCCTGCTTGGTGTCATGCTGCTCGAGAATATACGCTGACAATTGTTCAGGTTGCCACCAAGGAACGCAAGGTTAGCATCCGATTTCTAGCCGGGACCTGGACGAAGAGCAAGCTTTCGCTGGAGTAGTGGTCGAGGTGGACTTGTGGATAATGAGCATGATTCAGGAGGTGGAGGAGGATTGCTTGTTGTTGCTTGGCCTACCCGTCACTACCCTTCGACCTTGCTCTTATCCACCCCGCACAAGCCGCATGGCTGCCAAATTCGCTGACTTGACACGCAGACCCGAACTCCCCGATCCGCCCTTCACGACGTTGTCACCAGGGAGTACACCATCCACCTCCACAAGCGTGTCCACGACCTCTCCTTCAAGAAGAGTGCGCTCTTTTCCATCTATATATTCGGCTCTTGCTGATAATATGCGCAGAGGCTCCCAAGGCCATCAAGGAGATCGTCAAGTTCGCCCAGAAGTCTATGGGTGTCAACGACGTCCGTGTCTCTCCCGGACTCAACCAGGCCGTCTGGGCCCGAGGTGTCCGATCTCCCCCCCGCAGGATCAGGGTCAGGCTCGAGAGGAAGAGGAACGACGACGAGGGTGCCAAGGAGAAGCTTTACGTGCTTGCTTCCGTTGTCGAGGGTGTTACCAGCTTCAAGGTGAGCTTGAGTGTGCCGAGGGATGTGGGTGGAAGCTGACAAGAGTTGCAGGGTCTCCAAACCGTTGTCGTCGAGAACGACGAGTAAACTTTCCGACCTTTAGGGAGGGAGGGGTTTCCTTTGTTGTAGGCGTCATGACATCGACTTCACCATCATATCGCATTGTTCTCTGGATGTGGACTGCTTGGATGTGGACTGGAAATTTGCAGTGGGACATTGAATTTGGCCAAGGAAGGATACAGCATGAAAGTCGAGGAGGGTTGTGATTGAAAGTGCTACAAGTTGATGACATCCGGCTCGCACAGTGTCATTGGTGATGGAGGAGTGGGATAGGAGGAGGCGTTGGCTGTCGGCCAATGACGAAGTCCCCCAAAGGATTCCCGAACTGGCTCTATCATCGGCTGCATCATCGTCGCAGCTTCTGTCGTTGGGTCTTTGGCTGCTGCTTGTGAGCGACCTAACGAAAGGTTTTGTTTCGCAGACTATTATCGTCAGCAACGCTGTCAATTTTCCTGTTTCCTGTACTAGAATTCGAGTGGGCGCTGTAGTAGATCACCTATTCGACTTGGTACACTGTCATCCTGTATCGAGCTTGTAGGTATCCCTACGTAGAAGAACCAATTTCGGATCAAAGTTGATGGTAACATGCTTATCATCATGTAAACATCATGTAAGAAAGTATAACGAATGTAATCTGGCATACTCGTAGTGTACACGAGCGCCGGTGGATACGGTATTGGGCGGGGAGATGTGGCGCCTGGTGGAGCTGGTGAGTGGCTGTGAGCGATTGGGTAAACGCAGGAGATTATCTGACCGATATGTATACTAGACGGATGGGCATGCATTGACCTCTCGTCCAGTACATTGACATCGCCGACCTACACTCTGGGACATTTCTCTGTGATCTTGCAGAGAAGGGCACAGTTGAATACTCGATCGAAGAGTGCCTGAGTTTGATACTAACAACGAATTCACAGCCGATGTAGATGCAGTCTCACCTGCTTCTCCATCTCGTAATCTCGCTCTTTTCTCCATTTTCTCGTCAATCACACCCCCTGGGTCTCTAGCCAGCTGTATACAATTGCTCTTAGCAGACAGCAGCCCGCCCAGCAGCCTCTCTCTCAAACAGCGCGTCGCGCCCCACCCGTCTTCTCTGGCGCTTCACCATGCCCCTCCTCTTCTCCCGCAAAGCTCTTGCCGCCGGCCTCTTTTCCCTCACCCTCCTCGCCCTCTTCACACATCTCAGAACTGGTACTGGAGGTCACACTTTCCATTCCAGCATATCTGTAAGTCCTTCACCCGCATGGCCTCAGAAACAAGGTTTGGACCTGGCTCAAGTCTTGTTTTCGTAGCGGGTTGGTCTCCTACCCTCAAGCTGGAGTAGTCAAGAGTCGCTGTATGTGCCTATAGAAGATTTCCCAGAGACAAAGTGGATAAGCGGCGTCGCAGGCTTCAGTAAGGCTATCCTCTTCTCCCTCTTGATCTACTGGTCAACAATCCCGCAGACTACCTTCACAATCTCTACATGACAAATGGCACCTTCCTCGCCCTGACCTCCAACCCGGCCACCTTCCCCGAGGAAGGCGTGTCCTTTCTGATGTCTGCGCTTGCTACAGAAACCGACACATTCAGGCGACATGGACCCGCGGGGGAAGACAGATTCCAGATCTTGTCAAAGAAGGAGGCGTGGGACAAGGGATTACTGCAGCCGGCGGCTATCAGGAAGCACGGGATCAGCGTACGCCAGGTCTTGCGGTGGTGATAGTGAAGAAGAAGAGCTGATGGACTTGAAGATGTTTTTTAATGATGTGAGGGAAGGCGAGAGGAAGGGGTCTTTCTTAGACCATTACTTCCACTGTAAGCACCCGTCTATATCTTTGTCATGTAACCCGCTAACTCTGTGATCTAGTCAGTAAGCACACGCCCATCTTCATTGAAATAAGCTACTAACCCCCGTCATCTCTTTTATTCACATAGTCGGTGAGTCACGATCAATAGTCCGGGCTACCTGGCGTCGGTAAATCTCGCACGGATGAGCTGACTTCTGGGATTCCTTAGGTGAAATGTTCCTTGGTTCCTGGAGGGCGACTACTGCAGCTGGCGAGACGGAGATGCCTGCGAGGATCATGTACCGAGCTGAAGGAGATGACTGGGTATGTCTTACCTCTCTGGTGTCGAATGGCTGGGCTTCTGCTGACGGGCGCCTTTGTAGAGAGATCCCGCTCGTGCGTATCCTGTCGAATCAGGATTGAGAAGCGTCGCTACGGAGCCATGACTGACATGGGATTATAGGTATCACAACATGGTTCCAGCAGACAGTCATGCCTGACACTGTCGTCGAGGAACCTTCCATCTTTGAGGACCGTGTCAGATCTGGCATGACATTCCTCTTTGACAAGATTACCATAGCCGACGTACGTCTCTTGGCCTCTCTTGATCCTATACTGACGCTGGAACCAGCGATGGGCCGCGCACCGATTGGGCAAAGACGTTCGCCAATGGAACAAGGCCACAGGCGACCTTCCCTCACTCTCCGTCCCCTCCACCTGGATGGACCCCATGCGTAACCGCCTCAAGGCGCTCGGGATGGCCGAGGGCTGCTCACCCCAGCGCAAGCGTGCTGGTGTGCCCGTCGTTGTTTACATCAACAGGCAGCTCACCAAGAGGAGGATGACGGATGAGGACGCAGCGGCTTTGTTGGTGGAGATGGAGAGGCTGGATGCGGAGGGCGTTATTGAGTTCCACAATGCGCAGATGGAGAAGCTTCACCGTGTGCAGCAGGTGAGTTTCTTCTTTCGGCTTTGAATCAGACACTGATGTTGGGGTAGTTCTGCTTGGCGTTGAGAGGCGATATCATGTTTGGCGTGCACGGGAACGGTCTCAGTCATCTCTTGTGGATGAAGCCCGGAAGTGGTGTTCTTGAAATCATGCAAGACGGTTTCGCTCGTGTAAGTGCTCGTCATCGTCATCGCGCATTTATCTGACGTTGAATGTAGGACTATGCCATCCTCGCCGAGATGATGGGCCATGAATATTACGCCGTTCACACCAACCACACTTTCCCGGAAGATCAGTGGAGACAGCCCAACGGATGGGCTGTGGACCAGGGACCCGACTTCCATGGCGCCAACATTCGTGTATGTCTACTTTCTCTCCCTCTTCGTCTGTATACCGCAGTTCGTCTGTATACCGCAGTAGTGTGCTGATTATCTTTGATAGCTCGACGCGAAGTGGTTTGCCGGGATGATCGAAAAGATGGCCAAGGCGAGAAAGTATGTGACTGAGCCTGAACTTTATTGATCTGTGGCGAGTGCGCGCATGAGGTGAGGAGTGAGGGTTGTAGGTGACGCAGAGCATGTTGGGATAGCTCGGTGATCGTGACTTGTTCTCTCGCTATGCTTTACTTTGCTCTGTTCGTCTTTCTGGTGTCCGTGTGTAATACTACATCTTGGTGTTATAGAGTGCCTTCATGAATCAACTTGATCCCGCTGAGACAAAGGTGTTTTGGCGATGCACAGGTTCAACAATGTGCTTAAGAGAATCAGAAGCGCTCTCCTCTGCCCGGTTATCTGTCTATATTGACAAGAAATACATGGTTCCCATAACTGTTTTCTATCAACATGTCTAGATCGTTCAATGCTTGTTGCCCTGCTTCCACTTGCAGACAATGATATACCACAAGATCTGAAGTGCCCCTCCAACCAAGAGAGATTGTTATGCTTTTGTATTTGTATCATATGCTTCGTCCGAGAGTCAGCTACTGCACCTCACAAACACCAGCAGAGGAAACTCACCTCATGACAGAGATCAACCTAAACTCCAGACCGCCCTCGGGATCAGCAGTCTCCTTCAGCAGCTCACAAGTGAGCGTGTGCTCTCCCGGCGCGAGGTCATCTCGGATCGTTGCAGCTCTACACCCAAGAATCAGCTACCTGCCACCGCAAGAGCAAGGTCAAAGGCAAGAGAAAAAGACTTACCGCCCGATATTGTACTTTTGATCCCAGTACCCATCAAGCCTCTTTGCCTTGTTCTCGTCCCCATCCACCCAGCACTTTGCTGATCCCAACTTGTACTGCCACGACCTCAAGTAGTGAACCTCGATGTTCCCCACCGTCGTGTGCAGCTTGAACGACACCCTCGCGCCAGGCTGATCAGCGACGAGGTAATTCTTCGCTTTCCAATTCCATTTGCGCCAGTTTTGGTTTGTAGAAGGGACGAGCGGGTTTTTGTGGCCGTTTGCAGAGAAACATTGGGGTTTGATGGGGGGAAGGGTGAGGTCGGCGTTGTATTTCATGTTGACTTGCATCTAGATTCCAAGTCAAGTCAGTACTAGAGGAAGAGAAGGATGGCGGAGAAGGAGACGTACTCGGGGGAGGGGTTCGAGGGGGTAAAGCTGGTCGAGAGACATGTCCTTTGCGCCGGGGATGCTCGCTTCGTACTTTTCCATCTCACACAGCTGAGAGTCGACGTAGGCTGCGCCGATGCGGCCCATGAGATTGTGGCCCTTTGCTCCAATCTAGATATTGATCAGTGGTTGATTCTTAAAGATCAGGAGCAGGGAGACTGACGTGTCGAAGATCTGTTTTACCCTGGGGGCTGGCCCAGAACAGCTCGTTCACGAGGGAGGCATTCTTCAAGACTTCGTGGTAGAGCGCATTACGAAGGGAGAGGACGGGGAGGTCGTAGGATTGAGCGACGCCAGTGTGCTGTATACGATTTAGTAATTCGAAAGGTCTGGGAAGATAGGATGCTCACCATATCGGCACCGTTGGTGACAGTGTTGAACTCGAGAGCAAAGACTCTTTTGACAAATCAGCACAATCGTGATGAAAACAGCAGAAGAGACGCACTGAAGGTTCATGATCGCAGGATGTCTGGGCAGATCGAGAAGACTGCGGACGAGAAGTTCGTACGAATTGATGTTTCTCAGCAAGCTAAGATCATGTCAGTTATGGAATCATCAGAACGTGTTGATCGATCTTACACTTCGTCGTTGATGGCCAGTTCGATGAACACCAGGTCCATATCCTCAGGAAGATGTTCTCCGTAACACAAAGAAAAGTAGTCCGTACCTATAGATCTGTCAGTCGCCGTGACGATAAGGAGGATAGATTTACACACCGACACCTCCCTGCGCTCCGTTGATGAAAGAGTTCATATCCTCCGATCTCCCGCTGTCTCCAACCTTGACTCCATTAGGCGCTGGGAACAGAGTGTTGAGCCTGTCAAACACTATTCTGTTGAGATTTGTCGGTGTATCAGGGTAGTAAGCTGGGTCTTTGTCGATACCGAACCCCTTTGATACTGCGGATGTATTAGAGCGAAGCTGCGAACCGGGGACACTGAAACATACCTGAACCTCCAACAACACCGGCGGTGAGTCGTCCACCACGCTTGAGCTTGGACAGCGTCCGTCTCAGCCGGAGATTCGTACCCGCATACCCCAGTGATCTCTTGAGGTTCTCCTCTCTGGTAGTCTCACGTCAGCATGGTCCGATTCACGCACGATCGCGCCGCCATCACTCGATACTCACCCCAGCTCATTGCACAGTCTTGGGTCCACAGCACACATGCTGCAGCTCTTTTCGGGGACCAAGGTATGCCTATGTTCTTCAATGTGGTTCCCCAATTGGTTGATCTTGGCCCATGTCTCATCGCCGAGGAGTTCGTGAGCCTGCTTGCTGGGGACGAAGAGAGCGACTAGGACGACGACATTGAGGAAGACGGAGAGTCCGAGGAGGAGCTTGACGTTGCCTCTGGATGGACGGAGCATGGCGGAGGGGGGAGAATGGGGGGAGAATGTGGGTGTGGCAGTGGTTGGCAAGTTAGTTGTAGGGACAGACCAGAAAAGAATTCCTTTTTCCTTGGCTGAAGTGGGCGACAGAGCGCGCTACCAGCTGTGCCTGATTCGAGGAACGGGGCTACATTTGATACGCATTTTAAGATTAAGCTCAAGACCATTAGCCGGCGGCGCCTGCCGCTTGCCCGCTTGCGGATTGATTTCTATCTCGAGTTACGATAGTCAAGATGAAGAATGCAGGATGCACCGGATGAAAAATCGACACCCATCGACCTTCTATGCATATGATCTGTATGCATGATCTACATTCAGTCCTTCTTCCACCCTCTGCTACCTGGAATCAAGCGAGAGGGGCAAAATGGCGCGTTGTATTTTGTAACTTCTCGTAAGTAAGTTTGTACATAACCGCTTTGCAGATCTCGATCGCGGCGCGGCTGGCCGCATATGGTATCGTGACGTGTATTTTCTACGTATCAACCGCAACAACAACCACCAAATTGGCCTCGTCCTCCTCTTTCATCTTTCTTCTTTCTGTGTTGTACTGTAAAATCAAGAAACCTCCCTCGATATCACTGTGAGTGCTGCTTCCTTATTCTTCCTCCTATCGTCCCCTTCCCCTTACTCTGTGATGATTTCTACTTCATCATCAACTAGAAGGCTGTTACTGAGCCTCGGCATTGATCGATACTACTATTACCTGATCCTTTTTCTTCCTCTTCTTGATACAACTTCATGGAGGAACGATTGCTGACCCAAAGAAGACATAGTTGACCTTCAAGCATCCACATCTCATCTACACCCGGGACGACAACGTTGTCTGCGAGCAGTCGGCTGGAGTAGTTGTAATGGACTTCCGATGTAACTTGTTGCTTTCACTGTGACAGGTTGTTCTTCGGGACATTGATAGCATACGGGGGGCTGCCATACATCTGGCTCGTGACGGGGCTCGTATCTTCCTTCCTATAAAAAGAGTGTGTATCACTGATGCAAGGATACTCGTACTGTATGAACGGCGGGATCCCACAGACCGTTCTCAGCTAAATTTTCTTTCTGCTGTCTCGACGAACATGTTCTCACATGCTCTCAGATGACGATGAGACTGCTAGGCCTACTAGTAACGGAACAGTTAGACCAGACGGGGCCCCCACGAATATTGCGCAAAGATATCCGCTTCTTTGCTCTCAGCAAAGTGATGAAATAGCAAAAAGTAACGTACGCCGCAAACTTCAAGTGAGAGAAGGCGTATCTCAGGCGGCAAAACTCCGCTGAGATTTCCGTCGGTTCACTTTACGCTCCAGAGGAATCCATCCCTGTCGTGAGCTCTTGCAGAAGCGCCGGTCGCCCGACTCGTCGCCGTTGCCTGTCGAGTAGAGTTCTTGGGATTTTACTGAAACATCTGATTATGTATTACCTACTTGTAACTAACTAACGTGCGTGCTACGAGCTGTCAACGATCTGTTGTATAGGCAGTGAGGAGTGTTCGATCAAGTGAGTAGAGGTGGCACGCAAGTCAGCAATAAGCATCCACGGGCCACATATATCCATCATCCAGTTTCAGAAGATGTAGTGTATATACCGGCAAAGAATGGACGATAGCACCATTCATCGCTCTCCTTCTAGTCTCTCTCTCTCTCTCCCTAGAGGTCCCGATTGTCACGGGTACATCAGGCAATATCAGGTGAATAGCCATCCCACAACTCATTGTGGTGGTGGCGGGAAGAACTGGTATTGTTGTTGCGGGTCCTGCCACTGGCTACCACCTTGCCATTGACCACCACCTTGCCACTGGCCGCCTTGCCACTGTTGATCGCCTTGCCACTGTTGGTCGCCTTGCCACTGTTGGTCGTCTGGCCACTGGTCGTTCAACCCCTCCTGCAATTGAAACTAGGATCGGAAGCTAGATCAGCCAACACCATCTCCTTGTTCTCAGCTTCGGCTGCGGACCACTGAGCACGCAACATTGCTTGTTCTTCCTCTGTTGCAGCAAGAGATGACTCATTTTCGCGCAGCTGAGACTCAAGCTTGGATACCTTCTCCTTTTGAGCTTCTCTCCATCTCCTTTGTTTTTCTCTATCTGTTTAGACAATCGCATTAGTCTGGTATTCAGTCATACTGGGAACACACAGGGCTGTGACTATACTCATGTACGCACTAGTTTCGAGCTTCTTTTGTCGTCGCTCTTCGGCGGTGAGCTTTGTCCTTGCGCTTTTGCCTGGGTGGTATCCTATGATATGATCGCATGATTAGCACAGTCATGCTGCTCGAGCAGTAGCAACGCGAACGCTGAAGCAGTGACAACATACCTTTGCTGCTGGCTGTGCTACGTCTGCCTTGTTTGAACGTGTTCATGGACTGTACGGGGCGCACACAACGTCAGCCTGTTCTGTTTCACCGAACATATCTACTATCTTCCATACGGCGCCACGGTGGCAATGGAGAGAGACTCTTCACAACTCACATCATTGAAATCTCCCGAAGCGACGGAGGATGAGGATGCTTTTTGTTCGTTCACATGTCGCGTGGCTTTGCTACTTTCGCTTTCGTTAAACGTGTTGAATGACTGCACGGGGTGGGGGGGGCGCAATCTGTCAGCTCGGTCCATGCAATGATTCCCTTTCTTCCAAGCAGTTCTAAAGCGACAGTGAAGATACTTAACACAACAGTACAACTCACAGCATCAAAGCCTGATAGTTGTTGCGGCTGATTGCCCGCATCCTGAAAGCGAAAAGCGAAAGTGAAGCAGATTCAAGGAAGTTTTATACCACCAACAGAGCCAGTGCGTCAGCAATGGCTACATATCACTACAATAGAAAGTACTGACCCCGCCATAAGCCGACGGCTCGCCATAGGCAGAAGCGCCAAAGGCGGAGGAGCCTACACTGGCGTCGTCATCGTAGCTGCCGTCGTCGTAGTAGAAGGGCTGCTGTTCGCCACTTGCGTCGTCGTTGTAAGACATGATGTACTGTGAAATGATATCCAGTGGTGGAAGTTGCGATAACGATACGATAACATACTTGTACTTATATACACTTGGCCAGGATATGATGTTTGCCGATTCGAGGTCATCATAGACTCCGCTTAAAACTCCAGCATCGACGCTTACTAAAGCACATGCGAGAATAGTATAAAGTTTACGGTCTTAGCAAATTATTGCAGTACTTCTGGACGGGGTGTCCTTTCTGGTGCTCAGGATAAGCTCCCACAAGCTGTCTGAACCGAAAGTGAAGATATACCAGGCTGCCAAAAGCGGCCGGAACACATGTATTCTCAGAATCAACAAGAACGAGGACTAGGTTCGTCGGTCGGACTAATAGTTGCGAGAGGACAAGGGAGGTCCACCAAATGGGCGGGATTGCATAATGGGCTACATGTACAGCATGGCAGTTCGAAGAGTTGACGGCGGCAGAGGTTCAGGATATATATATATACGCTGTCTCTCATTGAATTTCAGAGTATGTATGGCAAGCAGCGAGACCGAAGGAAGAACATAGGAAGAAGGATGAGACTCGGTCGACCCATGAGCTCTCTTTCATAGAAGCCCTCAATCAACTCTATACATAGCATCCTTTCCATACTCCTCATACTCCTCCCGGCATTGCTCACCATGACACCGCCCGCCGCACTTTGACAAGCATGACGTTATCCCATCATGGCGGAGTCCATAGACAACGAGCCATATTCAGTCTTCATGGCCTTCGGTAGCAGTGGCAGCGGCTTCGTCGGCAGCACTACTGGCGAGATTCTGTATAAAATCATGACGCTGATTATCTTAGTCCCAAGAGGCATCCGCCTCATCAGGCCACTGTTCCTTCCTCAACTCGTTCTCGGCTGTAGCCTTTGACAACGCTTCAAGCAAAGATTGCTTTTCGTCCGCTAGATAGCTTCCATTTGTTTCGGCTTCGTCAATTCTAGCTTGTAGCTCGCTTATCTTTGATTCCCGATTACGAGTTCTCTTCGCTTGGCTTTTTCTACCTGTACCGAAAAAAGTGTCAGCATTTAGGCGCTTTTAGGTAGACTCCATGATCTGTATAGAGCTCCCAGATCGATCAAGAGACGAGCTGTTACGCACTACTGATACGCGCCTTCTGCTCCTTCTCAGTGAGCTCGGAAAATGGCCTTATCGTGGTTTTCTTTTGGCCTAGATGACATATAGATTGAGGGTTTAGTCAAGAAATGTTGATTTATGGTCAACATCCAGAGGATAATCGAGGGCAAACCAGACTCACCTGGCTTGCTGCTTTCCGCGTTTGTGTTGTCGTCAACCGACTGCACAGAGGACAGTCCTGTCAGCATCCTTCCCTCATCGTCGAACCTATTCGGCTGTGAAAGATGGAGAAAACGATCTCGACTCACTGCATTCGGTCTTCGACCGTGTGTTCACTTTGGTTATTGGTTATCGGACATGATTGATGGTCAAGCTGAAAAGATATATGGTTAAGAAGAAGAAGACAGAGGATGTGGTCATCTTTTAAGGCAAGACCGTAGCTTCAAAGGACATACCAAAAATAGTTCTGGAGTACATATAGGCTGCATATGTCATAGGTAGGGCAATAGGTTTCGTCAATTCTAGCTTGTAGATCGCTTGTCTTTGATTCCCGTTCACGACGTTTCTTCACTTTGAGTTATCTATCTGTACCGGATGAAGTGTCAGCATGTAGGCGCTTTTAGGTAGACTCCATGATCGGTATAGACCTCCCAGATCGGTGGAAAGTCGAGCTGTTACGCACCATCGGCACGCTTCCTCTCCTGCCTCTCAGTGAGCTCGGATAATTCCCTTGAGGCCCCCTCTTGGTCTAGATGACATATGGATTGTGGGTTCAGTGAAGAAGAATTGATTTATGATCAGCATCAAGAGGATAGTCGACGGCAAACCAGACTCACCTGTCTTGCTGCTTTCTGCGTTTGTGTTGTCGTCAACCGACTGCACAGAGAACGGTTATGTCAACATCCTACCCTTATCGTCGAATCTATTTGGCTGTGAACGATAGAGAAAGCGATCTCGACTCACTGCATTCCGGTCTTCGACCGTGTATTTACTTTCGTTGTCGGACTTGATTGATGGTCAACTTGGAAAAATATATGGGTGAGAAGAGAAAGATAGGGGATGTGGTCATCTTTTAAGGCAAGGCCGTAGCTTCAAAAGACATACCAAAAATAGTTCTGGAGTACTTATAGACCGCATATGTCATATGTAGGGCAATAATGTGCGCAAAGGACATGCAAGAGACAGAGGAAGAGAAAGAGAAAGTCCGTCGAGTGAGCGACCGATCAGTTTGGCGGTGTTGAGTAATAATAGCACGGCAGCATGCTGCCTGCCACCGTTGATGGCCGGGCTATCTGTACATCTACAGCTAGTGAGTTAGTACAAAGGAAAGTAAGACTCTGGGACAATGAGGGACTGGCTATTGCGCGCATGGTGATCACCGACGCGAGAAGACAGACAGACGAAAGCAGGACGAAAGACAGACAGACGAAAGCAGGACGAAAGACAGACAAACGAAAGCAGGACCGACGAAAGTACAAACAACAAACAGCCGACGCGTCGGATAATAGGCACGTCACTACAAACAGCAAGTAGGCAAGCGTATGGTAATTAGAAAATTCCTGGTTGGTTGAGCAAATTGATCCCGGCGCGCCTATCACAGAGGAGCTTGAAACAATGAAAATCCGTTGTCAGTCTGTGATTTTGGATTTTTCGCCGCCTCTGCAACTTTCAGTCCTCCTCAACCGCCCCATCTCCTTCTTCGCCCTCTTCTCCACCGCCGACAGGGCCTCTCACCCCCCGCCTACTTCCAATAACACCCAGAGAAATTATCCGCCACCATGTCCGACAAGCTCACCCGTGTTGCCATCATCTCTGACGACAAGGTGCGTCCAGATCCGCGCCTGGCTGCCGCACGTTGATGCATTCGCTGACTTTTGTTCTTTGTTCTTAGTGCAAACCCAAGCGTTGCCGTCAAGAATGCAGGAGATCATGTCCCGTGGTCAAGATGGGCAAGCTTTGTATTGAAGTCAACCCCACCGACAAGAAGGCGTTCATCTCTGAAGAGCTCTGTATTGGTTGTGGTATCTGCGTCAAGAAGTGAGCTTCCTTTCTTTTGAGGTTCCTTCCGGTCGTATCTGCTTTTGAAGGGCGTACTGTATGCGAATCGTTTGTCGTGCATGCACGAACAACGCGACATGGTCGTTTGGTCGCAAACGCTGGACGTCACACTCCCGTTTCGCGCTCGCGACTTGAAGGAATAGCGCCTCGCCCAAAAATATCACAAGTTCTCATGCTAACATCACCCCAGGTGTCCCTTCGAAGCCATCCAAATTCTCAACCTTCCCACCAACCTCGAATCCCATGTCACCCACCGTTACGCCGCCAACGCCTTCAAACTTCATCGTCTCCCCACCCCCCGTCCCGGCCAGGTTCTCGGTCTCGTCGGTACCAACGGTATCGGTAAATCCACCGCCCTCAAAATCCTGTCTGGCAAGCTTAAGCCCAACCTTGGTCGCTACGACGACCCACCGGAGTGGCAGGAGATTTTGAAGCACTTCCGAGGAAGTGAATTGCAAAACTTTTTTACTAAAGTGTTGGAAGACGACATCAAGGCTGTCACCAAGCCTCAGTATGTGGATCAGATCCCGAGGAGTATCAAGATCCCCAACATGACCGTTGGCAAGATGTTTGACAGGCAGTCGGAGACGGGCCAGCGGGAGCAACTCGAGAAGGATCTCGAGCTCACGCACCTGAAAGACCGAGAGGTCTCTCAGTTGTCTGGAGGAGAGCTCCAGAGGTTTGCCATCGGTATCGCCGCCTGCAGAACCGCCGACGTCTACATGTTTGACGAGCCTTCATCGTATCTCGATATCCGTCAGCGTCTTGCTGCCGCTTTGGTCATCCGTGGCTTGGTGACCGCCACCAACTATGTTATCGTTGTCGAGCACGATCTTGCTACCCTTGATTACCTCTCCGACTTTGTCTGTGTCCTCTACGGTGTTCCCGGTACCTATGGTGTTGTTACCATGCCTTACTCTGTCCGAGAAGGTATCAACATCTTCCTCGACGGTATGATCCCCACCGAAAACCTCCGTTTCCGAGACGAATCCCTCACCTTCAAGATTGCCGAGACTGCCGACGAGCTCCAAGCGCCCAAGACCCGACGATACAAGTACCCCGACATGGTCAAGACGCTCGGCAACTTCAAGCTGCACGTCACTGCGGGCGAGTTTGCCGATTCCGAGATTTTGGTCTTGTTGGGAGAGAATGGTATGGGCAAGACGACGCTGGTGCAGCTGTTAGGCGGAAAGATGTTGGCGGATGGTGCGACGGACAAGATTGAGATGCGGGTTTCTATGAAGCCTCAGACGATTTCGCCCAAGTTCCCGGGTACCGTTAGGCAGTTGTTGTTGAAGAGGATCAAGGGAGCTTTCATGCGTGAGTGCTGATTCTTGGGAGGTTGGAATTGCGCTGATTTGAGACAGACCCTCAATACAACTCTGATGTCCTCAAGCCTATGAACTTGGAGCCTATCATGGACCAGGAAGTCCAGACGTGAGTTTCATTCACCTTGCCACTCAGCGAGCACTGCTAATATTACGCAGATTGTCTGGTGGTGAGCTGCAACGAGTCGCCATCTGTCTTGTGCTCGGTGTCCCCGCCGACGTCCTCCTTATCGACGAACCCTCCGCGTACCTCGACTCCGAACAACGTATCCACGCCTCCAAGGTCATCAAGAAGTTTGTCATGTCTTCCAAGCGTACCGCGTTCATCGTCGAGCACGATTTCATCATGGCCACCTACCTTGCCGACCGAGTTATTCTCTTTGAAGGTCAGCCTGGTAAGGAGTCTTATGCTAGGAAGCCGGAGGGTCTGTTGTCGGGTATGAACAAGTTCTTGAAGAGCTTGGACATCACTTTCCGAAGAGATCCTACCAACTTGTAAGTCGTATTTCCAACACGTGTACGAGCTTGTGTCTAACGCCTCTCTAGCCGACCTCGTATCAACAAGATGGACTCTTTGAAGGACAAGGAGCAGAAGTCTTCTGGTGCCTACTTCTTCGTTGACTCTGACTAGACGCCTCCAGCCCCCCCCGTTGTATCTCTAGATCCATCATCCAACCACCCCTAAAAGCTCTCCATCCATCCCAATCATGTCTCTCCATACGCATTGTCTAATTTTGATACCTTTTTTTTTCCTCCTGCATAGCTTGGCGCAGTAAATCTGCGATTAGGTCGTGGCTTTTTCTTTTCTGTCTTTTCACTTAGGGATCTATACACATTTCGTCTGCGACCAGTATGTGAGAGACATGGGAGGGTTTGGTATATAGTAGAGCACCATGCATAGATACTTACATCGACAATTCCATTGATGCAAGTGCGGCATTGGCGGCAAGCGTTCGGGCCCCGCGGTATCTTGTTGCGTGCGCGTGCACTTTGCTCACAGTTGCCTTCTTTTCCTCTTTTCCCTCTTCATCAACCAAAATATGCCTTCATCCTCCTCCCCGCCCCCCTCTCATCTCCCAGTGACACACCCTGCCCTCCTCGAAATTACATCCCTCCGTTCACAACTCGCCCAGTACCAATCCATCGCCCACACCTCTTCCATCCAACTACAAGGCTCCCGGCTCGAAACTTCTCTCACAAAAGATAAGCTCGAGAAGACTCATCGTGTCCATGAGAGCCTGTTGAAAGAGCTAGAGATACTCCGGGCGAACCCGCCCTTGCCGCCAGTCCAGTCTGGCTCGCAGGCATTGACCGAACTTTCCCTCGCCCATAGGAGGCTGTCTTCTAAACTCGACTTGACCGAGAGCCGTCTGCTGTCCACGTCATCCGACCTCGCGTCTGCCAAGCATGCGCTTCAGCGAATTGTGTTGGAGAGGGAAGAGGAGAGGAGGGTGCTTAGTGAGGTGAAGCGCGTGGAATGGGAGAAGGAGGAGGAGGTCGAGTGGGAGAAGGGGGAGAGGGGAAAGGCTGAGGGGCAGTTGAGGCTCCTGTGAGTCTTTTGATTTGAGAAGAGAAACTGCGAGCTGATACGAATGCATAGAGAGTTGGCATTGGAAGAGTATAAGAAGCTCGTGCACAAGCTAGACCCGAACGCTGTCCCACCAGATGTGCCCGCCAAGCCTACTTTGTCGTGGCTGACCTCTTCTGTTCAAGCAGATGCTGCCGGTATCGACAAGGAGGCGCATCCATCAACAAAGGGAGAAGAGACCGAGGACGATATCGAAACATCGAAAGAAGCCATCTCCAACCTCCTCATCGGCCAACGCGGTGTCGCCCAGCTCTTCCACGACTTTACCACCAGCCTCACCTCCAAAGACGCACTCATATCTTCCCTTCAATCCCAGATTGATGCCCTCAATACATCACTCGCTACTGTTGAGGGGCAGTTGAAAGAAGAGACTGCCCGGCGGGTAGAGGTCGAGGAGGAGAAGGAAAAGGTGGATCGGGATGATAAGAGTGCGGCGGGGGTGGTGGAGCGGTATATGACATTCACGCAAAAGACGCACAAGATGGTGTATATGCACTTGGACAACCAGCGCACGAGGTCGCAAGCGACCATCACCGCCCTCCGAACTCAAGTCGGTGTGCTCAAGACTCAGCTTGCGGCTGAAGCCGCTCGGGCGCAAGGGCTGAGAGCGGCACTGGATGAGCTCTCGTTCAGCTCGACGAGAGAGAGTGCGGGTAGAAGGAGAGAGATTGCTCTGCGGTTGAGGATGATTGCGGAGGAAGAGAAGCGGGCGAAGAAGGTGGAGACGTGGTCGGAGAAGGTGAAGAGGCTGAGAGAGGGAGTGGAAGGAGCGGTGTTGGAAGCCGATGTCCTGGAGGGATTGTTAGATGAAGGGCTGGAAGCCGCTTCTGGCTATCTGCCCTCATTAGAGGCGGGAGGGATCGACGAAGAGAAACGCAAAAGCTGGCGAGGTATCCTTCCTCGGCTTCGTAAACGCTCCTCCACCCACTTCCAAAACGGCGACCGCGACCCGGCAGAAGAATCCCTTGCTCGTGTATTACTCGCCGAAGACCTCGTCACCACCCTCGCTCAAGACTTGCAGGTCGAGCACGAAAGGCGGATGGAGCTGGAAAGGCAGAGAGTGGAGTGGCTGGCCAAGGATGCTGTAGAAGGTGTCAAGATCGATGGGGAGCTTGAAGATGGCGGGGAGGAGAGCAAGGTCTGGTTTGATATGGAGGGAGAAGGAGACGAAAAGGATCAGTCGCCTAAAGGTCTTCAGGTTGAGGTACCTCCGCCTGAGACATTCGAAAAGCCAGCTTCGCCCATGTCGGAGCCCTCATCAGAGCCTTCGTCTCCATCACCATCTCCAGAGATATCCACACTTCATACCCTCTTCGACCCTATCCAAACCCGCTACTCCCCTCTTCAAAGAAACCTACACGACCTCTCCCTCTCCCTCTCTTCCCTGCGCGGCTCCATCACGTCCGACCTCCCTCCGACCCCCTCTTCGCCGACCATGCCCACAAGTGGCAAGAAGGCAAGCTTCCTACCGCTCGCTCGGCTACCCCTGCCTTCACCGGGGATTCCAGGCTTTGGAGGCAAGATGTCGGCACAGACGACACTCGAGACGTTGTCTGATGCTTTGCACGAGGTGATCGAAGACGCCCGTGTAGATGTCGAGATAGCTCTAGCAGACATCGAACGTGTCTACCGCGGCTTTGAAGCTCTTCTCGACGTCTCTCCCTTGGCGCCCAACCCCAAAGTTCGCTCCGAAGCCGACCGGGCAGCCGTCCTGGGTGAAGCAGAAGGGTATGTCAAGCATAAAGAAGAGGGCGATGAGTGGAAGAGGCTGGAAAGAAAGGTAGGAGAGGTTGAAGCGGATTTGGCGGGTTTGAAGCGGGTTTTGCACTCGCTCGAGGGGATGGCTTTGGAGTCGCAGCGTGATGATGAAGAGGAGAATGTTTGGCAGGGAGTGCGATTCAAGACAATCTCATTGCATCCGCGTCATCCCTCTCCTCTTCCGACTCCGCTCGTATCTCCTCTACCGGAGGACCAAAGCAGCCCATTCCCATTCTTGTCCCCCTCCTCATCCACAACGTCTCTCGTTTTCCCCACTTCTGCTCGACCTCCGCATATCCGTCAAGCGTCCCTAACGGGTATCGGCGCCAGAGTCGGTGGTACTGAAGAAGAAGGGCGAAGACGAACGAGCAGCATGAACCCGATGCATATCGGGATGGGACGGGGGATGCTGGCGAGTGTGGGTAATGTGGGGAGAAGCTTTTCGGCGGGGGTTGTTGGTGGAGGGAAGAGAGTTGGGGGGTTGGCTAGTGGGCTGTATAAAGGGACAGGGGATAAGCCTGATGTGGTAGTTACGGAAGATCCTGCAAAGGAGGAGGCAGAAGAGGCAGAGGAGGAGGAAGAGAGCAGCGAGGAAGAGAGCGAGAGTGAAGAGCTGGTCAGAAAGACAGATGATGTCGAATAGGGTACCTAGATGACGACCGAAATCCAAAGTGACGACAAGCATGACCTATGCAAACCTGCATAACGACAAGCATCTAGATATCTAAGGTACTCTACACTTTCCAGATTTTGCAATACCCTTCGTCGTCGGCACTGACGACGGCAACCTGGCTCTTCTCTTCCTCGCCTTCTTCTGAGCTCGGGGGTAGAGGAGCCACAGCGACACAGAGCACCCCGCCGGAATGCCCTGTATGTGCTCCTACCAACGTTCCCGTCCGGACGTCCCAAGTTTTGAGCGTACCGTCTATGGAAGACGTTGTTACGAGATGTGTGTTGGGGGCAGGGTGGGGTGCGAGGGACGTTATTGATTCCTGCGTTCTGTCAGATTATACGCAAGAAGGTGGAGGGAAAGATACGCACAGAGTGATTGATCTCGGAGCGGACTCGACCGGTGATGACATCCCATACGAAACCCTTGCCATCTGTCCCGCCACTGACAATAACAAGACCCTTCCCACCATCTCCCCCACCCGGTATCAGGTCCACAAAGGCCAAAGACTCTACACTCTCCCCCTGTCTGTGGCCCTTGAGAATTGTCAAAATTTCCCCTTTGATCAGATGCACAATCTTTACAAGCCCGTTCGCACCTCCCACAGCAGCAATATCTCCTCGAGGAGAGACGGCTATGGAGGTGGTACCGTGTATACTCGGGTTGATGGTGGTGATGTTGGGTGGGAGAAAAGTGTTGATTTTCCATATGGGCGAGGTGGAGCGGGGGTCCCAGAGGATTAGGGAAGAATCGAGGGAGGAGGTGAGGAGGTTTTTGTAGGGCGGTGGGAATACACCGGCGGTGAGGGGCATGGTGTGAGCAGAGAAGACGTTGAGAGTGTTTCCGGAAGGCACTGTGACACAATGTCAGTTGAGAGGCATGAGATAGATAAGACACTTACAAGACCACATCCAGACGGAAGCGTCGTCACAGCCGGCTGACAGGACATTGCCTTTTGGGTGCCATGTCAACCACTGACTCTCTGTCAGTTTGGTTTATCAAGGATAGTACAGAGTTGTACACACCTCGATCTCACTTCCGGTCTCCAAGTTGTCCAAGAACTCCCAGTTTCTCCAAGCCTCCATGCCTCTGGCCTCCAGCTCTTCGTCCGTGAGCGGCTTTCCTCTGCTCTTTCTCACTCTCCGCCAGACTCTAACTCGGCCGTCCAAGCCCCCAGTAGCTACCATTTCACCATCATGATTCCACGCTGCGCATGCCAAAGAGTCTGTATGCCCTGTAAGGCGTACAGGAGGGAACGTTCGAGAGTTCACTTCGGAAGATGATGCCGATGCCGACGGAGGGATGGGACAAAATATGAAACCGGTGTCGTCTTGGCCACCAGTGATGGCCAGAGGCGGGTTGGGAAACTTGGGGTGCAGTGATAGAGCAAAGATGGACTTGAGGTTGTCATGAAGAGCTATTACTTTGTCAGTCTTGCTCATCCCCGGACAAGACCCATACCGATCGAGCCCCAGCTATTATCTTCTCTGACTACCCTCCGCCTCTTGGCTTCCAGCTCGATATTTTCAAGATCATCTCCAAGGTCCTTGAGTTCTGATCCCTCCGCTTGAGGTTGTTCCTCCTCTGCATCTTCTTCAAAGTCGGGTCGGCCACCGTCATCTTCGAGAACTTCTTCCACATCGTCTTCAGCGAGATAGACGTTGTCTTCTTCTTCCTCTTCCTCGTGATGGTTTTGGGTGGGTTGCGACATGGCGAGAGCACCAAATGCGAGACAGTACTGATGATATGAGCGCTGCAGAGATGATCTCAAGAAGTCAGTCGGTATCTCAGCTTTGTCAACAACTTTTGCAGAAGTGGAGGTTTTGCTTGGTCAGCAATTGCGGGGCCTGTGACAGCCAGAGACGCGACTGCTTTGTTGCGTATCAGGTATGTCGAGCCCGACGATGCATCTGTCTTCTTCTGTCTAGAGGTTATTTCAATTCAGTGGATACTGCGGACCATGAAAGATTGTCCAGTGAAATCATATGATACAGTCAAGCTCCGCCAATCCTCCTTTTCTTGTTATGCCATCGATCTTCTTTTGCCAACCGCGCAACATGTCTGGGAAGACATGACTGGTATCCGAGCCTTGCTCACGAGAAGCTCGAGCGTGGCTGGCAGAGGCGTGATATCATCGTTGAGGGAAAAGGCTGTATTCAGGATAGCTAAGGCCTTCAAAGATCAGCATGGCAAGATTTTTTTCAGAATGATCAACGGGTGGTGAGCTTATTCCCAGCAGGTGTAGTCCATGTGCATTCATTAGGCAAGGAGGATCGACATTGTCATAATGATAGCAGATTACACTTTGATGAATAGTGAGCAAAGCAGTCGGCCAGGGCGTATGGGATACGAGCGCCAGCAACAGTATCTCGACGATCATGTAGTCACTATAGCAGATGAGCTATGGAGGATCGACATTGAGATGAGAAGACGTATGTGTTGCTGAGTTTTGATCCTGTATTAACGAGGTTATCATATAAAAGTTGTCATGAATTGCCATATAAACATTGCATATCATACCTGGCGCTTTCTCTCCTATAATTATCATCCAAGACCTACGGCTCTTCAACCCTAACTTTGAATGGGTTCAAGATCCAATTCGTCGTCCAAAAGAATGTGAATATGTGAAAAGTCGACTATCCGTGTATACCTCACACAGATCTCTCATGTTGCCCCGGAAGAGGCTGCGTCGCCTGTGTATAATCCGGCGGCGCGAGCTCTTCCATCCCCAGACTCCCCGCATCTTCCTCATGTCCGCCGTGCCCAAGTCCAAACCCGTGGACATGCCCATTCACGCCATATCCGCTCAACCTCGACACACTCGCCTCCTCCTGCAACGTCCCAAAACTGCCCAGACTGTCTATCCTCGGCAGACCTCCTCCGTTTGCACCCGCAGTCGCCAGCGGCCGACGGGATTTCTCGCTCAAGGTGGTACTGGGCGTATCCGGTGCGATGGTCATACCGCTATCGGCTGAAGACTGCCTCGACGGGGTGATAGGGAGGGTGCGTACATTGCGTGTACTAGGCCCCCGGTCAGGGGATATCACCGACGCCGAAGAGGGGGCATAAGAAGTTGGAAGGGCCGACGGGGCATACGACGTCGGAAGAGCGGAAGGGGCAGAGTGTTGGTATGACGTGGCGCTAGACGCCGGTGGCGCGGGAAGTTGGGTAAGGAAAGGACTGTGTTCATGCGGTACTGATGATGGGGAGGGGGCTTGAGGGGCGTCGGGGGGATAGTAGAACGCTTCGCCGCTGGAACCGGATGAGGGTGCGGCGGGGTACTGCTGATGCGGGGAGTGAGGGTGGGAGTTGGCGTAGGTACTGGATTGGGGGTGGAAGTTGGCATGAGATTGAGGGTGGGAGTTTTGGTGGGAGTGGAAGAAGGGTGTGACGGGCGTCCCGTACCTCACACCCATGGGCGTGCCCGCCATCGACTCATCGGGATGCTCACCCAGATCGAGAGTATCCCCTTTTGAGCTCCGCCTCTTCTCTCGCCAGGGAGACCACGCGGAAGCGTAGTATGCGTCGTCATCCCCGTATCGACGGCTATTGCGTCGACGGCGGAAAAGACAGAAAGCAAGCCCGGCAATAAGCACGAGCGCGACGATACCCCCAACGATACCGCCCACGAGCGCAGCAACGGCTGGTCCGGAGGAAGAACTCTGAGAGATGGACGTGGCGGAAGTACTCGTCGTGGGGGCGGTACTATTGGCAGAGGTAGTCGCTTGGGTCAAACCGTCCGTGGTGGAAGAGCTATCGGTTGAAACGGTAGAATTGACGACGGCATAGTCGAAACTCAGAGTGTTGGTGCTGCCAGAGCCGAGGTTGGTGAGTCTGACTGTGTGATTGCCGTCCGGGAGATTCGTCGCAGTGAAGACTATCAAGATATGTTAGTGAGATTAGGAGAGCGAAGAGAGTTGAAAGCGTACTAGGAAGTTGCCAGGCTGATTCGTCAAAAGTAGCATTGTAAGTTGAGGCTGCACCGCCATCGAGACTGTAACAAGTGTGAGCGACGGGTGCTGTTATGGCTGCATCTACACACCTGACAGAGTAGTTTCCATGTCCAGAGTTCACGGAAGCCATTACTTGTATCGAAGAGCCGGTGAACCTAGCACGCTTATCAGCACAGGCCACTTCGATCTGTTGAGGCACTCACGGAATATCCATAGTCGCCCCATAAGTCGAAGTCGTATGATCCGTGAGGTTGTAGAACAATACGTTGTTGGTCGAATCCAGATACGTCTCCCAGCCATCATAGACGATTACAGAAGAAGAGTCGTCGATAATAGTGGTGTATATAGAGCCATCCACAGAACTTGTAGCTGAGTAGGCAAGTCAGAACGTTTCACGTCGAACAGAAGTCTATCGCACTTTCAATGTAGTCGATATCAAGCCAGTGATTGCCATCAGCTGCCGAAGTGCTCGAGTTGGGATGATTTGTCACCGTCTTAAACCCGACGTCAGCTCCTTGAGCTGCTTCTATTGACGCTTCGAACGACAGTAAACTTACAATGGTGTGTTCAGAATCATCAAGGCTCCCTTGCGTGTATAGGAGCTGTTTGAAGATCGAAGTAGCTGAGTACCCATCGGCCATCAGCTCATCCCCTCCGTCGAGCGACACTGTGCGATACCCGTTAGTCGCTCCTTCTACTCTCCTCAGCACAGACGTACCCCCATAAATCCCATGGTTCTCCCTCTTCGCCCCGTAGATCGCCACAGCACTGCCATTGAACCTGTACACCATCCTATCTCCATCGCCCCATGTGCCGTGAAAGGTCCCCTTACTGTAGGAAGAGAGAAGCGCGTCTAAAGGCAGATACCGTTAGATTCTTGAAGAGGATGGAGTTGGGTATATTGACTAACCGGAGGTGTGGTTGGTCGTCCATCCTGAGGCGGAGGTGGCTGAGGCGTAGTACTCGATTTGAGGAGAAAAGTCGTCGATCTGTGCACATTGGTCAGCTTTGTAAATCAGTCAGAGCTACTATGGGCTTACGAGTATGTTCATGGTGAACAAACGCGCTCTAGTAGTTCCTGGGAGTTCGAATGATGGCCAGCAATAAGATGATAAGTGGCAAAGAGGTGATTTTGAGCGCCGAGATGGTGGGTCTTTGCCAGACGACGAGCCAGGGATGAGATGATTGATTTGCTTGATGAGCTGGTGAACGATGTCTTGTGGTTTTGATGTAAGCAGGCGTCCGATGGGTGTTATACAGCGATTTCGCCCAGTCAGAGAACTCAAGGGTTTGATCAAGACACAGACGAAAGAGAAGGCGGAATATGTATCTCCTGAAGAGGAAACCACCCGTTAGCATCCACTGGATACCTCGGCCAAAGGGCGACCCGAGCGCCACCACCTGGCGTCCTTACACGTCCTCATCAGACGCCGAGTGTATATGACCACGCCTAACGCGCTTTTCGCGGAGTAATCGTGTTCCATCCGGGCCCAGCCGAGCAGACAGGCACAAGGACCGTTGCGGACCGGTCCCGTGGAAGGAGAGGTGAGTTGCTGTCGTGAGAAGCAGGGGAGAGTCTTCGGTCGGGCAAGAGGTTGATTAAGGCACGTCACAATCGACAGGCGGCGTAGCGGCGGGTTTCAGGAGAGTCAGGAGCTGGCGTGAGCTGGCCGGTCGATTGATTGAGGAGGGTTTACAAGTGGATTACTGAAATGCCTTGTCATGGAATGTATATGCTCCAAATAATGGGAAGGAAGAAGAGGAAAGCGACAAGGAGATGGGTGAAGACGCGTCACACACGATGCTGCGAACGGCGGCGTTCTCCGGGATCCCCGGTCTTCTGTGTTGACTTGGCTGTTGTACATATGTTGGCCGACAGGATGGGCCGTGGGCAGCTCGGTGACAGCAAAAGGCGGGCAGTGACGGGTGACAGGGCGTGCTCGAGGCTTGAGGTGCTCGGCCTGGTCATTGGCATCAGTGCCCGACCTGTAGCCGTGGGGTCGGAGATCTCTGAACTCCGCCGGATTCGAGGTGCGTTGTTTTTCGGTGCTGGCTGCTGATGTATTGGTGTCCGCCCTATGCTATTTGGAGTTTCCAGGGGGGCGCAGACTACTACATACGGGCAGCTCGCAGCTCGCGTCCATGAATATCTTCTATGAGCTCGGCCGGGCTGGTTATATATCGGCTCCAAAGTCGCGTCCGAATGACCTGAAGTCTCGTCTTTTATCGATACTTATTCGGTCAGAGAAGCTGGGAGCTCATTCTTCCATTTTCTCGAAAGTGTCATGTACTTATAGTTTCTAGATTTCCGCCTTCACCTTCTCCCCTCTAAGTAACGACAATGTGCAACAGGCATGAAGATCTCATCGTTCAACCTATCCGCGCGATATGGTTGGTAGCGGCGCCCTCCGCCCATCACCTCCACCCGCGCTCATCTCCTATTTCATTTCCAAGACCCATGCATTTCTACTTCTACATCTTTCATCTCTTCCCCCCAGTACCAAAAGATAGCAAGAATGTCTCAAGAAATTATTTTACCCGCCCCCGCCGAGTGCGTTTTCGACTCCAAGAAAAGATTGGTATGAAGTGGAGCTGATAAAAGATGACTGGCAATAGTTTCCACGTCCACGTCCGACAAGGCAAGATGTGCGAGCTTGTCACTCCCCAAGTCGCTAAGGGCGGTGTCAAAACTGCCTATGTCATGGTACGCCCGCCCTCTCCTTATCCCTTTTCTTACCTCCTACCTCATACCTCTTGTCGGCCGAGCTCGAGCTTATGAACTGTCGATAGCCCAACTTGGTGCCCCCACTTACCTCGACTGAAG